CTATTTGGTCGTGACGTATGTAATGCGCCGCTAACTGGACTATCTGGTATATTAAGCTTTTCCCAAATCCCTTAGTAAGAAGGGCAATAAATTGTTTCCACTTGATAAAATTCACCAAGATTCTCTTTGTTCCGGTGTGGTATAGTATTTTGACCCTGGGGTCATAATCCTATTATGGTATATTGACCCCCCATGAAAATGTATATTTTATTAATAAAAAACTTGAATTCTATAGAAAAACTTTTAATATTAATACTATATCTGCAAATTAAAACATATTGACATATTTAACCCCCCAATATATTTATTATAGTTATTATGATGTAAAGTAAGAAGTAATTTTAGTAAAATATTGACAATGATCTATTATATATAAAGGAGGTAAAAATCCTATGGCTATAGTAATCTGACCCCCCCAATATGTTTATTATAGTCAGATACTTTCAAGTGGCTCACCTACATGCGTTACATTTGCACAAAATACCAAGTCGTTATCCATCAAAACATTCCTTAAAATACCTTAAAAGAAAGTGAATATGTAGCAATATATAATAAAAGTAAATTACATGAGAAATAATGATCAGATAAGTAACTACTAAAGAAAAAAATAAGGGGAGTCAAAATCCTATGGGGGGGTCACTTTAGCGGTATGTTGACCCCATGGTCAATATACTATGGGGGTCAAAATACTATCTCACACTGGCTTTAAATCCTCGTCAATACAGAAAATGTGGCTCTTTGCTAATTGACTGGTGCCCGAACTCGTACTTCCAGGGTTTTTGTGAACTGTCTAGTGTATTTCGATTACTGATCTAGTCACTGGAGAGAAATGAAATTGCGCGGAGGCACTAGGTGGCACTAGCCTGGCTAACAAAACTGTAACAAAATAATTTAGTAAAATATAACAAAAAAATGGTCTTGATGATATATCGATACAGCAGCCCACGATATCGATACTGTATCATCACATTAAACAATACAACATATCAATATTTTGATATTTTTGCACACTCCTACTTCTCAACATTAAATTGTAGTACTTTCTTTTATATTAGGATGTGGTCTTATAGCTGTGTAATCCCTCTATGGTCCATGGAAGTTTAGTCTGTAACGTTAATTATTAACTATTCACTTAAAAAGGTTAATTTTTGTCTTGTGAATGTGAATTTTTTTGTATTGATACCTGTCCGAATGAGTGTCTAGTTTCGATACTAGTTTTTGTAATGATTATCTGATTTTTGATACTTTTGACATCCCCAAATCACAATGCTTACCATAATTTCATTCACAACCAACAAAATATCCAGTCTTATTCTGCATAAAGCTGTTCACCCTAACTGCTTAAAAATATCTTTACAAACATGTCCTGAAGTGTGACTCTTGTATTCGTTTATCAGCTCATACAGTGTCTCTTTGAACAGAACCTTTTTATTAAAACATAAATAACAAATCTGATATCAACACTACTGTAGATGTTTTTTCTCTGCTCTGGCGTGCAATAATAATAAAGTACAGGAGCTGGTTTGTAGATTGAGCAGTGTTAAATATTACCACACATCTGTACAGTCTAAACAGTGGAGCAGTTAAAAGTCGTAACCTCTCTTTACCTTAACCCTCCTATAGTTAATCATTACCACTCCATGGCATTTACTTTCAATGACTCCTGTACACTTTATGAGGAATGTGATCAAAACAACAGCTTAAAGTTGTACTTTGGCCACGTTTACATGATGTTTTTTAATTCCGAAGTAATTGTTCTGAATTAAATAGTTTGGAATTAAAATATTTTCCTTCGTGTTTACATGTGAAATAATAATACTGAATTGAGGTTTACATGGAAAACACATCAAATCGTCTTTATTTAATTCCGCTCAACGTCTGGGGAAGGGTTCTGATTGGACAGAGACACGAACGTATTTACGTCGACCGGAAAAAAACACACACTTCAGTTGCTACCGGCTTTTTTATCATCTCGGTTTGTCATTATGCCACGGACACAAACATGATCCAAACTTTTTTCTAAGTCGTTCTGATGATAATGACGCAGCAGCTTGAGAATTCTCTCACGCTTTATGTCTGTCAGCTGAGAAGGGAAGAGTGTTGGAGAAGGGGGGAAGAAGACAAACTGAGTCAGTGGCTGTTTTATCTCAGCCCACTCCCGCATCCTGCTCGTAAATCCAAAGAGCAGTGGATGAAAGACCGAAGTGAGGACTGGTGGAGACGGATCGTCCGGATCGCGTCAAAAGGGCAACCCAACGAGCATGTGCTGAACAACCGGAATTATTTTTAAGAACAATAAAGTTTAAATGATTGAGGAATAAATAAATTTGGCTTTAAAATTGAAATAATCCACCCACTTACTTTGGAATTAAGTCTGATTCCAAATATTGTATTTTTTGGACTATAAATCGCACTTATACGCCAGTGCAACTTATATATTAAAATTTTCACACTGACAACCACTAGAGGCTCTAGTCTTATGTGTCAGTATCTACTACTCCTATTAGTCCTGTACCACTGTCACTTCACTCTACTGCGCATGTCTCCTGCAGAAAAAGCCGTTGTCCTGCTGCAAGTAGTGAAATATTCAGCCGAAAATGATATCGAGCAGCAGAAAGAAAGTTTGGAGTGAGCGAGAAACTTGTGAGGGACTGATGAAAGGCGGGAATGGAGAACACAGCTTCACGGTAACCGGGAATGTGCTTCATGTAACTTTCCTTTGAAGTCACTGGATGGATCGACAAAGCCTGAACTTCAGTGACAACTGAAACCATTCTGTCGGGATTCAGAAAGGCCGGAATAATTCTTACTGGAACTTGTTCTGTTCTATTGTTTTTGTTATAGTTATCTGAAGAACTGTTCATATGTGACGTTAACAGTCTGTTGTTCTCTGTTCTATTGTTGTTACTATAACTTGACTTTCAAGATGAAATGTCGGTTCCTGGTCTCTGATTTATAAAATAAATTCACCCCAAAAAGTGCGACTTATTTTGTTTTTTTCTTTTTCATTATGCATTTATTGGGTGGTGCGACTTAATATGGCAATAATTTTCATTAGGAATGAGATGTTAACATGTTGTTTTTAAAGCATTACAAGCATTACATTACAATAAATCATTAAATCTCAGGTAAACGTGGCAAATGTTATTTTGACATGACAAATTACACGCAGAGCTGTTGCTGTGTTGTGGCCGTTTGTGTGATAACAATATGGAGTTGAGCCATTATTCTCACTATGAAATGTTTCCACTGATTCCTCACACGGCTGCTGCTGTTGAAGAAAGAGTGAAAAAAAGAAAAGAAATAAGTCACACACACACAGACTGTAGTTACGTTTAAAGCTGTATCTCCAAAGGTCAAGTGCACAAGGCTTAAGTCCTGATGAGAACTTTGTAGTGTTATCTGTACCGCTCCATATAAGGGCATCAACACAACCAAACAACCTCTGGAAACCCTCACATATGCATCATTTCATCATATTTTTATGGGATATATGTCAAAGGTTAGAGTTATGTAATACAGCCATGCCCTCTGAAGACAAAAAACTAAATTCATGGGTTTCAGATTCCTGGTGTACTGTATGCAACATTTAATATAATATTTTGTTTTAAATTGCTTATCACTATGGCAACGATCCTTATTTCTCATCGTTCTGAAACCCTGAAATAGTTATTTATCTTACTGGTCATTAAACTTACTAACCCTCTGAATTCTTATCGTAGTTTAGCAGCTTATCTTCATTTTTAACTATGTAACTTATTGTTTGCAACATCACCATGCCAAGTTACAAGTCAGATCTGTGGAGATGCGATTCTGCTCACAGTTACAATACATGTATCCCAAGGTATTTTTGAGCACTATTAAACACCCTTGTAATTGAATAAATACAAGAGAGACAAGTTTAATGCCATATTATGCAACATTTTAGACAGAGCAACAGTATCTCCATGGAGACAAGCAGGCGGCGTACCCTCCTCCACCAGAAAAGTGACATAGTGCAACTTTAAAATTATTACTTTATTATATTTGCTTTTAACCGGGACCGGGACCGGGACCGAGACCGGGACCGAGACCGGGACCGAGACCGGGACCGAGACCGGGACCGAGACCGGGACCGAGACCGGGACCGGACCAGGACCGAGACCGTGGACCAGACCAGGACCGAGACCGGGGACCAGACCAGGACCGAGATCGGGACCAGACCAGGACCGAGATCGGGACTAGACCAGGACTGAGTAGACCAGAACTGAACCAGGACTGATCCCAGGACTACACCAGGTCTAAACCAGGTCTAAACCAGGTCTAAACCAGGACTAAATTAGGACTAAACCAGGTCCTGATCTCAGGCCCGGTCTCAGGCCCGGTCTCAGGCCCGGTCTCAGGCCCGGTCTCAGGCCCGGTCTGGCCCCAATTTGGTCCCGGTCTCAGTCCCGGTCTCAGTCCCAGTCCCGGTCTCAGTTCCGGTCTCAGGCCCGGTCTCAGGCCCGTCTCAGGCCCGGTCTCAGGCCCGGTCTGGTCCCGGTCTCAGTCCCGGTCTGGCCCCAATTTGGTCCCAGTCTCGGTCCTGGTCTCCGTCCCGGTCTCAGTCCCGGTCTGGTCCCGGTCTCAGTCCCGGTCTGGGCCCAATATGGTCCCGGTCTCAGTCCTGTTCTGGTCCCTGTCTGGTCCTGGTCTCAGTCCTGATCATCCGACAGTCTACGTGAGCGCACCTCTGGGTATAGTCCTGGTGTAGTCCTGGTGTAGTCCTGGTGTAGTCCTGGTGTCGTCTTGGTGTAGTCCTGGTTTAGTCCTGGTGTAGTCCTGGTTTATCCCGAACGAAACCGAAATGAATCGTTATCCGTTTTTTCATTTTGGTTTTGGAGTCTTATTGTTGGTTTTATTTTGAAAAATGAACGAACGAATGATAAACGGAACATTATAACGTGCCTTAAATCTCACAAGAGCCATTTGCATTAAATATAGGATGTTTAATTTAATAATATTTCCCTGGTTTGTTGCAGAGGAGCCATGGGACGCAGAGTTGGCTGAAGCAGGAAGTCTAGCAGCAAACCAACTGTGAGTACTCCCATTATTCCCCCATTATCACATCGCGGTAACATCACAGCACACGCAGAGGCAAAACAGACCTCAGAATTAGCACCACGGCTCAGATAAAAGATCAATAAAGCTGATCTAATTTAGCTTTCGACGACTCTGGAGGTTCAAACGCGGTTCAGATTTGATTAATGGGGAAAGTCAAAGAGAAATCCTGATATTATGTTGTGCTCTCACTCCCTCTTTCAGCAGCATGTGGTTCAGATCAGACACTGTCCAGGAGGAGCTTAGAGCCAGGTGATGTACTGAGATATACAGTTGTGGCACAGTTGGCATTGTGTCGTTGGGCAAGACGTTTCACTAAGGATATGACTGTATTTAAAGCTGTTCTATACCTGGAATGTCCCACAGTGCGATATTGAACATGTTTAGTTAGCTTTTTTTTTTCCATTACAGGTGTTTTTCTTGTTTAAAAATGCCACGAGAAACAGGCATTCTTGGATACACTGCGACGCCTCTCCATAGACATGACCCATATCTAGGCCTAACTGCATTTGTGCTTGTCTTCATTAGGCCTGTAACGATAATCAGTAAATCAATTAATCGTACGATAACTTTTCAGAAGCCCGATAACTTTTCTGGCCGCGATCATTTCTGTTTGTGTGCTTGTTTGTTTTCCTCGTCCCTCTCGGTCTCTACGAAAGAAGAGAGAAAGAATGTCAAAAGGCGTCTTTTGCTCTCTAGTGACTCCTCGTTTCCTTAGTGTAATGACGCTTGAACCTTCCATTGTCATTATATTAGTTGAAGATGGTGTCAAAATGTCAATTATCGTTTATCGCAATAATTTCTTGGTTGATTAATCATCCAGCAAAATCTGTTCTCATTACATGCCTAGTCCTCATTGGGATAAATGAATTTAATGCTTCACTCTGGAACATTACAGGCAATAACATCTCAATGGAGGCAAGCAGTTAGCGAAACCTCGAAAAGTTACACAGTGCGCCTTTAAAGGGCCACTAAAAACCATAATTACTTTTTTCTGCTGATTATCTGGGTCAATGTAGCCTGATTAGCCTGATTCATCAGACGGTTTCACTTTGTGGAAACCGTCTGACCTCGCAGCATTACGATTCGTTTTTATTTAACTAATTGCTGCTATTTGGTCGTGATGTAAAATCCCGTAGGAAGAAGGCAATAACGTCTTTCCCATTGATAAAATTCACCAGACATTCTCTTTCAGCTTTAAATCCTCGATCTTGGGAATCGTTGCCAACACAGACTGTCTGTCTTCGTCTACATCCATCTCGACCACTTTGTTTACTGTTGTGTTGTACCACAAAAGGGACACAGACAGGCGCTTGAGTTTGACGTTATGGCTTCACAGCTCTTTTCTGGTTGGCTGGTGCACGGTCTACAACTTCCGGGGTTCTGGCAAACCGTCTAGTGTATTGTGCGTTTTAGTTCATATTTGTTAAAAATCTGACTTTTGGGTCAAAAGTCATGTCTTTAATGGCCTTTTTAGGATCAGCTACAGCCAGGGTATGTGAATTTTCAGGTTGGACTCGACCGCCAGTGAGTCAGATGTAGGTTATTACGTGATGAGCACAGGCACTAGCATCTACGAGTGGCATGTGAGGAGCCTCTCTCAGCCCCGACCTGGCACCGCCAGGCAAATGTCCGCTCTGTTCAATGTCCAGAGGTCACCACTCCTTTCAAGTTGTTTTAAGATTGACTGTTGTGTTTCAGGGTTTCCCCGGTGGATGTCATGGCAACTGCGTCATCGAGAGCAGAGTCCAGCCACAGCCTCAGAGGAACATCACAGCTCCATGCCACCGGTGAGGCGTTCAGGGGAATAATCAGGGAAAACTATACTAAACGAATAAGAGAACATGAAGAGAGGCGTTCAAAGAATACTGAAATACTGTGATTCAGCAAAAGTGTCATGATAATATCGTGAGTCACAATATATCAAATTATAAATCTCAGCAACAGCTAGTAAAAATGGGGAACTACAGAACATGAATCATTTCAGTGAAGAAATATTTGTTATATTTTAATACTTCGATTTATCACAGTAATGATTTGCACCAAAGTCTTGTCTTACGGTATTTTAATTCTCTACACTTCTCTAAGCCTCTCCAAAATACTCAAATACCGTTACATCCCTCTCAAAGACCAGGGGGATCATCAGGGAATAATAGGAATGTAACAATAACCCAAATATTGTGATATCGTATCGTCAAAAGTCTCACAATAATATCGTGGGCTGTCACAATATATCAAATTACAAGTTCCTTTGCTTAAATGCATGGTTTTATAATACCAACAGCTTATAAACATCAGAAACTACATTTCCCATGATTCATTCCAGTGCAGACAACATGAAGAAATATGTGTTGTACTTGAATTCTTGGGATTATGATGGAAATAATTCACACCAAATCTTGTCAAGGTATTTTAAAAGCAAATCACTCATCGCTGTATGGAAATTGAAAATTAATCATATTTAATATTGATTTAAAGATGACATTTTCCAACATTTTTTAGTATATTATATGATCGTGGAGAGAAAGTTTATGGAAGAGTGAGCGCAAATATTTATGACCAAACCCAAAACAAAAAGCCTTTCCAGTGAAAACACAGTTTTTCACAAACTTGTCTCCTCCCCAAAACGATAACAGATTATTATTTTTTAGCCTCTGCAGTCTTTAAAGTTATATATGTGTTTTATATGTGCTTTTCCAGTTTCCTGTGCCAAAATCAAGAGGAAGAAGAGTCTGTTTGGGGCGTCCGTCTACGTGGAGGTCTCGGCCGATGGAGAGTCTCGACGAACCGCCAAGTCCCACAGCTCCTCCAGCCCCAAGTGGGACGAGAGGCTCACCCTGTAAGACTCGCGGTGACTGAAGTGGACTAAAGACTCTGGACTCTTCAGAACCCCTCCTTTCCATTAGCTGGTCATCTTCCATACATTAGCACCAATGCATTTTTAAAGAGCCCATATTACGCTATTTTCTGAGCTATTTTATAATGTTGTGTCTTCATCACAAACAGACCTAGAGTTGTTTTTTTAAAATTTCATTCAGACATGTTTTAACACACAAATTCTGCATATTTAGGCTGAGTTCTTCTCTCAAACAGAAGAAGAAGACCGGAGCATTTAGAGCTTTGGGGATGTAGACAAATAATACAGGATTTCTCAGACATATGTGAATGAAACAAACACAACTCCAGGTGTGTTTTTGAGGAGGTAACTACATTATAACATGACTTAAAGCTCACAAGAGTAAATTCTGTGTATACTGTATTTTTCGGATTATAAGTCGCTTCGGAGTATAAGTCGCTCCAACCAAAAAATGCGTAATGAAGAAGAAGAAAACATATATAAGTTGCACTTTTTCAGGCAAATTTATTTTCATTTCAAATCACTAAATCCATTGACTTCTTCATTATGGGTGTCACTTCTGAGCAACTCCACGACCTCCGGAGGTAAACAGAGTGCTGCTTCCTCTTCTGCGTAGCTGTGGTGAGACTCAGCATCAGTTCCAGTTAGAATTATTCCGGTCTTTCTGAATCCCAACAGGATGGTTTTGGTGTCACTGAAGTCCAGGCTTTGTTGATCCATCCAGTGACTTCCAGGAAAGTTGCATGGTGCATCCAATCCTGGCTGTCACAAGTTTCTCAGTCACTCCAAACTTTCTTTCTGCTGCTCGATTACCGTTTTCAGCTGCATATTTCACTACTTGCAGCTTGAAATCTGCGAAATATGATTTTCATTTCGGGGGCATTTGTGTTCAGTCTTCTCAGTCGTCTTTATAAATTTGTTTACATTTTACATTTTCAGTCGCACAGAAGTAATGGTGCAGTCGACTGACATGATATAGACAGGACAGAGGCTCTTTCTGAAGGAGACATGGGCTGTAGAGTGAAGTGACAGTGGTACAGGAGGAACAGGAGCAGCAGATCCTGACACACAAGACTAGAGCCGCTCATGGTTGTCAGTGTGAAAATTTTAATATATATCGCACCAGCATATAAGTCACAGGAAACGCTCAAACCATGAAAAAAATTGCGACTTATAGTCTGAAAAATATGGTAATATAAGACCTTTAATTAACCTCCAAACGTCACAAACTACGAAAAACCAGGGTTGTTATTGACGTCTGGAAAAGATCCAACCTCACTGTTTTAATTTGATTATTAACATTAGTGACTAGCGCCGTACAACATAATAAACATTTGTTAAATCTAACGTTAAGCTGGACAAATATGCAGTTTGACAATTTAAATTTGGTTTTTATTTCATGGATAATTAAAAACTCATGAAAGTCAATTTTTACACAGTACGTTCCCTTTTGTTTTAATATTTCTCCACAAAAACGATTCTTCCCTGAATGAAAAAAATAAACTTCCTGGCTTGTGATGTGATTCAAACCAAACCACTTCTGATATCGAAAGTGAGGCTGTTTTATACGGCTATTGGCTTTTATATAATTTATCATCAGGAATCAACAACAAAAGTAATCAAAATCCTATTGAGCCCATGTGTTTCTCCAGTGTGTTTCTCCAGCGCCTCAGGAAGATCATCTGATATGTATTTATACAGTAAATATTCACTTGCACGGCTCTCCTCCTCTCCTGACGACGACCATTTTCTTGCCCACGGATCTCTGATTAGCTTAGCATAAACTCCAGACGCTGAAGCTAATTGACTAATTGCTAATTAACATGAGCGAGATGGATGGTTTTGGCGTCTCCGTGCGTCACTGGGCTGTCATTGGTCCGGTGGGAGGACATTATAATCCTCGGTATGTGGATGTTACTGGGGCGTTTTGACCTCGTAACAACAACAAGATGATTAGACTCTTTTGTTGTTGTTGTTTATTTGAACAATGCAAGAGTCGCAAACAGGTCTGAGTACTTTTTCAGGATGTGGGGCGTGTTGGTTTAAAGGTCCCGTACTACAGTGGGACTCAACCTTTTTAGCTCCACGGATGGTTTTATGTCTGACAGAATTTTGAGAACCGGGGCTGTGGCGGTGCGTCGTGGTTTAGAAATGGTTTAGTCCTGGGTTTAGTCCTGGTTTTAGTCCTGGTTTTAGTCCTGGTTTTAGTCCTGGTTTTAGTTCTGGTTTTAGTTCTGGTTTTAGACCTGGTTTAGTCCTGGTTTTAGTCCTAGTTTTAGACCTGGTTTAGTCCTGTTTAGTCCCGATTAAATCCTGTTTTAGTCCTAGTTTTAGACCTGGTTTAGTCCTGTTTTAGTCCTGGTTTTAGTCCTGGTTTTAGTCCTGGTTTTAGTCTTGGTTTAGTACTACTTTAGGCCTGGTTTTAGTCCTGGTTTAGACCTAGTTTAGTCCTGGTTTTAGTCTTGGTTTAGTACTACTTTAGACCTGGTTTTAGTCCTGGATTTAGTCCTGGTTTAGTCCTGTTTTAGAGCTGGTTTTAGTCCTGGATTTAGTGGTTTAGACCTGGTTTTGTCCTGGTTTTAGTCCTGGTTTAGTCCTGGTTTTAGCCTGGTTTAGTCCTGGTTTTAGTCCTGGTTTAGTCTGGTTTAGACCTGGTTTTATTTCTGGTTTAGTCCTGTTTAGTCCCGATTAAATCCTGTTTTAGTCCTGGTTTTAGTCCTAGTTTTAGACCTGGTTTAGTCCTGGTTTTAGTCCTAGTTTTAGACCTGGTTTAGTCCTAGTTTTAGACCTGGTTTAGTCCTGGTTTAGTCTGGTTTAGTACTACTTTTTAGGCCTGGTTTTAGTCCTGGTTTAGACCTAGTTTAGTCCTGGTTTTAGTCTTGGTTTAGTACTACTTTAGACCTGGTTTTAGACCTGGTTTTAGTCCTGGATTTAGTCCTGGTTTTGTCCTGGATTTAGTCCTGGTTTAGTCCTGGTTTTAGACCTGGTTTTATTTCTGGTTTAGTCCTGATTAAATCCTGTTTTAGACCTGGTTTTAGTCCTGGTTTTAGTCTTGGTTTAGTCCTGATTTAGTCCCTGGTTTTAGTCCTGGTTTTAGACCTGGTTTAGTCCTGGTGTAGTCCCTGGTTTTAGACTGGGTTTTAGTCCTGGTTTAGTCCTGTTTTAGTCCTGCTTTTAGTCTTGGTTTAGTACTACTTTAGACCTGGTTTAGTCCTGGTTTAGTCTTAATTTAGTCCCTGGTTTTAGCCCTGGTTTAGTCCTGGTTTTAGTTCTGGTTTGTTTCTGAGATCACAAGGTGGAATAGAGTGTTTTCTGCTTGAGAGGAGAAAAAGCTTTTTACGTTCAGCTGTATCCTGTCCATTGACCTGGTATTAAAGGTGCATTGTGTAACTTTTCTGGTGGAGGGTCTGTCAAATGCTTTTCCCTGTGGAGATGCAATTACTTTGTCTGTCGTAGGTATTTTTGAGCTATAAAATCATCTGTAATTGAATAAAGTAAGGTAAAGCTGTTTAATGTAAAACTAAAACATTCTAGGCAAAGTAATGACGTATCCATGGAAACAGACCCCGAACCGAAAAGTTACACAGTGCACCTTTTTAAATGGAAACAGTCAGAAAACCATTTTAAAATCTTGTCTCTTTGTCTTTATAGGAATGTAACCCCACACTCTCAGCTGGACTTTAAAGTCTGGAGCCACAACACTCTGAAGGCGGATGCTCTTCTGGGCCGAGCCTCCCTGGACCTGATGCACACGCTCGAGCAACACGACAGGAAATGTACGTACCTACAAGGTTTGGTAGCCTAGCAACCGCCCGCCTCTCCTACCTCCTGTTCGAGTCCGAGAGCTTGGTCTGGTGCCCTCCCCACGTCGATTCATTTTGTTTTCTGGATGACCAATCTTGGCTGTTTACACCGCAGCACATTATTCATACTTTTTGATGTTTTATCATTTTTGACACTTTTCAAAACTCACGTAAGCCTTCGTGTTTGTTTTGTTACTGGATGAGCCATGTTTCCAGCTGGTTATTCCACCTGTCATTACCCCCCATTAGAATTTAAAGGGATAGTTCAGGATTTTTGACATGAATCTGTATGGCATCCCCGTCATCAGTGTTGTGCATCCACACCGACTTACCCCCCGAAAGCGCCCGGTGAGCCGAGATCGTGACCGGTTTTGGTGCTGAGGAAAGTAGTTCGGCAAGTTGTGTGGGGACTGTATACTAAAGCGTTTTTCTTCTCAAAGCAATATGTGTTCAAAAGAGTGATACATTTGCATCACAAAACCATCGTCGCCAAAAAAGTCAGCCCTCATAATCGCTTGGCGCTATTTTCTCTCCGTACGTACCACTGCGCGCGGCCGCCAGGTGACAGCTGCGCACGGATCCATCACTTTCTTCAGTTGTTCGGCAGTGTTTACATGCGCAGACCGCGGCCACGCGAGAGAGCTAACGAGAGAGCTAGAGCCATAAGTATATGAGCCTGGTTCACTTTGTTTACTGCTCGGAATGTTAGCGACAACATGTCTGATTATGACACCGACAATAAAGACTTTGCCTTTACCACAAGCCCAAGGGGAGATCTTTGTGAACCCGAATATACTGATGCCGAATTTCACCAGATGGAGTTAAAACGGGCAGAGAGAGAGAGAAAAGACAGAGAAGTGGTACAAGTTGAAGCTGGAGCCGTGAGAGACCGAGTGAACTACAATCACCATCACGTCATTTATAAACTCGTATACAGCGAACATAGAGCCTCCACTGTGACTGAAGCATGGACGACTAATAGAAACATAGAATCATCCACACGTCCACGTAGCTGCTACCAATAGTGTACGCGACATTTACAATAGTAATAACAGTCGACTTATAAAGTTACGTTTTGTAGAAGCTTCACTGGTGATATGACACTGAGTGATTTACTGCACACAGAGTTACAGCTGATTCTTGAGTCTGTTCTCTTGTAAACGTAGCGGCACTTCTTCGTTCTTACCTGGTTTGGTTTCCACATTGAAGCCAAAGGCAAGAAGCCAAAGTTTCCTCAGCGCAAAATCTGTGACAGGAAAACAGTGAAATGTGCATGGAGATTCAGCCAGATTTTTTGTTGTTACAGCCTGGATAATCAAGAGTTCGCACCATTTTTTAGATATATTCATATGTATCTTATACAAGCTCATATACTTATGGCTCTAGCTCTCTCGTTAGCTCTCTCGCGTGGCGGCGGTCTGCGCATGTAAACACTGCCGAACAACTGAAGAAAGTGATGGATCCGTGCGCGGCTGTCACCTGGCGGCCGCGCGCAGTGGTACGTACGGAGAGAAAATAGCACCAAGCGATTATGAGATCTGACTTTTTTGGCGACGATGGTTTTGTGATGCAAATGTATCACTCTTTTGAACACATATTGCTTTGAGAAGAAAAACGCTTTAGTATACAGTCCCCACACAACTTGCCGAACTACTTTCCTCAGCACCAAAACGGGCCAGTATCTCGGCTCACCGGACGCTTTCGGGGGTAAGTCAGTGTTGATGCACAACACTGATGACGGGGATGCCATACAGATTCATGTCAAAAATCCTGAACTATCCCTTTAATGGATTGACTCTTGGCTTTGTGTAAAAAGCTGATGAATATTGGAGCTAGAACAATATTTATTTGCATTCAATATATTGCTTGTTCATCTTTTTTTGTAATAGTGGTAATGTATTTTTTTATTTTTTTTTGTAAACGATAACTTGAGCTTATGACTAAATAAATACTAACTAGATTAGATTAGTTTATTCATTTTTATGTCCCATAAAAACAAAATTGGTTCACACAGCCAACACTATTCAGGGCAACAGTAGATGTAGTAAAAGTAATATAGAGTCTAGCCAGAGTCTGTGGTTTATCAGCCTCACTGGTGTTGGCAGGAAGATGTTGAGCATTAGGAGCAGTAGTTGTTTAGAGCTTTGGCCACGGACCAGGCAAAAAGTGTTAAAAAAAAGTGTGGGGGTTGACTGGCTGCTAAACTACTGTGTTTTATTCAGTTATATGTATTATGTAGTGTTTTATCATCGTTGTCTGGGAATATTGAGCTTTAAGGACCATTTTGTTGAGTTCAAAGTGTGAATGGTCTTTGTGTTTTCCAGTGGACAATGTGAAGGAAGTGTTGAAGCTGAGCGTGGAGCAGAAAGGGGCTGTGGTTCAGACCGGAGAGCTCACCGTGATCCTGGACGGACTGGTCCTGTCTGAGCAAAACCAACTGACTCCTCTCACCAACGGCAACACGGCCAACGGCAGTGAGTCTCAAATACTATCATTATATTATAGAATGAAATACTATCATTATATTATAGAATTAAATACTATCATTATATTATAGAACTAACTCTCAGGGTTCCTCCTCAGTCAGGGGGTTTGGAGTCTACAACATAACGTAGCATGTAATACCAACGTGAGTGTTAAATTCTTTGAATTGTTAATATTTGTTGTTTATTGCTTTTGTAGAATTCCAACAAAATGGTGATGCCATTCACGAAAACGGAGAATCCTCTTCCTCAAGGGCTGTAAACAGGTACAATTTAAAAAATGAAAATTGTCGAAACATGTTTGTAGCTCTGGATTCATCCTCACCAAAACACTCATTTGTACTCGTACATCACTAGTGGAGTGTATACTGACATTGTGTCTTTGCTGAAGCGTTTTGCCCAAAGACACGATGTTAGTATACACCGACTAGAGCTGGTCAGACTTTTAGTGTGCCAGAGCCACTGTGTATTTGAAATCCATTCTTCTTCTTTTTTTTTTTTTTTACACACTCCTATCCTTTTTTGCTGCAGAGGTTTCTTCTGCTCTAACGTTTAAACCAGTGTCTGTGAAAAGACTTTCTCAGGTCTAAAGAGCACTGAGGCTGCACAGTCTCTGCACTGCAGTCTGTGAACACACTGCACCACACAGTGAAAAATAAAAACATTATATTGTTACATATTTCATTTCGTAATAACTTTATTTTTCTTATGTTCCATTCCATGGCCCATAAAGATTGTGTTTGTATTTTACAGTTGTTAATATAGAAATAAAAATGTTCATATATTTAGCTATTGTTATGACCCTCTGAGATCACTTTAGTGTACACAAACTGTTAACCTTCAGGATTAGAGAAAACATTTTTGTTAAAGATGCACTGTTATAGGCAACTTTTCTGGTGGAGAGTTTGCCACCTGCTTGTCTCCATGGAGATGGCATCACTTTCCAGTCATGGAAAATGCGGTGGAACAACCAGTAAAACACCAACGTTATAGGTTAAGTGTTTATAACATTATAGTGTCAAAATACTTTTGCATAAACACAAACAAACTTTAGTCTTAAATTTTCCATTCGGGTTAACTTTGGGCTCACTGAAAATTCCTGTTGTGTCTTCACAAATCTGAGCTCTATCTGCGTTTCATTGACGTATAGATTATGATTTTTCTACACAAACTTTATCAAAATGGCAGTGGTCTTTACTTTGTGCCGAGCCTGCACTGAAACTCTTTGACTGTGGCTCATCTTTCCTGTTTTTGCTCTTTGAGTCTCAGAGGATTCTTTGAACTGCGTCACACGTCCTCTTCGCCCTCTTCGTCACTCGTCCTCAGACAATAGTCCCAATGTCAAAAGTCTTTTATGTGACTACAGTCCAGACGGGCAAACCAGGACAGATTTACTTAGCCTTAAATTACCGGAGACATAAGTGGGCTTTGAAAATGGCATTTTACAAAAGATCACTTTCAAGAACACTACACTGCTTTTAACTTCGTAGCGAATTCACGCGGGGGTGAGAGTGACACACTGAAAAACTCTTGGCTAATGCCTCAAATCACCTCACCTGTTATATTTTCAATAAGTTAGTTCTTTATGATCTTATTGTGTTAAACATAGAAGTGCCTCCTGTTAGCATCACACCCCCAGGGAATGTTGATGACATCAGCTGCAATAATTTGTCTGTAGTGTTAACTTTATAATTTAATATTATGAGACGTAAGGTTATTATCAGTCTAAATCTGGCTTGTGATAAATAAAAACACAATATCTTCAATAATATCTTTAATGTCCAGACTGAACCAAGTCCAAGTCCGGTCAAAGCAGAAACTGGATGCGGCCCAAGACAGAACTGAACCAGGTCCAAGAATTAACAATTTAGGTTGTTACAAAACAGGTTGTATTAGGTTGCAATACATCTCCTACCGTATTGTCTTAAAAATAAGTTGTTAATGTTAATAAGAAGACAAAATTTACGTTTTTGCATTACTGAAAGGTTGGAGAATGGCTGAAGCACAATCAATCCATTACTGACATGCTCCTCTTTTTTGCGCTGAGTTATTAGTAGTATTTTAATCGAAATCAAGATTCAATCATGTCTAATCAGCAAGGATATGGTTTGGGGTTTTTAATGGAGAAGTTCACAGTCAGTCCTCTGTTGGTAAAAGCATTTGGTTTGGAGCAGAGTTCAGACTTTAATGGATGATTTTTAGCTATTTTCTGTCTTGTTTATGCTCATGAAATCAATGCTGAAAATTCAAAATCATATCAAATTGAAAATGGTATTGTACTGTCTTCTTTTCTCTGCAGTGTAATGAATGGCACAGAGTTGGGGGTCCGGTCTGGCTCTGTCTCCACCTCCAACAGTGTGGACAGCGGCGCCCCCTCCAGCTCGTGCAGTCCGGCTCTGGCGCACGCCCTGAACGGAGACTCCTCCCACAAAAGCACCCCCACACACCAGCCCTCCGACAGCGACAACGACAGCAGGACGGGTGAGTGTAAGAGGGAATTAATCGGGTAAAGAACGCAATACCTGAAGATTAAAACTGTCATGTTATTGCTGTTTAAATAAAGTGGATTTTAATGTAGATAAGAATGGTCGATTAAAAGATGAAATATGATCAAGTAAGGATGAATTCTCTGAAGTAACTGATTAAAGTATGATAGTGTATGTGTTGTATTTGGGGAAATTGCCACTCAGGTTAGAGCAAGAGTTTGTGTCTGGACTAGATAACAGAATTGGAAGGACAAACCACCGTGGTAAGCATTTCACAGCATGAAGGTTCCAGGATCAATCTCTGGGCCTGCATGTACTTTAGAAAATGGGGCGAGTGGAGTCTGTTTTTTACAAGATTATATTGTATTTGACATAAGATATTTAAACTATTTATTCTTATTGTTGTTTGCTCTGCTGATGACCCGGACCTGAGTGCAGTTTTTCATTTCTGTGTATTTTTTAAACCGTAATGACAAAAAATTTGATTCTGATTCTCCCTGTGTCGTGAGGGCACTCATGGTTCCCCCATCACTCCAAAACATGCACCGTAGGGAAAATTCACCAGCTAAAATGTACCCCTACCCTTCAGTTTTACATGTTCACATGTAGGGGTAGAGGTGTCCCAGTTATCATTCTGGCAGAGGGTTAGGGGAAAGTGGTAGGGCTGTATACCCCTCCAAACGAAGATTTTTCAGATGCACACATGAGCAGTTTCTCAGAATGCCTTACGAATCATCGGCAAGAGGCTGCTACCACGACCACAGAGGCCAAAGAAGTTCACAAATTGTAGATCACATGTTGGATTTCTGGCAAAAGCTTGGCGCAATGCTTATGTAAAAGCCTTCGGAGATTATTGATTACGTATGTCATTGTTGAAGGGGTGTCCAAATTCATAGGGGTTTACTTTCAACCCCTTCCCCTTGTGGCTCAGTTTCTAGGGGCAAGGGTTAAGGGAAGGGGTAGAAATTAGAAATGGGATTGGCCCAGAGTATACCTTGACCCTATTCTTAAAACCCATTTTAAAATTGAGAAAAACTAAATCATATCTGACTGAGTGGTGCAAGAGATGTAATTTTGTCAACATAAAGTCACCTATTGTCACCTATAGTCTTAGTCATTGCACTCTGTTATTTCATTACAATATACTGGTATATTCAAGTAGGAATACAAACATGGTGCCTCGGAACTACTTGGAGAAGTACAATCTTACTAAAGTTACTCAAGTGAATGTACTTAAGTAAACGTATCTGAGTAATATCAACCTCTGACACGATCTCAACAGTAGCAATAGGAAACCAGTGGCAATAACACACACAAATGAAACAGAAGACACACACCAAAGTTCTTGTAGAGGTGCAAATGCAAGGAACAGCAGTAAAAAAGTGACTTTTGAAAAAAACATTTTTATTAATGTTTCAGCAAAAAGCCTTTGTCAGATCATTTTTCTTGCTTTGGACCACAGTATACAGAATGGTTACCAGCCCAGGTGCTCATATCCCCACCACCAAATATGAGGTCCCAAAGTGAAGTCAGATATTTACACAAAAACATTGAACATTCTATTAAATACAAAAATAGTTTGACCATATCACAAAAATATTGTATTGTGAATGTATTTAATAGAATGTTTTTTTTATCTAATCCAATCCAACTTTATTTGTATAGCACTTTTTTACCAACACAAAGTCTCCAAAGTACTGCACAGAGTAGGCACAATATACAGTAAATTAATACATTAAATAAAATAAAGCATAAAATAAATACTCTAAAATAGCAAAATGGAAAAATAGCAAATATTTTATGTAAAAAAAATCTGACAGTTTTTTTCTTGTTGTACAGTGGGCTGATCTCACTGGGTGACCTCACTTTGAGACCTCCCATTTGTTGGAGGGGTATATGAGCACCTTGACTGGTAACCATTTTGTATACCGTGATCCAAAGCAAGAAAAATGATCTGATGAAACATTCATTAATTAAAAATAAAAAGCTTTTGTACATCGGTCATCTGAGTGTGCTATGCATGTCTTCACTTTTACTAACACACAATGTCTAAAAACAACCAATTCACCTTCTTTCCCTCGATCTTGTTTTTAGTGAATGGTGAATCCTGCGACGCTGCTCCCGGGCCGTCCTGTCCAAACACTGATGAAGCTCCTCCTGTAGGCGACTCAGAGAACTGCTCTTCAGACACTGTACCACCAGGGGGCGCCACAAACAGCACATCCTCCACCTCCTCCTCCTCCGCACAGGCTTCCTCCTCCTTCGCCACCGCCGCTGCTGCTGCCGCCTCTGCCACTTCCGCAAACCCCTCCACCTCCACAGCAGCAGGGGGCGCCACCAACACCACGTCCACTTCGTCCAGTTCGTCTCCAGCGCCGGGAGAAGCAAACGCGTCGGGGGCCGGGGCCGGAGGGGGGAACACGACCACGACTGACGCAGCTAAACCCAGACAACAAGGAGCCAATGCAGCAGGAGCAGACCCTCTACCACCAGGGTGAGCATGACTTTATGTTCTGTCTTATTTTAACTTTCAACCATATAACATTGTTCCCACATCAAAAACATACCTGGAGTTGTATTTTGCTTCATTCACACTTGCCACGAGAGCTTTAATGCCAAATAAAAATAATTTATTTATGAATAAAAATTTATTCCGCTTTAAAAAGACCATGTAAACAAATGATTATTCATAATTAAACTTAATTCCGAAGTTAGTGGGTGGATTATTCCGATTTTAAAGCCGTATTAATTTATTCCTTGATCATGTAAACATTTATTCTTCTTAAAAATAATTGCGGTCGTTCAGCGCATGCTCATTGGGTCGCCCTTCTGACATGATCCGGCTCCACCAGTCTTCACTTCGGATTTTCATCCAGGTCTCTTTGGATTTGTGAGCAGGATGTGGGAGTGGACTGAGGTAGAGCAGCCGTTGACTCAGTTTGTCTTCTTCCTCCCTTCTCCGACACTCTTCCCTTCTCCTCCTCAGCTGACAGACGTAAAGAGTGATGAGAGAATTCCTGAACTGCTGCTTAATTATCCTCGGAACAAAAGTTTTTATCATGTTTGTGTCTGTGACGTAACGACAAACCAAGCTGACAAAAAAGCCGGTAGCATCTGAAGTGTGTGTTTTCTTCCAGTTGACGTAAATACGTTCATGTCTCCGTCCAATCAGAACTCTTCCCCACCCCCAGATTTTGAGCGGAATTAAATAAAGACGATTTAACGTGTTTTCCATGTAAACCTCAATTATTATTTCCATGTAAACTCAAAGGAGAATATTTTAATTCCGAACTGTTTAATTCAGAACAATTAATTTGTAATTAAAAAACATCATGTATACGTGTCCATTGATCCTGTTTGTGAATTTTTGCTCTGAGCCTCTGAATTCACTTTGTTTGAATTCTCCCAGGATTGTTACGTCACAGGTAGTAGTCCAGAGCTCTCCTGTGCAGTTTTTAAGCTCATAAATCATTGTTAGACTTTGTTTTGAGCATTTAACTGTTCATTAATTAATTAATTAATTTATTTTTAATCATTATTATTATTATTATTTTTTTTTATTATTATTATTTTTTTAAAACTAATATCAGTATGGAGGATTGTTAAGCAGTTGGTGACACACTGCACCTTCCCCTCCTTTCTCTCCTTTCTCTTCTCGTCTTTTCCACTTCTTTCAATAATTTATCCTTCAATCGTAAAAATAGCATCGCTCCTTTACTTAATCCTGTGAATGAATGTCTCCAAGCTGCTAAAATGTTTGTGTCTCTCCTTGGCCTAAATCATCCTCGGTATTTCTAATGCAACAGGGAAACCTTATCTAAAAATAATCTGATTTGGAGTCCTGTTGCGAGTCTGTAGTGAATAACCTTCAATCATGTGTGAGTTTTTATTAAGTTTAAGCCTTTAAAAATGAAAAATGAAATAAAATATGATGCAAAAGCACCTGTCTTTATTAGGAAAGATGTGGAAATTTTGTCAAAGTCATGTTACGTTTATCCCAATTGTCAAACAGATATAATACAGACATTATTTTAAGCCTGCCGCCCTTATAAAGCTCCTGGAAAGTTTGTGAAGATCAAGGTTTGGACAATATCTCATCTGAAATATACTTTTGACCTGCAGTAATGTGATAAAGCGCTTTGAGCTCGGTTTAAATACATATGGATGGTGTTACAGGGGAGATGCTATATTTTCTTTCTAAGCCAATTGTCTAATCTGTAGAACAGCATTATCTGGTTAATTTACAACATTACCTGGTTTCTGAATAGGTCTGATGATTTCATAATTTCTGATGTAGGGCAGAGGGCCTAATATAACCAGAATGTTTCAAAGTATGGCGTTAAAGGTGCACTTAATCTGTCATATAATGTTTTCATCATGTATGGGTGTTTTTATTGATCAAAAATACCTTGAAACACATTATCTTCTTACTGTGAGTGGGGTCGTCTCTCCATATATCTGACTTGTAATGATGGCACCACTGTTTAAAGCTGTACTGTGGAACAATTCTGATAGTGTCTTTATGAAGATAAGCTTGAGAAAAGTTGGATAGTGCACCTTTAACTTCACATTTGGCACGTCACATCTAGAGACATAGGTTCACAAAAATTAGGGTTAGGTTTTTTTAGGGTACTAATACATATGGCTAATGTTTTTTATTTATTGGGCCGAACCAGGAACAGAGTAACTGGCGACTGGCGTGGGCTGTTGTCAAGCTCTGGGGTTTCAAAATGGCCTCCCATTCAAGTCAGTGGGTCAAGCTCAATGGTGTATGACTCCAGATTCGCCTTTAGCCCAGCGAGGTACTTCCGGTGGCTCTGGGCTGATTCGAGCATGCGCAGTAGTGCTCAAGTAGGGACACGTGAGTGCATGCACGAAGCTCGGTCTTGTGCATCACGTGATCGCTTTGACCAATCAGAATGAGAGGAGCTAGAGCAGAGCCGATTATAAAGCTTACCGTATTTTCCGGGCTATAGGTCGCGCTCTTAAGCCTCCAACCTCATCAAAAAAACTACTGCGCGCCCCACAATCCAGAGTGCCCTATACACGAATCCACTCAGGTGTCCCAGCACGACTTCAGTAAACTACAAAGCCAAACCACCCGCAGCGCACGCAAACACACGCGGAGCAGACAGCGACCGCACAGCGACAAACACCCGCAGCCACACTCATCACTCCACACCGACGAGGAACGGAACGGAGGAATGAACCGAAAAAGCGAGCGCAATGTGCCACTTCTAGACACAACTGAACAACTGAGTCACTGCAAACACGCCGACAATCCAGCAGTCCCAGACAGCACCCTCCCTACATGCCACAACTGAACAAAGCCCAGAGTCAGTGAACGCCACAAACAAAGTCCCACTGACCCATCCAACTGTTGTGTTTCGTTTAAAGTCCGGTGCGGTTTATTTGTGAAAAAAGTTCGAAAACAGACCATTTAATGACAGTCAATCCAGAGCGCCTAATAGCCTGGAAAATACTATATTATAAAGTTTTTTTTTAAGACAACTGAAGGATTTTGAGCTGAGAAAATGTTTATGATCTAAAAATGGGTAAAAATTGCCACAAAATCCGTCATTTTTTAAAGTTGTAGGTGTGTTGTTAGATGAACATGAGCAGTTTGTGATTACATTGCACTCTATGAAAAAAATTCTGTCCCAGCCCAGGGGATTTTTTTTCCGTGGAAGCAATATCCTATCCAGTTTACCCTATCCGTTACCTTCTTCTTTTTTTTTTTTTTTTTTTCTTGGTAGGAAATTGCATTTTATTGTCCGCTACCATACACATGAAACATCAACATTATCAGATTTGTACCAGATTGGAAATTACATTCTATGCATGACTACGAGCAAAAAAAAAATATTACGAACATGAGGCATTTTTCACGGTTGGCCAGCAGCGCCTTAAAGACTCCCCCAAAAATATTTTAAAAAATCGTACATGCACATGCTTAGTCCGATCGTGCGGATATTTGAATCACTAATGCGTGATCTCGGCCTTAATGTAACATATTATAAAATGTATGACAAGTGTACACTGTAGCGTCGCCAGCTTCTCTCAAGGGAGATATATATATATAAAGCCATACTGTGTAACCTTCTTGTCTTAGGAGACTCTTCCTCAGAAAAGTTAGACAGTGCACCTTTAAATCTGGTCATGCAGCTATAGCATATTTATGTTATAATATTTGGACAGATTCAGATGTCTTTTTTTATATTAAGAAAAAGCCCAGTAGATTCATAGCTTTGAGTCTTTTGGGATTATAATGAAATGTTTCACCATATTTAACCTGAAACACCGGCGAGTTTCCACTGCGCTCTATAAACCATCAGCAGACTTAAAACTTAAAAGACTCTTCCTCACTTTTTACAGTGAGGGACAGAATTTATAGTTGTACGCTGGCTCATGCATCATTTTCTTTGCCCAGAGAGAGAACAGAAATAGAACAGGATAATATATTTTAATAACATTGAATTTTAAGGGAAACAAGTGGCCCATAAGATGTCTCCAGCAGCTGTAAAGGTCTTTGGAATATCCTTAAATGTCAATGTGAAGAGAAATCCTTATTAAAGTAGTCTGAATTTTGGTCCCTGTGCAGCTGCTGTAGTTGTAACTTTGACATTGAAAATATGGATATAGTCTAATTTTGAGGATACTGACTGTAATTCCATGCGTTGTTTAAGCAATTAATTGTTGACTTATTGAGTAGATGTTCACATGGTCAGTGATTTAGTAGGGGTGAGACAAGATCTCTTTTTCCAAGTGTTTACTTATTTTATTGGAGTGTGAGAGTGTGAAAGAAAGAGTGTGAAACTGAGAAAAATGACTTCTGTTTCTGTTTTGTTCAGACAAAAGTATAATAGGGTTCCCAAAATTTGTCAACTAGTCACTATAATGAAGAAATATTTGTATGTGAAAAATATTGAGCTCAAAATTGACCTTTGGCCCTTATTTGTCAGTTCCTGTGCTCTGCCTTTGTATCATGAGCCAAAAATAAGGAGTCGTGCAAAGACAAAAGGCGGAAACTGACATTATCTATCTATATTTGCTTGATTTTCACCATCCTTACAACACTTACACAGTTAAACAGTTTGACAGACAAGTTACTTTGCAGTATACTATGTACACTATGAATAAATACATCAAATACTTTCACTTTAAAGATAATTTAATTATAATTGAATACAAAGGTTTATTTATTTAATGTGTTAAAACCCTGCGCAAAGACCGCAACAAACAGAACAAGGTGAGAGGCTGGATTTTAAAATAAAATATATTTATAAACTAAGTCACAAACAAAACATGAACAGTTACTGCCGTTTGTCTTTGCACGACTTCTTATTTTTGGCTCATGATACAAAGGCAGAGAGAGTACAGGAACTGAAAAATAAGCGTCAAAGGTCAGCATTTTTCACAATATTTATTCACATGATAAACGCGGTCTCAAATGCCCCCAAAATGACATTAACAAATGTTTGACCAAACTCGATGTAGGGCAGAGTACTAGAATGTAAACAAAAATATAACATCAAATAAAGTTAATACTGAACCTTGACTTAGCCCAATGATACTGCGTTTGGTGACCACAAAGAATGAGCTTTATGTGGATTAGTCGTCCTGTCTTTTAAAATGCTAATATTTCGAGATGGCTGGCCTCCTCGTTTATGTTTTTGTTTGTGTTTTTTCTCAGGTGGGAGCAGAGGAAAGACCCTCACGGCAGAACGTATTACGTCGACCACAACACCAGGACTACGACGTGGGAGCGACCCCAGCCTCTGCCTCCCGGGTCAGATTCATTTGTTTTATTTAAAGCTGCACTATGTAACTTTACTGATGAAGGATCCGCCACCCGCTTGACTCCACGGAGATGTTATTGTTTTGCCTCGAATGTTCCGACATATGGAGTAATAAACACACCTGTAACTGAGTAATTGTAAGATAGAAAATTTTAATGCCACTTTCCAGCCAAAGCAATAACAACTCCGTGGAGACCAGCAGGTGATGGACTCCCGCCAGAAAAGTTACACACTGCACCTTTAATACTATTTATTTTACAGTGATGTGTGACTTATGATGCTGCTTTACAAGATTACATCATTGATATTCAGTGATGCTATTAAGCTCCTTGTATATCTAACCTCGTCTCTCTCTTTCTCTTCTCTCTCTTCTCTTTTTCATCTCTTCTCTTTTTCTTCTCTCTCTCATCTTTCTTGTCTTTTTTTCTCTCTCTCTTCTCTCTCACTTCTCTCTCCCTCTTCTCTCTCATCTTTCTTGTTTCCCTCTTTCTTCTCCCCTCTTTTCACTCTCTTCTGTCTCTTCTCTCTCAATTCTGTGTCTCTCTTTCATTCACATTGTTGCTTTCTTGTCTCTCTTCTCTCCTCCTCTCCTCTCTCTTCTCCCTCATGTCTGTCTTCTCTCTCTCTCTCTCTACTATCTCTGTTGCTCGCTTTCTCTCTCTCTCACTCTCTTGTCTCTCTCTCTTCTCTCCTCTTCTCTCTCTCTTCTCTTTCGCTCTCCTGTTTCTCTTTGTCTCGTCTCTTGTCTGTCTCTCTTGTCTCTTATCTCTCTCTTTTCTCTCTTGTCTCTCGTCTCTTCTCTCCTCTTCTCTCTCTTGCTCTCTCATTTCTTTTGTCTGTCTCTCTTCTATTCTCTTTCTTGTCTCTTGTCTCTCTTGTCTCTCTCTTGTCTTTCTCACCTCTCTCATCTCCCTCTTCCCATCTCTTCCCTCTCTTGCTCGCACTCTCGTCACTCTGTCGCTCTCTCTCGCTCTTGCATCTCTCTTGTCTCTCTCTTCTATCTCTTCTCTCTCTCTCTCTTCCCATCTCTCTTCCCTCTCCCTCTCCCCCTGCAGGTGGGAGCGGCGCGTGGACGATCGGGGCCGGATCTACTACGTGGACCACAACACGCGCACCACAACCTGGCAGCGCCCCACCATGGAGTCTGTGCGCAACTTCGAGCAGTGGCAGAGTCAGCGCAGTCAGCTGCAGGGAGCTATGCACCAGTTCAACCAGAGATACCTCTACTCTGTAAGACCCTCACTGCGGGACTGTGGGGGAAATACACTTTAGAATAACGGATTATGGATGGATAGTTAAAGCAGACCTCTAAAATCTGCTTTTCAGAGCTCTTAACCATGTCATAGTTGTTTAATTTTCTCATTACTCATCTGAAATTGTATTTGGAGTGATTCATGCGTGTTTGTCCAATCTTTAATCATTTATTTTCAAGACACCGTTTATCCACCAGTACACCCCCACTGCTCCGTACTTACTTTGTTCCTCAATTTTATGCTCTTAATCAGTGATAACGGTTCAAACGAGTGGTCTGCTATCCATCTGAAATACCGACTCTTTGTTTTGATGATGTTTACGGCGTTTACGGCACCGCAGTTTTTTAACGCAGATGTCGGCGAACTTGTTTATTTCATTCAGTCGTTTTAGATCAATATTGTGATTTAAAATGTGCAAATTATAACATGAATCACGGGTATTTTAGAGTATAATTTTATAGTTAGTCTCTTCTCTCTGATTCCTCGTTTCTCTCTCTCTTCTTTTCCCTCTCTCTTCTCTCTCATTCCTCTCTTCTCTACCTCTCATTTCCCTCATCTTTCTTCTCTTCTCTTTTCTTTCTCTTCTTTTGCTTCTCTCTCTTCTCTGTCTTTCTTGACTCTCTCTCTCTTGAACTCATCTCTTTCGTCTCTCTCTTCTCGTCTCTCTTCTCTCCCTCTCTCTTCTTTCTCTTCTCTCTCTCATCTCTCTCTTGAACTCATCTCTCTTGTCTCTCTTGTCGTTCTCTCTTGAACTTATCTCTCTCGTCTTTCTTGTCTTTCTCTCTTCTCTCCTCTCTCTTCTCTCTCTCTCTTCTCTGTCTCTCTCTTGTCTCTCTCTCGAACTCATCTCTCTTGTCTCTCTTCTTTCTCTTCTCTCTCTCTTCTCTGTCTCTTGTTTCTCTCTCTCAAACTTATCTCTCTTTTCTTTTTCATCTCGCTCTCTTCTGTCTCTCTGATTCTTCGTTTCTCTCTTCTTTTCCCTCTCTCTACTCTCTCATTCCTCTCTTCTCTACCTCTCATCTCCCTCATCTCTTTCTTCTCTTCTCTCTTTTCTTTCTCTTCTCTGTCTCTCTTGTCTCTCTCTTGAACTCATCTCTTGTCTCTCTCTTCTCGTCTCTCTTCTCTCCCTCTCTTTTCTTTCTCTTCTCTCTCTTCTGCCTCTCTCTTATCTCTCTCTCTTGAACTCATCTCTCTTGTCTTTCTCTCTTCTCTTCTCTCTCTCTCTTCTCTGTCTCTCTCTTGTCTCTCTCTCGAACTCATCTCTCTTGTCTCTCTTCTTTCTCTTCTCTGTCTCTTGTCTCTCTCTCTCTCAAACTTATCTCTCTTGTCTTTCTCATCTCGCTCTCTTCTGTCTCTCTCTTGTCTCTCTCTCTCTCAAATTAATTTCTCTTCTTTCTCTTCTCTCTCTCTCTTCTTTGTCTTCTCTCTCTTGTACTCATCTCTCTTGTCTCTCTCAAAATAATCTCTCTTCTCTCTCCTTTCTCTTCTCTGTTTCTCTCTTGTCTCTCTCTCTCATGAACTAATCTCTCTCGTCTCTCTGTTCTTTATGTTCTTTCTCTCCTTTTTTGTCTCTCTCTCTCTCGAACTCATCTCTCTCGAATCTCTTTTCTCTGTCTCTCTCTTGTCTCTCTCTCAAAGTCATCTCTTTCGTCTCTCTTCTCCACGGGTATCTTAGGTTATAACTTTATAGCAGGCTCAAGCACAATATGTCTTCTTTAAAAGCCCTTTACCAAACCAACTCGGCACATACAACTTTCCCAGCTTGAATTAAGTTTGTGAAGTCAATGACACCGTGCATCGTAGAGTATTTAAAGACCGAACACGTCAGCAACCACCGCTCAGAGTCGCCATTACAAACGCCTAATGATGTTTCTCTGATCAAGACAACGCGCTCCCCTGACGACTGAGTTTCATTTACCATCTGTGCTTTGAATCGACACAACGAAAACAGCCACGATTAAAAGTCAAACTTTCCAATTATCCTCATCTGATCCCGGCGCGCCAAGGAACTGTGAAACCAGGAAAAAAACTTGCAAAATGTTAGCCTGCTTTCCTTGAAGTAGAATACATAAAAATAGCTATTTGCTGTTTACATTCTATTCTGAGCTGGATTCATTATGCACCGTCTCCATCTTACTATAAAGTGATTTTATTGATCGCTGCCCTGAGAGTTATGGCTCTGTGCTGTGAAAAGTGCTTGTAAACTTGCTTGCAGTGCTTTAAGAAAGTGAGGAGTAAGTTTGGACCACTGCAAACAATTTAAAATGAATTAGTTCTGTTTTTCACATTTTAAAACTGTAAAAATCTGGTATAGAGCCTTTAAGATGGACTTAATAATGCCCTAAAGAACACATGAAGACTCTTTCAATATACACTCACACTATGCATTGTTGGTACTTTTCTTTTAATAGTAGTACAACAGTCACTTAGCACTTCAATAGTCTCTGCTTCAATTCAGAACCCAAAAATGACATTATGGCCCATTACATCATTTTAACGAGTGCCCAGTGTTTTTCTTTTAAATGTTTACACCTCTCCAGATTTTCATTTGCTCAGCAGTTCAAACGGGGCACACCTCATAAAGCTCTTTACGAGATGTGGACTCACAGAAGAACCACAACTTAAAGCACAACCCAAACATGACTAAATTAAACATTTTACACAAGGAATTTACAGTTCTGCTTAAATATTATTTTCCAAAACAAGTTTTCAACGGGACTTTCAGTCACCTTTGATCTGTGGTTTGATTTACTGTGTTGTTGTGAGCAGCAAAGGAAAGTGAACTCAGACTTTACTTGAGTAACAGAGCTTCAAACAGTGGAGGAAGTTTGGATTTTAATACTAGGACCACCAATAGTCAAAGATTGACACATGAGAATTTATTCATAAAACAATTACTTTACACGTTTTCCAGGGTGTTTTTTATCAGTGAGGTGACAGTGTATATATGTTTATTTTCAGGCGTCCATGATGTCTGCAGAGAATGACCCTCTAGGCCCTCTACCTCCGGGATGGGGTGAGTCTATTTAACCTGCTTTGAAGTCATATATATTACATTTCTATTTATTTATTACACAAAAAACAGTGAATATATGGTACAGAGGAAGGATAGATGCTGCACTGTACACTTTGTTAAATATTTTGTTTTAAATTTTTTCTCAGAGAGACGTGTGGACTCCAACGACAGGGTGTATTTTGTTAACCACAACACGAAGACGACGCAGTGGGAAGATCCTCGAACCCAAGGGTGAGAGGGGGAATGGGAAATAGTACTGGAGTTTAGATGTTATTACGCTACTGTTCAAATACTACGATTGCTGAATCTTTTAATACTGCACACGGAGGAATGAAGAAGTGTGCTGGTCAACAACTGCTCGTATTACTGGATGAAAAAGGGGATTCAAGACACTCCGATATACTTTGCTATGATTTTAATTCTTGTCAAACGCAAACACATCAGGGCACGTAAAATTCACAGGTGTGAGCTGTTGGTATTTAAATGTAAAAGTCACATGACACCGTCACGTTATATAGCTGTGTAAATATAATCAATCAATCAATCAATCAAACTTTATTTCTACAGCACCTTCCAACTACCAAAGTCAACTGTGCTGTACAACATTAAAACAGGATAAAAAACAATAAACATCATACAAACAAAGCAACAAAGCACATTACACTATAAAAATAAAGAAAGTGTCGCAGGGCCACGAAGTGTTAAAAGCCATTCTAAATAAGTACGTTTTAAGTTTGGCTTTGAACAGAGGCAGGTCATGGATGGACCGTAACTCAATCGGCAAAGAGTTCCAGAGTTTTGGACCGGCCACTGCAAAAGAACGATCACCCCACTGTTTACACTGGGACCGGGGGACCTCCAGCAGATGTTGCCCAGCAGATCGTAGAGCTCTGCTGGGTTGGTGAGGGGTCAAAATCTCACACAGGTAGAAAGGTGCAAGACCACAGAGTGCATTAAAAACAAACATCAAAATTTTAAAATGAATTCTGAACTGGGCAGGGAGCCAGTGCAAAGGAGTTCAGGACAGGGGTGATGTGGTCATGCTATATGCTATATACATTTTTATACTTACATATTTTAAAAGGGACAAAATGATGCATCACAATAATATGAGTGTGCACCAGTCTGGGCACAGGTCACCCGTAATGTACCGGAGTTACGTAATCAGAGTACAAATTATGAGTAACTGTATTCAGTTACAGTTACTGTTCCAATGAGAGGTAATTAGATTAAAGTTACTTTGTTGAAATAAATGGATTACACGATGTATTTTCCTGTTTTCACATTTTGGGCTAAATCAGGACTGAAACCAGGTCTGAAACCAGGTCTAAACCAGGACTGAAACCAGGTCCAAACCAGGACTGAAACCAGGTCGAAACCAGGTCCGAAACCAGGTCCAAACCAGGTCCGAAACCAGGTCCGAAACCAGGTCCGAAACCAGGACCGAAACCAGGACTGAAACCAGGACTGAAACCAGGACTGAAACCAGGACTGAAACCAGGTCTAAACAATATGACACCTAATAGTATGTAGTTTTAAAAAGCAGGACAATATCAAGTAATCTAAAGTATTCAGATTACGTTACTCACTTTAAGTAATTTAATGGATTATATTACAAACTACATTTTGGGGTATGTAATCTGTAATCTGTAGGGGAATACATTTTAAAAGTAACCTTCCCAACACTGTACACAAGTAATATGACACAGACATTGACAGGAGCTAAGTATGAAAAACTGAAATCCGAGTGTTACAGATAAGGTGAGGTCCATTTCCTCATTTAATCCTTGGTAGGTTGTAGCTCTTAATTTGTGGATCCACTAAGACTCACGTTGTAAAAGGTGCTTTAGTCGATCTCCTCCCCTGGGGTTCTCTGGTACACGCTCAATCACCATGACCTTTAAAGAATTCGGGCTACTTGTAGTGTTTTGCCGTAGGATAATCAGTATTTTGAGTACGAAAGACATATTTTTGCTCTGCCAGGCGTTTTTTAAATTTGCGTTTAGTCCTGCTAACGTAAAAACAACCGCATTCACACTCCAACTCCGTACAGCAAAAGTGGTAAAAAACTGCTCATGTTAATTTTTACAAATCAGTAAATTAAAGTAATTAAGGAGTATGTAAAAATTTGAGAATATATGCAATAATAATAATACCTAAGTCTTACATAGAGCTTTTCTCAGATGCTTAAACTTGCGTTACATTGTCGTGCATTATTTATACACTCCACACTCTGCGCCATTCTGTCTACCACCAGCACCCACTCACACACCGCATTAATACTCGGAGAGATGAGTGAAGTGTCTTGCCTAAGGACATAAGAGCACCTGCTGTCTCATTGTGGCATCTAGTATTCCCAGTGGTCAGACAAGGCATTAAGGAAATCCTTTTATAATAAGTGTAATGTATAAGTATAATAAGTATATGTAGTTCAGATCATTCGTACAACTTTTCCCTATTATTCACAATTATCACTAGTAATTTGCCACTCTCAAAAAATAGGTGTTTAATTTTGAGTTGCAGCTTTAGTCCTGGTTCTGTTTTACTCTTGAAATGTAGACAGATAAACTTTAATAACTGGTTGTAACAAAATACTTGAGAAAAAACAGTATACAGTAGACTAAATGAAATACTCCTCTCTGACTCATAAAAACATGTATTGCTTTTATGAAGTCGTAAATGAAACTTTTAACGGTTTAGAATCGGATATAAATCAAAATACTGGCAAACACATGAGTAATCCACCGAGCAGTAATGCAAGAGTTTATTCTGGGCGTGTTCATTAAAATCACAATGGAACCAGCAGCTGAATTTCACCAAATCCCCTTTGAGAACTGCGCTATTTAATTAAACTGTAACTTGATATAAAGCGCGGAGAGTGCCAGCGTTAAATTAAAAGTCAATAACAGACGGGTATGTTCCGATGCAGATTATTTTTCAGCCAGTTACAGACAACCTTGACTTATCTTACAGTATTTACAGTATAATTCGTTCATTAATTTTTCAATATAAAACCAAAAATAAGAAAACGAAAAAAATCAACAACTATATTCTTCATTATTTGTCTCCAAAACCTAAATGAAAAAACAGATAACGATTATTTTTTTCAGTTTTCGATTTTGTGTTTAAATGAATAATGGAAAAAACGGATAACGGCCGTTTCCTGTTTCTGTGACTTAAACTGTAATGCCGGACTAAACCAGCTCTAAACCAGCTCTAAACCAGCTCTAAACCAGCTCTAAACTGATCTCAGTCCTAGTGTCAGTCCTGGTCTCAGTCCTAAAACAGAACTGAACCAGGACTAAATCAGAACTGAATGAGGAGTGTCAGGACTGGCCCGGACGTGCGCCCATGTAGACTGTCGGATGATCAGGAAACCGGGACCAAACTGGGACCTGACCGGGACTGAGACCAAGACTGAGACCTTGTTTAGTCCTGGTTCAGTTCTGGTTTAGAGCTAGTTTAGACCTGTTCGGTCCTGTTTTAGTCCTGTTTTAGTCCTGGTTCAGTCCGTATGCGGCTCAAAAGTCCGGCATCGCAGTTTAAGTCATGAAAACCGGAAACGGCCATTATCCGATTTTTCCATTATTCATCTAAACACAAAATCGAAAAATGAAAAAAAGAATTGTTGAAGTCTAAATACAAACTGACAAAAAAGGCAAAACAAATGACGCACCGATCCAGCTTTTTCCAGTTCCGATACTTTGGCTTTAAGTATCTGTCAATCCCTGATATCAACAGAGACTTTTAAACACAAACAGCATAAGAGAAAAAATATAAATGTGTTTCTAACTGTTTCTTATCATTTAAAGTAACTACAGAACAGCGTTGAAAATATTATTAGGTGTTTTGGGCTGACATTGTCCAGTAAATCATCTTATTTCACCAGTTTATAAGCCAAAATGGGAGATCGACTGAAACGATATCTTGGAAACAATGGTCAGTCCATCTAAATTTTCAATATCTGAGCCAAAATCCAATAAAAACAAAAGTTAAAGGGCCCATATTACCCTAGTTTCTGATCTATGTTGTAATGTCTCCTCATCACAAACATAAGTGGAGTTGTGTTTTCTTTTCATTCACACATGATTAACACACAAACCCTGCATATTTAGGCGGAGTTCTTCTCTCAGACCTTCTCTCAAAAGGCAATAAATGACATATATTAAATAAAATGGTTAAAAATATGAATCGCTTTTGTCTCCATAATCTCAGTATATAAACCTATGCAAAACACTTGACACCAGTATATTCTCCATCGTTTATAACATAACATTAATTGTACATGTTCTTGTTGTTTTCAGGCTACAGAACGAGGACCCGCTCCCTGAGGGCTGGGAGATCCGCTACACGAGGGAGGGGGTCCGATACTTCGTGGATCACAACACAAGAACCACCACCTTCAACGACCCCCGCACCGGGAAGTCCTCCGTGTAAGACCAGTTTACTCTGGGTTTGTCACGAATACAAGACTGAGACTGGATGTATTATGACTATATTTATTCATTTTTTCATATTAAAATAAGATGGAACAAAACAAAAATGACAAAAGCAGTGAGGCATAACATTAACAGAATAAACACACAAACACATATACACTTTTACACAACAGGTATTAAAACAAAGAACATAAAGTCAAGACATTTTCTGGGTATTTAAAGGAACAGTATGTAACTTTCTGGACTATTCCAAGGAAATGGAAAGTTAAAACCATACTTCAAAACATTCTCCATGGAGATAAGTAGGTTTTATGCCATACTGTGGAACATTATAGCCAAAGGAAATTTTAATTTCCATGCAGATAAGTAGGAAGAGGCCAAGTAAGAGTCAGGTTTGTGGAGATGCGAGACTGCTCAGAGTGTTCAGTATAAGCACAACCAGATCGACAAAACAAAACATACTTTTATTTTAGTCTTGGCTAAAAAGTTACGTACTGTTGCTGTAAAATTTGAATTCCAAAATTTCAAAATAGCTTTTTAATTAATCCAAAATACAACAAACATAAGTATAGGCCTAAAACACTTTCACAAAAAATGCACACACGCATTTAGCTCAATAATTCTGTAGTTCATTAACAAGATGATAGTCCTGCAAAGTATGGATTTTTACAGGTTTGCACAGTAAAATTCATTGTGGGAGATTATTTTCAAATTGGATTTGTGTCCAGATTAATTTGATTTCACTTACTTTGTTTTGGTAGCAGACTCCTCCATTCTTTGATGAATTTCCCAAGTGTGACCTGTTCTCGGGATACGTTTGTTTTTGTAGCTGTTTCATTTTTGCTCAAATATTATTTTTACACTTCGTGTTTTTGTTTCAGCACCAAAGGGCCTCAGATTGCCTACGAGCGCAGCTTCAGGTGGAAACTCGCTCACTTCAGATATTTGTGCCAGGTGAGTCATTCAAGATCACTTTCACTCCTGTGAAACTGGCTCCTTTTTTTAAGAGGTTTATGAGGGAAAAACATATTTATAATTATAATGAATATTCTTACCAAGAATTACTTTACACAGATGGTTGTTAAAAGCCATTTGTAAGTTTATTTACAGATTTTCAGGCTCACCGGCTACACTCTGGTCTTTTCTGTCAGGTCAAATCTCACACTCCAACAGACAGAAATAATGTAGACGCCATCTAGTGGTGAAGTGTGAGAATACAACAGAGCCGAGTTGGCCAGTCTAATTACAAATTGTGAAATACATAATAGTATATTTTAAAGCTTTAATCGCAGTAACATTAAACTCAAATGTAATGGGTTTAATAAAACACAGAAATTCCCAAAATGAGGTTCAAATATGAGCCCCAGCGCATCGGCCCACAAAGACAAACATGAGTGGATGAGCACAGTTGTAAAGTTTTTAACATGTTGTCAGTGAAATTTATCCACAACTCCCTGTCTGCTGATCTTGAAATATTTATTCAATTTATGCATTTTAGCACAACTCGGCCAAAACCCAATAGCGATAAAATTAGAGAGGAAACACAAGCCAATTTAGCATAACATTTTATTACACCATTTCTCTTGGATTATTTGTACCACTTATGTAATTTTTAATGCCTCTTAAATTCCAGATCTGTTCTCACACTCACACAGGTCCCATAAAATATAACGCTTTAACTGATTTAATGTTTTTCTCTTGTCATTTTCCAGTCCAATGCTCTCCCCAGCCACGTCAAGATCACTGTCTCCAGGCAGACGCTCTTCGAGGACTCGTTCCAACAAGTGCGTTTCATCACATTAATTTACTGTTTTCATTATATTTAACCGCTGCTATTGACTGCCAGGAAATCCGGTGTTTGTTTTCTCAAATTTCATGTCATTTCTACAGCATCAGGTTATTGATACGGCTTTATGTGCATGTTTTAATGCACAGGTGTCAAACATAAGGCCCGGGGGCCAGATCCGGCCCTCCAAGACCTTTAATGTGGCTCTTGGGTGATTTTCTACTAAAATATTTTAATTATATTTTCTATTAAAATACTGGTAATTTTCTGCGGTGCTTAGCATAGCAGCATCTCCAGCGCCTCTGTACGTGGCCCCTCCCACCAGAGCAGCACAAATGAAGACTTGTCTCTTTCCAAACGCTCTTAAAGGACGATCGTTTTCACTGTTGACCGTGACACCCTCATCAGAAAAATGTCTAACATGAGAAAAGTGGACACAGAGTGCAGGATTTTCCAAGAAAAATTTACTTATTCCTGTTTGCATACAAGTTAATGTTAAAATATTGTGTTGAAATTTAATTTTTCTTAAAGTTTCAGGTTGTTCATAATATTATAATATTATAATAAGAAAGAGTTCATCAATTAAAAAAGATTTCTGTAATAGATTTGCGTTTCTCTGCACAAATGTTTGAACTTATTGTTATTTTTGGGGTTTATATGACATGAGTTTTCTGATCCGGCCTCTTTGGGATCAAAGTAGGTTGGATACGGCCCCCGGAACAAAATGAGTTTGACACCCCTGGTTTAATGTATTTGCTTGTTGTATTTTATTATTTAGTTAGTAGATAGTCATCACAGTTCATATCAAATGTCCTATGTTTCGGTAAATCATAAAACATCTCTCTCACAAGTTAGCTGGTGTGATTCTAGCTCTTACAAATAAATACTGTTGTTGTGTCCTTGGGCAAGAAACTTAACACACCTCACCCCCAGTGTTTGCGTACACTGGTGTATGAATGTGGGAATGGTTCCTTGTTAAGTGCTTTGAGGGCCTTGAGGGTGGAACAGCGCTGTATAAAAATGTGACCTTTAAGTTCTAAGGCGCGTATAATGTTGTACAAAGCTGCTCATTGTTGAAGCACTAAACGGTCGTGTGGTGTTCAGATCATGGCCCTGAAGCCGTATGACCTGAGGAGGAGGCTGTACGTCATCTTCAGAGGAGAGGAGGGGCTGGACTACGGAGGCCTTGCACGGTGAGAAAACCTTTATTATGCTTAATGATAATAATTCAATCCAATCCACTTTATTTCTATAGCACATTTCACAAACAAACAGTTTCCAAAGTGCTGCACAAATACATAATAACAACAATAATAAGATGATAAAATAAACTACTAAAATAATACTAGTCTTAAAATAATAAAACCAGTAAAATAAAATAAAAACAAAATCATAGAATAGAAATAAATAAACCAATAAATAAATTAAATCAATAAAACCAATAAAAACACATAAAAATAAAGAAATAAATAATGAAGACTGCATAAATATCTGGCATAAATGGGTGGCACAGGACCTTTTTGTGTAGAGTTTGCATGTTCTCCTTGTGCATGCTCCTCTTTCCCCTCCCGTAAAACATGTGCAGTGAGCTCCTCTGCAGCCTGGACTCCCCTGAAAAAGAGAGTTTTAATCTCAGCAGGGGCTATCCTGGTTAAACAGGTCAATAAAAAGGTAAGGTAATAGAACACCCATTTAATCCTCTTCGTTTCTTCGTCTTGAGGCATAAGGCGAGAATAGAACGCCCTCAACAAATTTTTAACCCTGTAGTTTAGACTGGAGCTGCTCGATTATGAAAAAAAATCATTACCACGGTTATTTTGGTCAATATTAAAATCATTATTATTCAAACGATTATGTTTTAGTTGCACGATGCATTTATTCAGCATTTCTCTCTCAAAAAAACAGTTTGTTATTGATAATTTGCATAAAGCTTTCAAGTTGAAAATCAATATAGGCTACAAATATGAACCTTAGAGCAGTTTTGCGATCTATAAAACATAAAATGAATAAAATATAGTTTGAACATGAAATAAGGCATAGAAAAACATAAATGTATCCAAAATAAACTATATATCCAGCTGTTCTACAATCTCCTATATTTAAAAAAAATATTAAAATAAAAAATATCACAAAATAAACTAAGCTTTAAATCGTTTCAACTTGATTTTATGGGTTTGGAGATCATCATGACACACAAATCGAAATCACGATCAAAATTCAGTTAATTGCACAGACTTAGTTTAGACCTCTATGAAACATGTTCTGAAATGCATTTAATTCTTGTATTTTAGTTCTATATTTAGTTCTGTGTAGTTTATATTTCTGTCTCCTCTCAAATGTTAATGCTTATTCCTTAATTCCGTTTTCCCGTGTTTACCAGAGAGTGGTTCTTCCTGTTGTCTCACGAGGTGCTGAATCCGATGTACTGTCTGTTCGAATACGCCGGGAAGAGTAACTACTGTCTTCAGATAAACCCCGCCTCCGCCATCAACCCCGACCACCTCTCCTACTTCTGCTTCATAGGACGCTTCATCGCCATGGTGAGGGGGCGAAACACGGGTTTAATAAAACTCGGGGCGTCAAGATTATTCAGTCAGTCGGCAAAGCAAAAAATGGTTAAAAGTATTGCTGCGTTTCAGTCGACAATACAACATTCTGTCTACGCTACTTTGGTGGGATGTCAATGCTTCGGGTTTTCTACATGCAGTTCTATAGTGGAATGTTCAGCAGTAACAATACACACATTAGCAAACGCTGTCAAAAAGTTTTAAGATGACTGAAAACTCAAGAAATAACACAAAATGGATTTAAACCGCACATTTTCAAGAGCCTGGGGTCAATCAGATCGGTCATGGTCCTGTTTAGATGTTTGATTTTCAACAAAAAAGTTGAGCGTAACTAAGTGAAGAACTGTTCTGACTATAATTTTATGTGTGAGAGAGACTTGTTTAACAGCACAAACCTCACCTGTTGTAGCTCTTGGTGGGATATGTCTGCTGACCAGAGACGATAAAACTGTGAGGGCGGTCGTGTCAGCTGTTTCCTGTTTAGAGTAAAACCACTCACTCTGAGACTCTTAAGTGTTCAAAAGATCAGAGCTCTGCACTTCTAGTTTAGATACAAGACAAACTGTGTTATTATTATTAGTGAAAAGTGGTGCAGTACTACAGATAAATTATTTTTAAAGCATAAAAGATTAGCGATAAAGCTCAAAGGAAGTAGAGTCTCGATCGGTAATCTGCAGCTTCATGCGCTGTGTGGATGTAAACAGACACACGTATGGAACTACTCCGGCCTTTTTACTTTTAAAGAACGACTCAAACTGGATTAAGAGTGCGTTTTTGTGGACTGGGTGTCATTATTTGCAGAGGACAAAGTTTAGGGATAATGTGGATGAAATGCTGCGGTTTAAATTTACAACTTTATGAGAGGTGAGGATAAAGTCTCCTCATCATTTTCGCGAGTTTGTATCTTGCGTCTCGGTGTCCATCACTCCTCTGCCCCTGATGCTCTGTTTTATTGGCTGTTACCGTAGCGTTTCTGATGTTTGGAGGTTATGATCTGACACTGACACCACACACACAAGGAGCAGCGGCTTCAAAATCGCACACAAAGAAACAAAGTCGCCTCACCGAACTTGAAGAGAAGAAATCGCAGCCAAAATCGGGCAAAGTCTCCTGTAGTGTGTGGTAGCCTTAACTTGAGTAACAGAGCTTCAGACAGAGCAGAGAATCAGTCTATCATTCGTTCTTTCGTTTTTCAATATAAAACCAAAAATAAGAGAATGAAAAAATAACTGTTTTCTTCAGTATTTGTCTGCAAAACCAAAATGAAAAAATAGATAATGATTAATTTTTTCAGTTTTAGATTTTGTGTTTAAATGAATAATGGAAGAAATGGATAACGGCCATTTCCCGTTTCTCTGACTTAAACTGCGATGCTGGACTGAACCAGGACTGAAACAGGACTAAACCAGGTCTAAACCAGGTCTAAACTAGTCTCAGTTCTAGTCTCAGTCCCGGTCCAAGTCCCGGTCCAAGTTCTGGTCCTGGTTTCTGTGACTTATGCCGGACTTTTGTGCCACATATGGACTGAACCAGGACTAAACGAGGTCCGGGACCACACTAGGACCAGACCGTGATTGAGACCGGGACTGACACCGGGACTGAGACTGGGACCAGACCAAGACTGAAAATGGTTTAGTCCTGGTTTAGTCCTGGTTTAGTCCTGGTTTAGTCCTGGTTTAGTCCGTATGCGGCACAAAAGTCCGGCATCGCATGGCAATTTTGAAAAACGAATGAACGAATGATACAGGGATTGCAGAGCCTTTCGTTGGCGTCACGAACCCAGGGAACATTGACCTGCAAAGTCTCAATACTGTAAACAATCTTGTAAACCCACGCATTTTGCTTCTGACTCTTTTTGCTTCTAAAATCCTCTGTTTCCTGTGTGTCTCATCTCCAGGCTCTTTTCCACGGGAAGTTCATTGACACTGGGTTCTCGTTGCCTTTTTACAAACGAATGCTCAACAAAAAACTCATCCTCAAAGACCTGGAGTCCATTGACCCGGAATTCTACAACTCCCTCATCTGGATCAGGTAACGGCCCATTATAAAACAGGAGAGGAAATTATATAAACATCTGCCAAAGAGACCAAGACGAGTCAAGTCAGTGAACGCCAAAAATCACAGATAAGAGCAAATAATACAATTAGTTGAGCTCATCTAACCATAAAATCTAATTACTTAATTTTTGGCCAGAGAAAACGAACAATGTGATTAAAAATAAGTGTTGTCTGTTATTTTGAGGTCAGTAAAAGAGGTGAAAAATAACATAAAAAACAGAACTGGTTTATTTTAAAGTGTTTGCAGAGGTCCAGAGCGGAGTTTAATCCCACGGTAACGCTGTCAACAACTTCTGATTCGAAAGCATAATCCAGTAATGAGATGCAGTGAATTTATCTGGCATTTATTCAATTACACGTGCTATTATTGCTACTTAGATAAATGTGCATTCATACTATGGACAGGCTCTCCTCTCCACAGATCTTAACGTAACATTCCCAGCTCGTCACCATAGAGATAGACGAGCATAAAGCCATATTTTTTAACAACTTTAAACTCATGAAATGAACGTTTTCACCACAAAAATTATAAAAGCATCTCTTAGACTCAAACTAAATGAACTTTATTGATCCAAAAGGGAAATTAACATCACAATATAATATAAAAACAAAGAGAAAAAAATATATATAAATGAGCAAATAATACGATTAGTTGAGCTCATCCAACCATAAAATGTAATTATTTAATTTGTGGCCACAGGAAAGGAGCATTGTGATTAAAAATAAGTGTTGTTTGTGATTTTGAGGTCAGTAAAAGATGTGAAATAGAACTAAAAAAAAACAGAACTGGTTTATTTTAAAGTGTTTGCTGTTAATGCAGACAACAACTAGCATGCTAAGCACCACTTCTGACTCAAAAGCATTTTATTTTTCAATAATTAGATGAAGTGAATCTTGCATTTATTCAAATGTGCATTCTTACTATGGACAGGCTCTCCTCTCCACAGATCTTAACGTAACCTTCCCTGCTCATCACCATAGAGATAGACAAGCTTAAAGCCATACTCTGGAACATCTTTAAGATCATGGAATGTTATTATTAATTATTATTATATTATATATCTTTTTTCTTTTAATATATGGTTACATTTGTTTGTTTTTTTCCCCTTGTTTTATTATATATATATTTATTTATATTATATTTTGTTTTCTGGAAATTATGAAAATAAATGGCTTAAAATAATAAGAAAAAAATAAGGCATAATTATATAAATGTATTCTGAATTAAAGTGTTTGGGAGGTTTAAAAAAAAAAAAAAAGATCATGAAATGTACATTATTCCCACAAAAATTTTAAAAGCATCTCTTAGACTAAACAAAATTTATTTAGAAATTATTTGGACACAGTAGCTCAAACATCACAATATAATATAATAACAAAGAGAAAAAAATACATATAAATGATAATATTAAAGGTGTATTGTGTAACTTTTCTAGTGGAGGGTGCGTGGAGAGGCGACCCTGCTTACAGTTAGAACGTCTGTTTTTCTAGGTGTTTTAGAGAAATAAAGCCACCTGTAATTGAATAAGTTAGAGCTGTTTAATGTCATACTGTGGATCATTTGAAGCAGAGCAATGACATTACCATAGAAACAAGAAGGTGACGGACCCCAACCGGAAAGTTACACAGTGCACATCCTAAATTAAATCCTAAATACGTAGCAAAAATAGCACAAGATTAGTGTCAAATAAGGCATAATTGTATAACGTTGTGGGTTTTTTAATGCTTCCTCAGGGACAACAACATCGAGGAATGTGGCCTGGAGATGTACTTTTCCGTCGACATGGAGATTTTGGGGAAGATCACGTCTCACGACCTCAAACCGGACGGAGCCAACATCATGGTCACGGAGGAGAACAAGGAGGAGTATATCAGGTACCACAGCCCCAGTACAAGCAAAAAAAATTACCACAAAAAGGGTCAAATGATGCAGTTTTACACCTAATTATCCAACGAAAACAGGTTAAGATCACAAAATGTTTTTAATTCATGCCAAAAGTAACAGTGCAATGATATAAAGCAAACTACACAGATCAATTCATGTTGTTGTTTGAAAAATATTTCACATTTTTCTTGGTGTAAAAAGATACAGTATGAGTCAAATGCTCAGGAAATGTTTTTACAAGTTACGCAACCTCAATCTGAATTTTAAAAACTGACATAAAGATGTATCTTCAGTGGACATCTCAGGACTGTATGTTCTTGTGGCTTAGACAAAAATGAATAAGTAAATTCATGTGGAAATTAAATTAAAGGGCTTATACCTGATTTTTTTCCCCATGTATTTGAACAAAAATCTGTCTTGCTCCAGTACAGATATATTGTAAAAGCAGCTGTTGAGGTCAAATCCGTGTATCATTCATTCATTCGTTTTTCAATATAAAACCAAAAATAAGAAAATGAAAAAACAACTGTTTTCTTCATTATTTGTCTCTAAAACCAAAATGAAAAAACGGATAACGAGTCATTTTTTTCAGTTTTCAATTTTGTGTTGTAAACGGCTGTTTCCCGTTTACGTGACTTCCGTGACTGCGATGTCAGACTTTTGCGCTGCATACGGACTGAACCAGGACTGATCCAAGTCCGGGACCAGAGCGGGACCAGAGCTGACTCCGAGCTTTGACTCTGTGCCTCCGCTGGGGTCCGAGCCTCAGCTTCGAGCTCCGGCCCTGCTGTGGGCTCTGAGCCTCCCGGTCTGGTCCTGGCCTGGTCTCGGTCTCAGTCCCACTCTGGTCCCGGTCTGGTCCCGGTCTGGTCCCGGTCTCAGTCCCGCTCTGGTTCCGGTCTGATCCCAGACCTGGTTCAGTCCTGGTTCAGTCCGGCATCACAGTTTAAGTCACGTACACGGGAAACAGTCATTATCTGTTTTTTCCATTTTTCATTTAAACACAAAATCGAAAACTGAAAAAACTAATCATGATCTGTTTTTTCATTTTGGTTTTGGAGACAAATAAGGAAGAAAACAGTTGTTTTTTTGTTTTCTTATTTTTAGTTTTATATTGAAAAATGAATGAACGAATGATACACGGATTAGGTTAAAATAAGTCTGCTGTGTAATGTCTGCATGTTATTGTTAAAAAATATAATGTCCATTTGCATGTTAGTTGTTGTTAGTTACAGGTACAGCACTGTTGAGACTTTCACATAGCCCTTACTTCAGGATCATTCCACGCCAAATCTTCGAATGCCCCCACTCGACCATATCAGATTTGACTGAAAGAATTCTAGGAGGTTCACACACTTTCCAACAGGAAAAGTCCCAAATTTTAGCTCCCAACTCCTTATAGTTTTGTCATTAAAAAATATTTCATCAACTCTGCCCTGACCTGTTTTGAGCAGTTTTTTCCAAGGAGCCACTTTCAGATTGCTGTATCTTAAAAACTATTTAAGGTTGGTCTTTCAAAGTTTCAAGGGTTAAAATTTGGCAAATATACTTGTAGAATCTGGACTTTTACACATGTGCTTTTGGTTTATCACACGTATAGTTTATTAGGAATGAAATGAACACTTTGTTGAGTTAAGCTGTGTGTCAAATATTCAGTGTTTTCTTAGCTTCTGAAAGTGCTGTCATTTTTTTGGTATAACATGGTAAAGATGGAACCAAATTTATTTTTTCAATTTTTAACACTTAATATTTTCTAGAGCGTTCATCACAGAGGCTCAGTTTTAAAATACAAAGTACGCAGCCTGTGTGGGAAGGTGTGTGTTCAATATCAAACCTCTGTCTTTGAAACTGCACTTTCCACAGTCCTTCAAAGATGCCCTCAGATTTGAAGAGTCGAATTTTCTAGCAAATTCAAGCCCCGAGAAATCTGTGATAAACCAAAAGCACATGTGTACAAGTCCATATTCTACAAGTGCATCTGACAAATTTTAACTCTTGAAAATTTGAAGGACCGACCTTAGTTTTTTAGACACAGGAATCTGAAAGTGGCTCCTTGGAAAACTCTGCTCAAAACAGGTCAGAGGGGAGTTGACAAAATAGTTTTTAATGACAAAAATATAAGGAGTTGGGAGCTAAAAATTTGGGACTTTTCCTATCGGAAAGTGTGTGAACCTCCTAGAATTTTTTCAGTCAAATCTGAGACGGTCGAGTGGGGGCATTCGGAGATGTGGCGTGAAATGACCCTTCTAGGTTTGTAACTGATAAAAACCAACTATTTGATGCGAAAAATGTTGGGATGTAAACCTTTTTTAAGAATGAATTACAACTTTTATTTTGTTTCTTGTAGCCTGATGGCAGAGTGGAGGTTTTCTCGCGGTGTGGAGGGTCAGACTAAAGCCTTTTTAGACGGGTTCAATGAAGTGGTTCCTCTGCAGTGGCTCCAGTACTTCGACGAGAAAGAGTTGGAGGTGAGTCTTTAAAGTTCTATAAATCAGAGGTGTCGAAACTATGGCCCAAATGATCATAGACATTGAAGTTTGTAGAGAGGATGTTCCGAGGAAAGAGAAATACAGCGACTGTTTGTTCTTTGTTTTTTGCATGCTCCTCTTCCATAGCTCTTCAAGTAGAAACGCCTCCTCCTTACTCTAGAAATCATGCTTGTTTACAGTCGGTGCATGTTCAGTTCAAGTTCCCTGTCCTGAACTAATTTAAAGACCAGTGCGTCAGTCTTTAGACCCTTTGTCTGCGTCGGTGCGTGCCATTGCTGGAAGGAATCTCCAAGAATCTCCTTAGTTTGCCTTCGCTCCTTTTCCCGCGAACTGGTCGTGGATTCTCATCTGCCACCGCAACAAATGTGTGCTGACTGCGAGGAAGCTACTGTTAAAAAAAAATAAAATGCTAAGAACCGCTGCGTTGGTCGAGTAAACGGCGTCTTGCTTATGCGGAATGCGTGAGAGACGAACGTAAATCACGTAATCCCAGTGCGCCGCTCAGTTATGCTAAAAACGTAAAGAGTTTGATTGACAACCTGACAAGTTTTGCTGGCCCCACCACGTCGACAGCTGATGGATTTTCTTTTTTTAATTACAAGGCTGCTGCAACTCTACAATGTCTAATGTCCGAACTACCCATAAAAGTTTCTGTGTGTCTATATATGATGTACAACTCTGGGACAGTCTGGATGCCAAAATATCCATAAATTCAAGTTATTATATAAACATATGGTCTAATCACAGGATATAAAGAGAAGATCTTAATATCAGAACAATATTTCCTTCTGTAGCGCTGGTTTATGCTTGTCGTTTCCTGTTTCTTGTGTCTGTTGTTTATTATTGTTGTTATCCTTAACCGTTGTAGTTCATTTAGTTTAATGTATAATGTCTGAAAAATACAAGAGAAAGCTCATGTTAAATTAGAAGAGGGGGTGAGATTAAATAAGTTTTCTTCGTCCCGCTCCTTTTAAAAAAAAAAAATTATTATGATTTCACTAATGTTACCGTATTTTCCGCACTATTGGGCGCGCTCTTAAGCCTCCAACCCCATCAAAAAACGGCCGCGCACCCACAATCCAGAGCGCCCTGTACACGAATCCACTCGGGTGTCTCAGCACGACTTCAGTAAACTGCAAAGCTGCACCACCCGCAGCGCACGCAAACACACACAGAGCAGAAAGCGACCACGTGGCGAAAAACACTCACAGCCACACTCATCACTCCACTCCGACGAGGAACGGAACGAAGGAAGCGAGTGCAACGTGCCACTTCTAGACACGACTGAACAACTGAGTCACTGCGAACACGCCGACAATCCAGCGGTCCCAGACAGCACCCTCCCTACACGCCACAACTGAACAAAGCCCAGAATCACCGTGAACGCGCCAAACAAAGTCCCACTGACCCATCCAACTGTTGTGTTTCGTTTAAAGTCTGGTGCGGTTTATTTGTGAAAAAAGTTAGAAAATAGACCATTCAATGACAGCGCGCCTTATTATCCAGAGCTCCTAATAGTGCGGAAAATACGGCACATGTTCTGTTGTTTAAGATTGTAAATCTCTTACTTGCCCAATAATGCTAGTTTGAACTTTCACTGACAATTTGAAACAAAAAAGATCCTCTATACAACCTTTAAGTGATGAATAACTACCATCTGAATAAGTCTGAGAACCAATCTGTGACCCTCTGCTTCAGATAACACCCCTGTCCTGGATTATATGCTTTAATCATGCTCCCAAATCCAAACTAATGCTACTCTGAAAGATTACATTTGTCTCAAAGGAGTAGCTGCTTGCGTTAAAGTGCAAAAACTAAAAAGTGGTCATTCAAAGCAGAGTTGTAAAAGCTCTTCAGTCCTGTTCGTGTTATTGAAGTTGATTGTGTTGTAGGTGATGCTGTGTGGGATGCAGGAGGTGGATCTTCAGGACTGGCAGAGAAACACTGTGTACCGACATTACACCAGGAACAGCAAACAGATCATATGGTTCTGGCAGGTACGCACCATCCCTGCATTTGAATTTTATGTTTTTGACCAGTGTTTCCCCAAAGACTGGGTTGTGACCCTCAGGTGGGTTGCAAGAGATTTTTTTGGGTCGCCTTGTCACGATCTGCATGTAGGTCTGCAGTATACAGTTTTGACAGTATTTCTATGCTTATTACTTTCACTACAACATATATGTGTGAATTGAGATTTTATATGCTTACAAAAAAAACACAGAAACACGCTCTCCTCCTGCACCTGGACGGGAACGTGCTACAAAAACACAGACAGGCCCACCTATCTCATTACAAATGTTGAAATGTTAAGACATGTTTTGTAGAATTTCTAATCTTTCTGTAATTATTTTATTGACTATTTTTGTTCCAGTATTGCTGGTTCAGTTGAATGTTGAAAAGAAAAAGAAATGGACTACCTTTAATGTCCAAATAGGCGACTTATGGATCCTTTTGTCGCTGCTTCTTTTTTCATTATTTAAAACTTGAGTAATACTAAATGTTCAGAGAGACATGATCACTCAGTCAACAATAAAATATCCTCATTAATGTTCAATAATGGTCAAATCCACCTTTATTTTGTGATTTATGAATAATGTCTATTGACTTGGTTCGTGAAGGTTTGTGACTTTTAAAACATGGGTCCCCAGAAAAAAAGTTTGGGAAACACTGTTTTAGACACTTACAGGATTATGAGAAGGAACAACATCCATATTAGTGTATTGTAATTTACTTAATAATTATTTGAAACTGTATCGTACGTGACATAAATATAAATCTACACCTTTTGTCCTTGTGTTTGTGGTGCAGTTGGTGAAAGAGGTGGACAATGAGGTGCGTCTGCGTCTGATGCAGTTTGTCACAGGGACCTGCAGGCTCCCACTCGGGGGCTTCGCGGAGCTCATGGGTGAGACCAGAGAGGAAACAGAAGATCGAATGTATTATATAATCTAGATTTTAGTTATTTACCTTTATTTTTCTGTGTGTTTTTTTTTCTTTGCAGGAAGTAACGGGCCTCAGAAGTTCTGCATCGAGAAAGTGGGCAAAGACACATGGCTGCCCAGGAGCCACACCTGGTGAGAATTCCTGTTTAAATATTTGATTTTATAAACTTTTTTCTTAGTTTGGAAGACTTAGGTCTACGCATAAAGCAAATAGTGTTGAATTATAAACGTGTAAACTTTGGTGACTGAGCCTTATCAGTTCGTGATGAACCGTTTCAGGGTGTGGCTGTACACAAGTGAATTTGCACAATTTGTCTGTGTTTACATTCTGCCACTACATGTGCAGCTACATGAAACGCTTGGCTCTTTAATATAATACGTGATTGAGGTGACAGTGTTGCTGCCTTGACTAAGTTTTTCCGAACCGCATAAATCCTCGCAAAACTACGGTCCTCGCTTTCGCTTTTCACCGGCACGGGATCTCCTGAATCTCCGCTCCAAATCTGGCATTTACAGTATTTTATTTTCACATTTGTATAATGTTAAAACAAATTGTTGATTTAATAAACACACAAATGGTTTTACATTTTGTTCCAATACTGTACCAAAAATTAACTGACCTTGACCTCAAAACCGAAGTACATACCAAACCTTGTTTTTTGTGTACCATTACACCTCTATTATTTAATCATGCAAAAACAAATTTAAAATACTTGTACTATGCCTGTTGTTACTAATATGTAAAGGTGCACTCTGCCGCTTTTCTTGTCTCTATGGAGATGTTATTGCTTTGCTAGAATGATCCAATCATGGTAAAAATGTTTTGTTTTTGCAATAAAATGCATGAGTAAGTGCAACACTGACTGCAGTTACATGCACACTAAAATCTTTATTATTATTATTTATTTTAACATTATTAAAATTACTTGTAAACAGTAAAATCATCTAATTTCTTTCTAATCTAATCTAACCCCCTCTGATCGCTCACATCAATCTCTGTGGTTTGCAGCTCAATTAAATAATCCAGTCTTATTTAAGGTCCAGACATCAAACATTCAGATTTTGGTGTGTATGTATCCGTAGCCACTCATAATTGTAATACAACCTCCACTAGAAAAGTTACGAAGTGCACCTTTAATTTAGCACCTTCAGTTATTAAAGGGCCAGTATTAAGGTATTTTCAGCTCTGTGTTATAATGTTGTTTTCTCATCATAACAGACCTGGAGTTGTGTTTTTTTTCATTAACACATGTTTAACTCACAAATCCTGCATATTTAGGCTGTGTTCTTCTCTCAACCTGAACACACTCTGGTCCACCTTGTGATGTCATATGGTAATACAGGAAGTGCTCCACTGTTTTTTAAACTCCCACACACCTTCACTAGAATCATTTGGTTGATTTTAGCCCTGGAATTGTAAATCTCTACCGAACAAAAGGTTAAAAAGGAGCTGTTAAATTGAAAACTACCACTACATGACATCACGAAGTGGAACAGAGCATTTTGAGATTTGGAGATGTAGAGCGGAAGCGGACGGGTGGGATGATAAACTGCAGTCCCGCAAACTAAATATGAGAGTAAAGTAAAATATACAAATGATGTTTGCCTATCATACATCATTCGTGCTGGATGTTTTATTTGGCATTAATAAAAACATTTTAAGAAGCATAAACTTGCGGACGTGGTCTAATCTCGTGACGTTTTAGACAATTCCTTTCCGCTTAAGAAAGAGTTTAGAGAGTTTAAGAGAGTTTAAGAAAGCGAACGTCACCATTTTGTGGGATTTGCAGGCTTTATTTTTAACTAATAAATAAAAAAGGATTACTTTAAAGGTGTGAATGAAACAAAACACAACTCCAGGTCTGTTTTTGAGGCAGTAATAACATTAACAACATGTCTAAGAACTCATGACAGTCAGTTTTGTGTAATATTAGGAGCTTTAATAACAGTTTTAATGTTCTTAAACGCATTTATACCGCAAAGTTAACTCTTTTAATTCATTATTTCTTGTATTTTATCTCCTCTCTCTCCAGTTTCAATCGCCTGGACTTGCCTCCTTACAAAAGCTACGAGCAGTTAAAGGAGAAGCTTCTTTTCGCCATCGAAGAGACCGAGGGATTTGGCCAAGAGTAGCCCCGCCCCCCTTCTCCTCCACTTTGCCCCGCCCCCTCCTTCCCCTTCCCCCTAGCCCCGCCCCCCTCCCCAGCCCCCACCTCCGCCTCGACTCAAAAACTAAACAAAAAATTGCACAAGATTAATCACCAATGTATATAAGCTATTTTTCTCATTTTTAAACCAAAATCTTAATTTGCAGCATTGATTTTTGCCGCAACCCATTTTAACAAAAACTGAAAAAAAAAAATCTCTTCCTTCTCCTCTTTTTCTCCTCTTCATGAAATATGCAAGCATCAACATTATAGATTTTTAAGATGCCCCCTACTGGCTGGCTTTTTAATAGACTGATAATGGGGAGATTTTATACAGAGATCCTCTTTTACGGCTCTAGTTCTATAGGGCTATTAAAAGGTGAGTGGACGTGCCTAAAATATTTTCGTTTTATTCGTTCTCATCTGTGCTTGCATGGCTGCCTACACAAGAGACTGTTTCGAGTGCATTTCTCACACAACTCCACTTTAAAGCTTTTAATTTGAAAATCTACAGTGTTTTTTTTTTTTTTTTTTCTTCACGGACTTGGAACTACGCAAGACCCCTTTATGAAGCGACCGGAGCGATAGAAGTTTGTTTTTTTTGTTTTGTTTTAAACCTTAACAAATAACGGAAAACTTAACATAATTTCGCCAACAACGTGCTGAGAAAAAAGCTCGGTTTAGTAACTTAAAATGATCCACGGAAAAGTGTAGTGTTTTTATTTAGATATTAATTAAAAAATAATGAACTTTGCAGATAGTAGATGGCTAGATTCAAATTGTATCTGTCAGTGCAGTTACATGCAAGCAGGAACTTTAACTTGTATATTTACATAAAGTTTGGACATTGCCTGAAATGTCCCACAGTGTGACTTTAAACGTGTCTATTTGTTCAAGTAACAAGCGTTTTTATTACTTAAGAAAAACCTTAAAAACTTCCTTGCTCGTGCTTCATGGAGACGGATATATTTAATGCCATACAGTGGAATATTCTAACATTTCAAGCTCATCAATAGCATCTCCATGGAAACGAGCTGCTGGCAGAACCTCTATCCAGAAAAAAAGTGAACCTAAATTTACCAACGATGGTTCAATCAAATGAATTACTTGACCTTTTTAAAGATCTAAAGTTGGATTATGTAACTTTTCAGAGGGAGGGTCTGGCACGTGTTTGTCTCCATGGAGATGTTATTGCGTTGCCTAGAATGTTCCACAGTATGGCATTTATCTAGCTTGCATGTGTTCAATTACAAGTATTATTATTGTAGTAAAAATACCTTAAAACTCTCCATAGATCTGACCTGTAACTTCACCTGTGACGTCGCCTGCTTGTCTCCATGGAGATAGACAGATACTGTGGAACATTTCAAGCAAAATAATAGTGTCTCCCTGGAAACAAGCAGGTGGCAGAACCTTTATCAAAAAAAAAAAAAAGTGAACCTAAATTGACCAACTTTGGTTCAGTCGAATTATTCACTTGACAGTTTTAAAGACATTTTAAAGGTGGACTGTGTAACTTTTCCGAGGCACATGTTTGTTTCCAAGGAGATGTTATTGCGTTGCCTAGAATGTTCCACAGTAGCTTGCATGTTTTCAATTACATGTAGTATTATTGTAGTTAATAAAATACCTTAAAACTCTCCTTAGATCTGACCTGTAACTTCACCCGTGACGTCGCCTGCTTGTCTCCACGGCGATAGACAAGTTTAATGCCATACTGTGGGACATTTCAAGCTCAGCAATAGCATCTCCAAGCAGCCGGCAAACCCCTCGCTAGAAAAGTTACAGAGTGAATCTTTAACGAAGCCTGACCGTCTCGTACATGTAACTGCACTGACGAAGCTTTTAGTACAGTAACATGCAAACATTACCATCGTACCCGTATTATATCAACTCACGTTAAATAAAAATGTTAAGAAGCGTTGTCAAACTTGAATAAATGAATAAAATAAAAAACAGCCAGCTTTGCACAACCATCATCTACCATGTTTCTATCTTAATAAATAACTGCATGTATCTATAAGTGGCACAGAGCAGAGACCTTCTAGCCAAAATATCATAAAAATAAGAAATAAAGACGTATTTTTTGGGTCGGATAAAAGAGTTACGACGACGAAAAGCTGAAGCCACTTTTCTTTGTAGGATCATGTGTAGGAAATCAAATGTTGTTCTTAAAGGGCCCATATTACACAACTTTCTGATCTGTTATAATCTTGTTTAATCGTCAAAAAACAAACAAACCTGGAGTTGTGTTTTGTTTCATTCACACGTTTAACTCACAAATCGTGCGTTTTTAGGCAGAGTTCTTCTCTTCTCTCAAACAAAAAAAGAGCTCCACTGGGTTTTTAAACTTCAGACACCTTCACTAGAATAATTTTGGATAATTTTAGCCCTGGAATTGCCAATGTTTACTGAACTAAACTTAAAAACGTAGCTGTTAACTTGAAAAATAACGAGGTGGAACAGAGCGTTTTGAGATTTGGAGACGTTAAACAAACGTGTGAATGAAATAAAACGCAACTTTGACGAGGTAACAACATTATAACATGATTTAAAACTCACGAGAGTCATTTTTGTTGTAATATAGGACCTTTAAATGATTTGAATTGAATCTATGCAGCTGACACTGTGACTGCAGCTGAGCAGAAAAGCCATTGACGTTGGCCTGTATGTTTCTATAGTGATAAAAAATAATAGTAATGTAATAATAACATTATTCAACTCAACTCAACATTAGTTTTTATCAAGTTTTGGATCGTTTGAACAGACGCAACTGAAAATAAGCCGTTAAAAGTAGTCAGATATAATACAAGATTGTCACTAGCCTCTTTTAAACACACTTTATTTTGTTAAGTATTGGCTTTTTTCATTGTTTTGTTTTTAAAATATAACTTTATTTACAAAAGGATTAACCAGATTTTCAAATTTAGTTTCATTATTTTAACATTTTAAGACAATTTAAGACAGTTTGAAAAGTGGGAGAGCCATTCATTATCAATCCGTGTATCATTCGTTCAAAAAAAGGAAATGAAAAAGCAACAATTTTTTTCATTATTTGTCTCCAAAATCCAAAATGAAAAAACAGATAACGATTTGTTTTTTCAGTTTTGGATTTTGTGTTTAAATGAATAATGGAAAAAACAAATAAGAGCCGATTCTCGTTTCTGTGAATTAAACTGCAATGCCGGACTGAACTGAGGACTGAACTGAGGACTGAACCAGGTCTGAACCCAGGTCTGAACCCAGGTCTGAACCCAGGACTGAACCCAGGACTGAACCCAGGACTGAACCCAGGACTGAACCAGGACTGAACCAGGACTGAACCAGGACTGCGTGTCAGGACGGGCCCGGAGGTGCGCTCACGTAAACTGTTGTGTGATCGGGACCGAGACCATTACTGAGATTTGGTTTAGTGCTGGTTAAATTTTGATTTAGAGCTGGTTTAGACCTGTTCAGTCCTGGTTCAGTCCTGGTTCAGTCCTGGTTCAGTCCTGGTTCAGTCCGGCTTCTCACTTTATATCACATAAACGGGAAACGGCTGTTATCCATTTTTTTCCATTTTTCATTTAAACACAAAATATGAAACTGAAAATGAATCATTATTTGTTTTTTCATTTTGGTTTTGGAGACAAATAATAAAGAAAATAGTTTTTTGTTTTGTTTTCTTATTTTTGGTTTTATTTTGAAAAACGATTCATCGTACAATACACGAATTATTACCACACAGTTTAATTCTCAACACGACGTCATTAAAGTTTTCGTGCATAAGGGCTACAGCTTCACCTCAGAATCAGATTACACTAGTTTTGTGAAAATATAAAGGATTAAATCTTATATTAAAATTATAAACACACTTTAGTATCACAAAGGTAAAAAAAATTATAGACACTGACCAATATTCCAGAACATACGTACTGACATTTTTTACATAACATCAGATTTGCAGTTACATAATTCATCTTTTCCTTTCTTATATGAAGTGTTGAACTAAAACAAGAATCCCATGTGTTTTTTTTTATATTTGTAGACGTCTAAACTACAGGGTAAGCAGGTTTTCTACACAAAAACACTGGGATATTTTAGTTGTAACTCGATTCAATTGCGATTAGCCGGGTTGTTGTCTTAACGTTTTTCTTCAAGGGTTAATTTGTGGACTATTTTTGCATCTGATGCATCCCTCTCGCAAAAAAAAACACACAACAGCGTCTGAATTTGCCGATAAAATGTCTAAAAGAGGCTACTGACTCCAGGCGAACCAAACTACGAAGCCATACAAAACTCAAGCCCATGGGTAGTTTTTCGATCAGTTGCTACGGTGACCATTTTGCACCGCCATCACGCGTCCGAGGTTTTAAAACGTTATCAGAAAAACAACAACTTTGGTGCTTATTTTCATTTAAAGGTGCACTGTGTGACCTTTCAGCGCTCGTTTCCGTGGAGGCGTGGTTGCTTTGCCTGGAATGTTCCGCAATTTGGCATTAAACTTATCAACATATATATAAAAACTATAATTAAAGGTGTTTTATTTGACTGAAAATGCTTTAAAAATCGGAATTTATGCGAGTGGTGATCGCCTTTTCTTAGACGAGACGCGTGACTCGGCTTGGTAGCGTCGTTAGATACGTTTAATGCCGTACTGCGGAACATTCCAGGGCAAAGCAAAACTACGAATCTCCACCGGGACGGAGCAGAAATGTCACGCAGTGCAGCTTTAACGACAACAACGACAGCAGTGTTTTTTCATATTTTCAGACCACTTCAGAGTAGAAATTGCAGCGATTTATCTTCGTGTAAATATATATAATATCTATGACGTTAAATTGAACGGAGAGCACTGTAGCAAAACGGGAGGCCACTTCTGATGAACTGACTGTGCTTCCTCTCTGGGTCAAATCAACTGTGTGTGAATATTCAATGTGTAAAAAGAAAATCGAAAAAGTACTTAATATTATAATATGACCGAAAACGCCGCTCCATTGATGGAAATCTGTGATGCCTTTGTTTCTATCGAATTACTGCGAGTGTTTCAGGCTGCGGTGGTCCTGGTCAGCCACTAGAGGGAGCTAAGAAATCCTTTTGTTTCACTCAAGGGTCATTTTGAGCAGAGGTCAGTAGTACTCAGTTACATTTACATCTTACATTTACTGACTTTAGAACGAAATTGTGCTTCTGTTATCGTAATTTTACTCCTACCTGAGTAATATTTGTTTTGAAGTAACAAGTGACAAAAACTTTACGTTACAGTATGAAATGATTTGTGTTTCTTGCACCGTTCCTTCAGATATGATTTAACTTTTCTCATTTTTTTGGTCTATACTTTGAAGGACAAAATATTAGATAATTAACTTAATAATAATAATAATGATAATGCTTCAGTTTTATACGGCGCTTTTCTGACGCTTTACAGAGCATTTTTCATTCACTCCACACTCTGCGGTGGTAACTTAATGTTTTTTTTTTTAGAAATTATAAATCAGATGTTATGTCCGGACATTTACTCTTTAAGTTACTCTTACTTAAGTTAAAGTTTTGGTTATTTTTCCCGCTGTGAGTAAATCTGCAAGGGACAAAAGCTTCATGTTGACAATATGAAATGATTTGAACTTTTGTGTTTCTTGCAACGTTCCTTCAGTTTTGATTTTGTTTTTGTTTTGCTTTTTTGTGTCTGTCCTTAGAAAATATCAGATTACAGTTCATTATCTAATATTTTATCCTTCAAATTATAATTCAGATGTTACAGCTTCTCTTACTCGAGTAGAAGTTGCCTCAGATACTTTTTTAATCAAGTATTTCTCAAACCTCTACTTCAGTAATATTATTTTGAAGTAACGTTGCTCTTATTTTAGTACAACTTATAGCTACTACCCACTTCTGCTTTTGAGACTATTCTAATAAATGCACAAGAATGGATAAACGTCACTACTTTAATCTAAACTCAACATTGACCACATACTGTCTGTAGTTTTACGGTCTGTGGTCGCACTCGCCCTGGGGCAGACTGACTGACAGAAACAATAGTGGCTGTTTTTATGCACCTTTTAGCACACCGCTCCATTCGTACAGTGACAATTATCGAAAATATGACTTCAAGATGAAATACAAGTGTAAGGATGCAAGTGAAAATTGTAACTTCTTCATAACTAAACCTTAATTATTCTAAAGAATGAACCAAGACTTAAAACACATTATGAATTAAAGGGCTCATATTATGCCATTTTCAGAGCTGTGTTATAATGTTGTTTATTTCAAATGAAAACAGAAAACGCACACCAAAGTTCTTGTAGAGGAGCAAATGCAAGAAACTGTAAAATTAAAGTGAAAATACATAGCACACTCAGATGGTCGGTGTCCAAAAGCTTTTTATTTTTATTTTTAAGTAACGTTTCGGCAAAAAAGCCTAGTTTTCTTATCACAAACAGACCTGCATAGTTGTGTTTTGTTTCTTTCACACATGTTTAACACACAAATCCTGTCAATTTAGGCCGAGTTCTTTTCTGTTCCACCTCGTGATGTCATGTGGTGATACAGAACATGCTTCACTGTGTTTCTAAACTCCATACGGCTTCACTAGAATCATTTGGACGATTTCAGACCTGGAATTGTCACTCTCTGCTGAACAAAAGGGTAAAAGGAGCTGTTAAACTACCACTACGTGACATCACAAGGTGGAACAGAGCATTTTGAGCTCAAAGAGTTACTCAAACATGTGTGTCCAGGTCTGTTTTTGAGGAGGTCACAACATTATAACATGTTTTTTAAGATTTTAGGGTATTAATTAAGTAGTAACTAAGCCTGAATCATTCTTAAAAAATATTTGTTCATTATGATTTAAGTCTTTGTTCATGCTTTATTAAGACTAATTAAAGTATAGTTATTATAAAGTGTTACCTTATACCTCTACGTATTAAATAGTTCACAGTAATAAACAACTATATCAGTGTTGACCAGAACTACGGCAGGTCTGAAACGCTTCAGTCTGTAACATATCGCTGTAGATACACACTGTACAGAGCGCCCCCTACTGCTGACGATGTGTATAGAAGATTCATTTTTAATCTGCTTTTGCCCATTTCAAATAAAGAGAGATGGATTTATGAAATACGAATAAAAAACATGGATAAACCCTTGTTGTAATCATGAATTCTATGAAATTTTTTATATTTGGTAAATGAAACATATATAAAGTAAAGAATAAAACTGTAAAAAAAAAAACCAGCAACTGTAGTACAAGCCAGCTTGCAGATTTCAGCATTAAAAACGAGACAATCTAACATTTCATCCAGTTTAATTTATTTAACAGTTATTGTAAAACAAAAATGATGAATAACCAGCACATGGATAAAACTACACATTTAAAGTTAAAATCAAGTAAGTTTAATGTGAAAAATGTTTGTGCAAATCCGTCTGTGACATTATCAACAACTGAAAATAATTACATGTTATTATTATCATTTTGCATTTCAGTTTAAAATCATCGTATTGTGTAACTTTTTTGGGTCTAGGGTCCGCCACTTGCTTGTCTCCATGGTGATACTACGGTTTTGCCTTGATAGTAAACTTTGTAATCACCATAGAGACAGGTTAAAGGTCAGATCTATGGAAAAGCAAGCCTTCACATGGTAAGAATTTGCATTTTTTAAGCTTTTTTTGAGCTATAAAACACTTGTAATTGAACAAAAGCAAGGAAAATATGTGTAATGCCCTACTGAGGAACATTCCAGGCCAAAACATGACATATCCATGACGACAAGAACGTAGCAGACCCTCCACTGTAGAAGTTACACAGTGCACCTTTAAATTAATCTGAACTGTTTTCTACACCAGATGTTTTTAATACCTTGAAAAACATCCATTCTTAAAGCGATAGAAGTCGCCTCTCCACAGATCTGACCTGTAACTCGATCTGGTTGAGTTATCTGCTTGTTTCCACGGACGTAGATCAATTTAATACCATACTGTGGGATATTCCGGGCAAAGAGCAATGAAATCTCCATGGAAAAAAGCAAACGGCAATGACCTATCACCCAGAAAAGTTACACAATGCACCTTTAAATTATCCTGAGATCAGTAAGAAATTCTACGTAACGAGTTAAAATACGACACTATACCCTCTATTAATCAGATCTTAAATGGGAAATATAAGTTAATGAGCAACCCTCTACAATCTGAAAATATCCGTGAGCAGTTTAGGTTCACGAAGGCACCGCCGTGTTGCGTTTAAGGTCGTCTTTAACCGAGGCCGTTAAGCATTTCCGCGGCCTGTTTGTGAACCTGCAAAGAAAACAACACTGGTGAGTAAATATTTAATCTTTTAAGTTACTAAAATGCAAAAAATAAAAGTGTGTCCTGTGTGTAAAATTGTTAGTTTAAATTGACACTTTGCAGGGACATCGCTCTGGGGGTGTTCTACATGGATCTTACCATAGAGTTACCATGGTGACACAATGTACACCAAGGACCTCCAACATTTTTCCATCAGTGAGCTACCTACAAAATGAGCTACTCATTTTAAGAATTGCAAAGAAATTAGAGTCATGGCGAGGCTTAGACAAGGAACACTAAGATGGATATAAAACAAAAAAACATTATTATTTATTAGTGCACAGTTGGGCATCAAAATTCTACATTTATAGTGGTAATTGATCAGATTTTACTTATTTAGTACAATATATAGAATTCAGAAATCCCTTGGCGAGCTACTTTGAATGGAGTGGAGAGATACTGGCAGAGGGTCAATCCTGTGTTTGCTTATTTCTAAGATTTTTCTCAAAATTAAACTCTAAGTCAAGTCATTTTTATGTGTATACTGCATTTAAAGGGATGATCCAGAGTCATTTCAACCTAGGATTCTTTACACCATGACCTCTACATTACATCTGTACTCAAGTGTTGCAGAAGAATACTGTAGGTTGGGTGTAATTGAGAGAAATGTGGATAAAATCTGATGCAAATTGATGATAAAGAAAATGTGGGAACATAGGGCCTAATTTTTGTTAAAAAACAACAACAACAAAAACAAAACTGGTAACACTTTATAATAACTACACCTTGTTTATGCTTTATTAAGGCTAAATAAAGACTTAATTAATAATGATTCACGCTTAGTAACTAATTACTACCTGAATTAGCACTTAACTTGCACTTAATTCGCCTGTGCTGTAAATAGTTACTCAATATTTCTTAATTACTCATGAACTAATCATTTGTGTGTGCATTTGAAAATGTATATTTAAGTACAAATTTGAGCATTTATTAATGATTAGTAAGCCATGAGAGAATGATTTACTAGTAATGCATTATTGTTTCTCTGGAATTTGACCAACCTTAACAAATGCTTAATAAAGAATAATTCGTCTTCACTTTAGAAAAGCTCTCAGAAAGACTTAACTAACAGATAACAGCTGCCTGAATGATCATTGCATTGCATTATTAGTAAATCATTCTCTCATAACTTACTAATCATTAATAAATGCTCAAATGTGAACTTAAATATGCATTTGTAAACATGCAAATGGTTAGTTCATGAGTAATTACGAAGTATTGAGTAACTATTTACTGCACAGGCAAATTAACTGCAAGTTAAGTGCTAATTCAGGTAGTAATTAAGTAGTTACTAAGCATGAATCATTATTAATTAAGTCTTTGTTCATGCTTTATTAAGGCTAAATAAGGTGTAGTTATTATAAAGTGTTACCAAAAAACTTAGAAATGAGGAAACCGGCATGCTCCCCTGATGTACACATTAGCAAAAACTGCCAAAAATGTTTTAAGATCGTCTGAAAACTCTGATCAATGCGAGCGTTCACGGTCCCATTTAGGAGTTTGATTTTCAACAAAAAGGTGAGAGTGACTAACTGAAAAACTATTGATTAATGCTAGCTAGTTTGTGACTGTAATTTTATGTGTGACTTGTTAAAGCGCACAAATCAGCTGACCTGGTGTAGTTCCTCCTAAGTCAGGTTTTTCTGGTCAAATTGTGTTGAAACAAAACTCGAATTACAGGCTAATTTGAGTAACACTGCTTCATTACGACATGCCTCTATTTAGACGTGCTGGTTTTCTGACACTTTTTAGTATCATGAACCCCCCATATGCTGCGTAGACCGTGCCTCCTCCAGTGTTTCCGGCACCACTAAACCAGGACTAAACCAGGACTAAAATCAGGTCTAAACCAGGTCTAAACCATGCCTGCTCCGAATATTGTCCCGAAAAGGGTGCCCCCCTGGTCTGCGAAATATTATCGGACATAAAACTGGTCCATGGTGCAAAAAAAGTAGACATTTTCCCGAAGGCTGGCCTATGCTCTTTTTTTTAAAACGCATGACTGTTTCCCCCAGCGACATTTTCCCACTGTCTGATATTCTTTGTGGCTGAAGTATGCACTGGTCAGGTGCTTTGCCCAAGCATTTTATGATATCTTTGAAAAATAGTAAAGTGCTGCTACTCTGACAATGAAAAAAAAAAAAGTTGAAGTAGTGGGACGCTTGAAAACTAATGTTTATACCGCTACTCTAGAGACTTGTTTAGCAGCACAAATCAGCTCCACTTTTGTAGTTCCTGCTAAATCAGTTCTTTCTGGTCAGATTGTGTTAAAAATAAAGCTCAGATTAAAGTCTAACTTGAGTAACAGAGCTTCAAACGGTGTAGTGCTTTCGGTTAGCATCACAAAACTGTTACCTCTTTGTCCTCGTGAGTGAGAGGGTGGTACTCTTTTGCTTTGGTCAGCCACAGTTTGGCGTTCTCTTTGTCATTTATCTTCAGATACGTCTTTCCGAGCATCAGTAAGTTCATACTGTAGAAGTTTGGATCCTCTGCAAGAAAAAAGAAAACAATATGATTATTATTTAACCAGTACAGTTTCACTTAGACTGTGGGATTTTGAGGTCATTTGTAGTTGAGGGCGGCTTGCAGCCGAGCGTGAAGCGGCTGGAATGAGGATCAGCTCCTCCATATCCGAGGCCATGGTTCTCGACCGGAGAAAGGTGTCTTGCCCTCTCCAGGTGGGTGGAGAGTCACTGCCTCAAGTGGAGGAGTTCATATATCTCAGGGTCTTGTTCACAAGTGAAGCTCGGAGGACGGAACGTGAGATTGACAGGTGGATCAGTGCAGCGTCTGCAGTGATGCAGTCGCTGTATTGGATCGTTGTGGTGAAGAGGGAGCTGAGCTGAAAGGCAAAGCTCTCAATTTCCCGTCAATCTACCCTCACCTATGGTCATGAGCTCTGGGTAATGCCCGAAAGGACAAGAACGCGGATACAAGCGGCTGAAATGAGTTTCCTCTGCAGGGTGGCTGGGCCCTTAGAGATAGGGTGAGGAGCTCAGTCACACGGGAGGAGCTCGGACTAGAGCCACTGCTCCTCAAAGTCGAGAGGAGCAGTTGAGGTGGCTCGGGCATCTGTTCCAGATGCCTCCTGGGCGCCTCCCTCGGGAGGTGTTCTGGCCCCGAGGAAGGTCCAGGACACGCTGGAGGGACTATGTCTCTGGGCTGGCCTGGGAACGCCTTGGAGTCCCCCTGGAGGAGCTGGAGAAAGTGTCCGGGGTGAAGGAAGTCTGGGAGTCCCTGCTTAGACTGCTGCCCCCAGATAAGTGGAAGAAAATGGATGGATTTGTAGTTTGTATTTTTGTAATAATCTAATAGTTACAGTACAGTAATTATTTTGGGATTAGGCAATTCATTTTTGTTTAAATAATTGTGTTCTGATACTGTACCTGCTTCTGCTTTCAAGAAGTAATCCAAAGCCTGAAAAACACAAATACAGAATATTAAAACATGCAAACAACCAGCAGACAGATTTGACTTATTTCTTGTCGCAGCGATGTTTCTGTCAATCTGCTCCAGTTGCTTACAGAAGTAGCTCACCAATACCGACAGTGACTTAAAATTTAACAACATTGTAATCAAATAAACTGTAACTATTATAGAGAAATTATTAAAGAAAGCAAAACCGAACCCACTGACCTCTTGATACGTCGACATTGGGGGAGTGGCAAAAATAACTGCTGCCATTTTACGCTGGTACCAGGGCAAATCGGCAAACGCAAAACACCTGAAAATATATTTAAATAAAACAAAAATGAAAAGAAAAACATTTAAAGAGAATTTCAGTTTAAATGTACACTCTGTAACTTTTCTGGTGGAGTGTCAATTCACTGGTTTGTCAAGCTTAATGCCATATTGTGGAACATTCTAGGCAAAGCAGGTAGCAGACCCAAATTATTCTGCCCTGTAAGATATTGCTGATTTTTATATTTTTATTACATCAGTTTAACGGTCTCACCAATATCCGAGGATGTGCAGTGAAGTGGCGTCTTTTGGATTCAAGTCAATAGCTCTCTGAAAAAAAGAAGCACAAATTATATCTAAAAAACTGTATTTAAGACAATGTTGAAAAGCTCATGGACCATTCTCTTGTTTTGGCTCGTTCTCATTTGATTAACAAGGACTCATTATATTACCTACATTAGATTTGATCATTATTTTCAAGCAGTTAATCTTACATGTTCTCTATTTCTTGCAGTTTTATCTTGTCCAAAAGTCTCATAAATAACAGACCTGCAGATGTTCCCTGATGATGTAGGAGTTTCCCAACTTCACTTTGATTCCTTCATAATCCCCAATGTCACTCAGACAGATGGCGTACCACTGCAACAAAACACAAAACACAAAACACGATTATTTTTAGTAACACGACAAGGATGGCCAAGGGTTAAAGGTACACTAAGTAACAATGTGGCATTAAACTTAACACCACAGGTCAGATCTATGGAGAGGTGAAGAATTGTTTTTTTTACATTTTTTTTTATTTTGTAGACATACGAAATCAGAAGTGAATGCTAGTGTTTCAATGAGAATAGCGAGGCCAGGTGGTGACCTTTTTCAGCCTGTTTCATCAGCAGGTTTCACTTCTTGGAAACCGTCTGACCTCACAGCATTAGGAGTCGTTTGCTCAACGTTAGGCAGGTACATTTTTAATTTAACCAATCGCTGCTATTTGGTCATGATGTATGTAATGCGCCACTAACAGAGTTAACTGGTATATTAAGCTTTTCCCAAATCCCGTAGGAAGAAGGACAATAATGTCTTTCCCCTTGATAAAATTCACCAAACATTCTCTTTGTTCCGGCTTTAAATCCTCGAGCTTGGGAATTGTTGACAACACAGAATGTCTGTCTCTTCACTGATTGGCTGGTGCCCGGATTTGCACTTCCGAGGTTCTTGCAAACCGTCTAGTGTATTCTGATTCCTGATCTAGTCACTGGAGAGAAATGAAATTGAGCAGAGGCACTAGGTGGCGCCAGCCTGGCTACCCACCATGAGTAAATTTAGTAGTTTAAGTCGCAATTAGGGTTGGCAAAAGTATTGAAAATCACACACTAAACAATACAAGAACTAGTATTGAAACACATTTCACTGTTCAGTTTCTGATTTTGGTCTCACAAATTTGTATTTATTTGATTTAATATTTTTGTTTCCATCTAGTTCTGCTTTTTGGAGCTGTAAGAGATGTAACTCACCAAGACCGAACTGACTCAATGTAAATAGACGACAAAAGCTTTCAGAGGCGATGAAAGCAGACGGCCTGAACTTGAAAACGTTCTTGAAGACGTGCACACCTGCGGATTATATTCAGGTGCGACCTATATATGTACAGTTTTAAAATTTGGTTAAAATTTAGTTGATGCGGCTTATATTCAGGTGCGTTCAATAGTCAGTAATAGAAAATACGGTAATTATTTTTTGTCCAATCCAAATGTAAACAACACAGGGGAAAAAATCTGACGAGATTATTTTTCTCACACCAGGTGGTGAACTTTTTACCCACCGTGAGTAAATTTGGAAATATTAAATTATGTAGCCATGAAAAAATTTATATTCAAATCATCACAGTATTGACAATTTGTCCCTTGGTCTTCTCTCAGTGCCAAAAATAAAAAACAGTGAGCAAAGCAAAGGGTGGCTATTAAAAAAATAATAAAATGAGTTATTCTGAGTTTATTTTTTTTTACTACAAACTGTGTGTACTTAAAGCCTGTGTAAACCTGCGTCTCACTTTATGCGCGGCGAAGTTGGTCTCCTCCTTCTCCAGAGCCCTTTTGGCACAATCCAGAGCCTCGTAGACCAGCTGTTTCTTCTTCTCTGGTGCGGTGTCCGGTAGAAGAGCCAGATCCCGAGACGCACGAGCCAAACGCCACAAGAACTCTGCGTCATCTCTGAGAAAACACTTACATTTATTATATATAGTTATTATACATGGGCCTGTCGTAATAACACATTTTAAAGTGTGACATTTTGCTAAAGAAAATACAGACGATACATTTTGTACTGCATCGTGTCTCTGATTAGAGGAGCTCAAACTGTGGACAAATATCAAATCAAATATTTATAAAAATGGCAGTTGTTCACATTTGATATTTTATACAGTAAAATGTTTTATTTTTTAAGTTTTAAATTTAGAATGTCAGAAAAAATGTCCAAATTAAAAGGTGCATTGTGTAACTTTTATTCAATTACAGATGGTTTTACGGCTCAAAAATATCTTAATTAACAGGTGTTTTGACTGTGAGCCTCTCCACAGTTCTGACCTGTAACTTGGTCTGGTTTGGTCTCCATGGAGATAGAAAGGTTTAATGCCGTACTGTGAAACACTCCAAAAAAAGCAATAACATCTCCCTGGATTAAGCCGTTTGTTGGGCCCTCCAGCGGAAAAGTTACACAATGCATCTTTAATATTACATTAAATCTCAGTACATTTCAGTACAAACCTGTTTTTGTGCTGCAGTAGAAGCTGATAGAGTTTATCAGTTTCCGCACAGCTGTAGAGGTAATCCGCCTGCTCCAACAGCTCCTCTGAGAAAAAACAGAAATGTACTCGTGATAAAAAGGCTAGACAATAATCGTTTGTGTAATATTTTATATCGTAATCGTGATTAGGGGTGTAACAATGACTGAAATATCGTAATATTGCATTGTCAAAAGTCTATCAGCAACATCGTGGGCCATTACAGTATTTTGACTCTTTAGTCTCTTTGCTTAATTTCATTGTTATGGTGCAGCAACAGCTAAAAGAAACAGAGAGAACTACATAGACCATGATCCTTTGCTCTTTTTCAGTGCTTCTCTCATTCCTCTTTTCTCTCTCAGTCTGGACAGGACCCTCTGCCGGAGCCTCAGAGCGTGGAGGAGGTTTATCGTCAGGACTCTCACTCCCCCTCTGCTCAGGTGTGGGACGTTTCCCTCTCACAGATCCTCGTTTTCAGAAAAGATTAAAGTTCTCAGTGTAGTCCAGTCCTCAGAGCACACACAATGAACAGCCACGTGTTCAGATGAAGCAGACGGGCAAGTTTATCCATCTTTCTTAGGCGTATGTTAGGAAGAGGTCCACTGATAAATGTCTTAACCTCCACTTTATTAAGCTCCTCAAATAATTTATTGAAATCCCTTTTAAAGCCTTCACTCTGTTCCATTCTGATGTCCACGGCACCCACATGCAATCAGCTGTTTAACTCCTTGTTGTGCTGACAGAACTTTTGTCAGGAGTTTTGTAATCTCAGACACAGTGTAAATTGGGGTAGCAGCATGTTTGGATTCCTCTGTGGTTTACAACACTAAGTTTATATTTCAGTAGTTTTGTAAATTTTTCTGGACTCATTTAAAATATGAGCAGTGAACAGAATCCAATTTTTAAAACATGAACCATTAACTGAATAGGAATCGAAATGCCTGTGAGAAAATCACAATTAAGATATTTTCCAACAAACCATTCATCCCTAAGTTATGAATAAAGTAATAAAATAAAATTAGAAATACAATGTGCTTTTCAAATACTTTTGGTCACAGAGCGATTACTGCATACGTCCTACCTGTTGCTGTCGCCATCTTGAATATACAGTAGTTTATCTTGCCTATCCTGTTGAGTTGCCTATTAAACTTCTAGTCCATCTAGTTTTCTCTCCTTTTTTTTGGCTTTGAGCTATGTGTTATGACAAGTTATGACCACAAGATGGAGGTAGTGTGAGTGTTATGATGACAACTACGGCAGAATGGATTTAAAGAGGAGGTAATTTACTTCTCTGGGGTCTTAACTGCTAAATTAATATATTTAGATCACCACGTTAGCTTTTCTTGTTTTGAAAATGCCATATTTGCGTATTCAAAATATTAAGTTGTACAATTTTATATCACGTTTTTGTATATCTATGGGGAATTGTTGTGTGGGAGCGTGGGTGATGTAGACTTGTGGGCGGAGTCTTGGACAAAATCTTAGAGCTAATCCTAATGGGTCTGAATAGGGTCCGGGAGAGATCACTAGATTACTCAAACATGAATGGTTGGCGTATAAAACCTCTTTAGGCATGTTTTTGAAGAGCGTTTTGAAGCTCAAAAGAATCTTTAAACAGTAAAAGGTTAATCAATAAATACTAGGGATGTAACAATAACCAAAATATCGTGATATCGTATCGTAAAAAATCTCTCAATAATATCATGGGCTGTCACAATATATTGAATTATACGTTTCTTTGCTTAAATGCATAGTTTTATAGTAAAAACATCTTATAAACATGGGGAACTACATATCCCATGATTCATTTCAGTGCAGACAACATGAAGAAATATGTTTTTTACTTGAATTCTTGGGATTATCATGGAAATAATTCACATCAAAATCTTGTCAAGGTATTTTAAAAGCAAAAAAGTGTCAAGGGCACCACATCAGTATACAGTTGAGGTAGCAGGGATTGAACCAGCAACCTTGCAAATAAATACCCACCTCTGTCCAAAGCGAGCACCACAGATGAACGCTGGACTCTTTGGTAGAGTTCATGTCCCAGTAAAGAAAGTGTAGGGACGCCTAAAAGAACAGACACCCTCCCGTGCTGTGGAAACAAAACAGAAAAATAAGTTTGACCAAATTATGGACAGTTTATAATTTACAAGAGGATATAGAAATGGATGTTTTGAAGGTGTGTACAATTAAGTCTAGTAAAAATCGCAATTAGGGTCGTCAAAAGTATTGAAAATCACATACTAAACAAAACTAGAACTAGTATTGAAACTAGATACTCATTTGAACAAGTATCGATACTAAAAAAGTCATGATCTTGAGCTGTATCAGTACAAGTAGACTAGTACCTGGACCACTGAGGGATTACACAGATATAAGACCACATGTAAATATATATATATAAAAGAAAATACTAGGATTTTTAGGGATTTAGGGATGGGACAAGATAAAATTTCCGCAAGATAAGATGAGATACGACATTGGGACTACGAGAACGAGACACGATGAGATTTTTTTAACATTAGGGCTGGGTATCATTCAGAAGTTGCCGATACGATACATACCTCGATACAGTGATCTTACGATTCGATACGATTCAGTACGAATATATTTCAAAACGATTCAGTACGGTTCAATAAAAATAAAGGTTAAATCATGGCTGTGATACTAAAAGTCTTTGTTAAACCACTTCTTGTGCAAAGTTCATATGAAACACAAACATTTTAATCATCAAAACAGTGAAAATGTCAAATGTGTTGCAAAAATAAGTTTCCTTCCTCTAAACAAACAACAAAACTGTAACTCTGTAACAAAATAATTTAGTAAAATACACCAAAAAATACTCTTGGCGATATATCGATACAGTAGCTCAGGATATTGATACTGTATCATCACATTAAACGATACGATACATCAATATTTTTATTTCTATTCTAGTTCTGCTTTTTGGAAGTGTAAGAGACCAACTCACCAATACGTAACTTTTTTTGTCCAATCCAAATGTAAACACTTGGAAAAAAAATCTCACAAGATTGTTTTTCTCATCGATCTTGTGGCAATTTTGTCTCACGGGATCTTGTACCATCCCTATGATTTAATGGTAAAAATCACATTCTATTGTCTAAAGAGTGTTTTTTTTTCAGGTCCAAATTTGCCAAGGATTGAGATGTGCAGTGTCAAAAGTGGCCAGTATAAATTTCGTTGGTCTGAGCCTTAAATTCTGAAATTCTGCACCTGTAACCTGACACCAATCACCATTATCAATATCTGTGCATCTTTACAGAGTTTATGACTTACAAAAGCTGAGGGATGACCTTATTTTGTGTTTATTATTTCCTATTTGTAAACATATAGTTTCTTTTTGTACATTTGTTGTTTAAGGGATTAAAGGTGCATTGTGTAACTCATATGCTTTTATCCCTGGAGATGTTATTGCTGTGTCTGGAATGTTTCACAGTATAGTATTAAACCTTTCTATGTTCATGGAGACCAAAATCAGACCAAGTTCAGTCAGAATGTCTGTTTTTCTAGGTATTTTGGAGCTATAAACCCACCTGTACTTGAATAAATAGAAAGTAGAGAAGTTTAATGTCATACTGTGGAACAAGCAGGCAACGGACCACCAGCAAAAAAGTTACAAAGTGCACCTTTAAAAACAACTTGTTCCATTCTGTAACAATGAATACTTTAGTCTTAGCTGCAGACTGACCCTGCTGACCTTTCACCTACATCAGCACAGAGAGCAGCTACTGTGAGCTCAAATACTTCTACTAGCAAATACCACTATATAATCTCATAGTTCACATACTAAAACTCTTGTGTAAATAATGCTTTAAACCAAGTTAGTTTTGGCACTGTTGTACAAATATTTGGGTGAGAATGAGTAAAACAATTGTCTTTGTGTGGTTAGGGCTGTCTCACACTGGGTTTTATGTTTGATCTATGTTTGGCACACTTTAAAAAGAAAATAAATCAACAATGTATAACTGAAAATATATAGCTACAAATAATTAAAAAAAAAAAATTGCTACAAATAATAAAAAAGGGAACTATTAAAATGGGATGACAGTGTAACAAAAAATTATCAAGTTTTGAATTTCCAGAGTAAAATATGAGTTACTTTGTATTTTTCCCAGAGAAGCAGTTTTCTAACCTCAAAGTTACTATTTAGAGGTCAGAAAACTGCTTTGAGCTTCACAAAGTATAATAATGATGAAATGTAAATAAAGTGACAAACTGTTCTGGACTCAACTTTTCTGTAAGAATTTGTCCAGTAAAACCTCAAAATGTGGATTTCTCCTTTGTAAAAATGTTTAGTGTCTATCATAATCTCTTGTCAAAATACACAAATAATTTAAAACACAATTGTGAATGGTTTTAAACTGGGCTCTGATCTCACTCACATGTATCTGAGTGGTTTTCTTTTCCAAATTGTACCTAATTTTTCATAATGTGTGATATTCTGAAGTTAATCGCAGTTTTCCCATTAAAATCACATTATGTTCCACTTCACTTTTGCCTCCAGCTGCATTCAATCTGATATTTAGAATGCTTTTGTTTACAGTTTTTTAAGCAGTCCATATTTAAATACATTATCCTGTTAAGAAGTTTGTGGGCAACAACTTCGAACTTTTGGTATGAAAAAAATCTATCATAAAAAATCTATCATAAAAAATCTAAAATCTATCAAAAGAGGTATTAATAAGTTATAATAAGTTATAGAGAAGGGTACACACCATGCTTCAGCTTCTTGGCATGTGTGTATTTCACAATATTTCATTCAATTTCACATATTCTAGTAATACATAAAATAACATGACTTTGTATGTGACATGGGCTTCTTAAACTTTCCTCAATACCAGCTATCAGCAAGTATTATAACATTACAGCAATCTTAAATGACAGCTTCATTGTCCCAAAATTTTGCCTTTTGCCACAAAACAGTCCAATGTCTCCAATTGGAAATAATCAATTTGTGGTTAATTCAAGAATTTAAAACTCATGTTTCTGTGCCCCAAAAGAGAATATTTAAATGTACGATTCTGTTATTGTATTGCCTCTATAAGCGATAAAGACTGTTATTAGATGTTAAAAAATGACTTTGTGATCTGACCTGGACCAACTAAACTTAACTCAGTACCAGCTATTACCAAAAAATCTTGTTGTCATGAGACTAGAACACCAGATTATTTAATTATGCCAACATTTTGCCTTTCTTGCAAACACAATAGTCCAATGTCTAGGTTGAAATATTTAGAGTTTGCAGTTTATACATGAATTGAATACCATATTTCCCATTGACTAGAAAACCCATTGACTAGAAAAACATTGATAATTTACCACAGGGATGTTGCAGGCATGGTTTACTAGTAAATACATGGTAATTTAGGGTCCCTTAGTGTGCCCTGTCCCAGCAGATTTATCCAAAACAAGTGATTTGCCTCAGTTTTATACTGGAAATGCCCCACATGTCCCTATTTTTGACCAATTTGACACCTGCCAACAGTAAACAGAGGCATAAATTGTAATTAGTTTTGGTAAAATACAGAAAAGCTGCTTAAAAATGACCAAAACACAAAGAAAATGTGACTATACTGACTCATATGTTGGTCATGAATGGTCTCTCCATAACAATTTTCCTTATGGGGGAGGGCCCAGTTTTTTTATTCTGAAATTCTGGTCACTCTAATTTTGTCTTGCTTGCAAACACAATAGTCCAATGTGTGGGTTTGTGTCAAATGGTGACGTCTCCAATTTGAAATATTTAGAGTTTGCAGTTTATAAATGAATTAAATACCATATTTCCAATAGACAAACCACCGATAATTTACAATAGGGATGTTGCGTGCATGGTCGGCTAGTAAATACATGGTAATTTAGGATGACCAGACGTCCATATTTACCCGGGACAGTCGCAGTTTTGAGCCCTGTGTCCCCTGTCCCAGCAGATTTATCCAAAACCAGTGATTTGTCCCAGTTTTATACAAGAAATGCCCCAGGTATCCCTATTTTTGACCAAGTTGACACCTGCCAACTGGAACGAGAGGCATAAATTGTAATTAGTTTCGATAAAATACAGAAAAGCTGCTTAAAAATTACCATAACACAAAGAAAATGTGTTCTGTCATTCTAATTTAGCCTTTCTTGCAAACACAATAGTCCAATGTCTGGGTTTGGGTCAATTGCTGAAGTCTGCAATTTAAAATATTTAGAGTTTACAGTTTATAAATGAATTGAATACCATATTTTCCATTGACTACAAAACCCATAAACCATTGCTAGTTTACCATAGGTTTGTTGCATGGATGGTTTATTAGTAAATACATGGTAATTACACGGGAAATATGACCTTAGTTTACCTTAAATGCATTTGTTGTCCTTCTCGCAGCTGTCCAGTAATAAAACGCTCTTGTACGGATATTTTTGCTTCTGGAAACAGACAAAACAGCCCTACAGAGAGTGAACCCAGCTCCAGCCATCGTCAAAGTAGAAAAAAGCGATCCAGCCTGTGTCAAAGGTTCATAAAGGAGAGATGGGAAGCGCCTACAAAATGCTACAACTACTACACAGGCGCAGTGTGTCGCTCTGAAAGTAAACAAACATGCACTAAAACTTTATCATAGCAAAACGCAGCGAAATGTAAAATCTAAGTGAATTACCACAAATAATAAACAACGAAAAGTTTCAGCACGTGTGTAAAAAAAAAAATCAAAAATATGAATCAAAACAGGAAAAACTAGTTAGATTTCATCGTAAAGCGCTATTTTTAAGCGTTTAAACTATCCCAAACACACGTGCATTTTCTTATTATATTATAACCATGCGGATCTAACTGTTGTTTAATTAAAAGTTAGGTTTATAACAAATAATTTCAAGATTTTGCAAAGAATTGCAAAAAAAAAAAAAAAAAAAAAAAAAAAAAAAAAAAAAAAAGCATGTTCTTTAAAATAAGCAACCGATGTGAAACAAAGCATGACTATGGTTCCGCTCTGTGTCATCCGCGCCTCATCCGTTATTCAACATTTTTATATGTAAAGGTAATTATTTATTTCTTCATATATTGAAATAATAAAGCATCCTGATCAATAAAAAACTGTTATTTTTAAATATTTTTTTCTACATATTTTAGTTCCTACCCACTGCTTAACATTTCTGTATGTAAATGTAATTAATATATGATTATTTCTTCATTTATTGAAATAATCATTTATTCTGGTTAATAAAAAATTGTTATTTTTTAATATAAATTTTTTACATATTTTAGTTCCCGCCCACTGCTTACGTCGGGGTCTCAGCTGTTCTTGTCAGATAAGCGTAAGTTACCAGTGATACATGAGACTGTCAAATCCAACCCACATTGTACACTTTTGTCCATTTTAACAGGTATTATGAGCATGTTTTGTATCAACTAAATAATAATTATAGTCTAATAACGGACGCGGTTGTAGTTAAAGGCTTTGTCGCATGTTTGTTTTGGTTTGTAAAGCTCGATTAGCCAACGGCAGTGAACACACCCACCTGCAAACGTGCTGAGCTAATGCTGCTTCACTTCACTTACATTTTATATTTTTGCCAAATTAACTCACTTATCTGCTGTTATACTTAATTTCGAAGTTTTGATATGAAACAGAAAAAAATAAAATAAAATAAAAATAACCCTGCGACCAAAAGGGGTGTTAATAAGTTATAGAGAAGAATACGCGCCATGCTTGTTGGGATGTTTGTGTAAATAAACAAAAATATTCAATCCAATTCCACAATACTCTAGTTATATATAAAATAATGTGACTTTGTATGTGACATGGGCTATTTAAACTTACTTCAAACTTACCAGCTATCAGCAAGTATTATAACATTACAGCAATCTTAAATGACAGCTTCATTGTCCCAAAATTTTGTCTTGCATTTGACATCAATAGTCCAATGTCTGGGTTTGACTCAAGCTAAACTAAACTAAACTAACTTAAACAAACAAACAAACAAACAAACAAAAAAAACATTATATTATCTTATGTCAACGGCTAGATAGTTCGAAGTTTTTCTCTATCTTCTGGAAAATAAATAAATATAATATCAATATGTTTTTTCTAACCTGGAAATGAATTAACTTGTATTAAATTTTTAGGAGCATTATGTATAGGGTGACTAGATTTTCAAAATTCTAAACTGGGACACACCCGGGTTGGTATACTGTAAATAAAATTGTGAAAAGAGCGTGTAATCTTGTGTCAGTCATAATCTGAGGGATTTCTGACGGTGCATTTTTTTGCTTTATGGTCATTTGCAAACTCGGTTTTCTGTGTTTTGGCAAAACAACTCACATTTTATGATCCTCTTTACTGTTGGCGGAGATCAGATTAGTCAAAAATTGTGATAGTCCTGGCTTAGTCCTGATTTAGACCTGATGTAGTCCTGATTTAGTCCTGGTTTAGAGCAAATTCATCAAAAATAGGGACACCTGGGGCATTTCTTGTTTAAAACTTGGACAAATCAATGGTTTTGTGTAAATCTGATGGGACAGGGGACACAGGGCTCAAAACTGGGCATGTCTCGGGTAAATAGGGACGTCACCCTAACTATGTAACTTTTTGGAGGTTTTTTTGGTCCATCACCTGAGTGTTTCTTTGAATATGTCACAGTTTTGCCTAGAATATTCCACAGTATGACATTAAACACCTCTAACTTACATTTATTACATTATGGGTGGTATTAAAGCTAGAAAATACCTAGAAAAACAGGCATTCTGACTGTGAGCGGGGGAGCCTCTCCACAGATCAGACCTGTAACTTGATCTGGTTTGATCGCCATGAAAATAGAAAGGATTAATGTCATACTGTGAAACATAAAGCATAAACATGAAGCGATTACATCCATGGAAGAAAAAAAAGCATTTGACTCACCCTCCATCAGAAAAGTTACACATTGTACCTTTAAATAAATAAATACATAATTATGAATGTTTTTTTCTGACCTAAATTAATTGACCACCTGTAATATCTTTTAAATGTTTTTGTTAAATGTCTATCTTTTTTCCCACAGTTTGTCCCCATGGCTTCGTTTGGGCCCCCGACACCAGGGCCCAGTCCCACACATTTCGCTACTAAAGTCGAGCTCACCATCTCCTGTGAAAACCTCATGGACATGGACATTTTCTCCAAGTCTGACCCTTTATGCGCCCTGTACCTTAACACTACAGACTCCAACTGGTATGAGGTGAGTACACAGAAGAAACTAAGCCTTGCAACCAACAATTTGGGAAAACAACTCAACACAGTAGATCAAAATATAGAAAAAATCTTACAGTACAGGTGAATTTATTGGAGACAAGCAGGTGGTGGACTATTCACCAGAAAGTTTCATAGTGCACACTTAATTTTTTATCTTTATTAAAGGGGCACACTTTAGGCTATTTTCTGATCTATGTTATAATGTTGTTTCCTCATCAAAAACAGACCTGGAGTTGTGTTTTGTTTCATTCACACATGTTTTAACAGATAAATCCTGCATATTTAGGCTGAGTTCTTAGCTGAAACAAACAAACAAAAAACACTCTGTTACACCTTGTGATTTCATGTGGTAATACAGGAAGTGCTCCACTGTGTTTTTTTTTAATCTCCATACATCTTCACTAGAGTCATTTGGATCATTTCAGGCCTGGAAATGTCGATCTCTACTGAACAAAAAGCAAAAGGTAGCGGTTAACTTGAAAACTACCACTTCGAGACATCACAAAGTTTTGGAGCTTTCCAGACTAATAATGCTGGATTACTCAAACATGTGTGAATGAAACAGAACACAACTCTAGGCAGGGCTGCTCGATTATGAAAAAAATCATTATCACGGTTATTTTTTTCAATATTGAAATCACGATTATTCAAACTATTATTTTTTAGTGACACAATGCTTTTACTCAGCATTTATCGTTTATAAAAACACTTTGTTATTGATAATTTATGCAAAACTTTCAAATTGAAAATAAGCATAGTCTACAAATATGTACCTTAGACCAGATTTGCAATGTATAAAATATAAAATTAATAAAATACACTTTGAACATGAAATAAGGCATAGAAAAACATAAATGTATCCAAATCTCTGTATTAAAAAAAAAAAAAAAAGATATATTTTTATATAATAAATATCCTAAAATAAACTTTCTTAAGCTTTATCGTTTCAACTCGATTATATAATTTTGGAGATCGTTTGACACACAAATCGAAATCGGGATCAAAATTCAATTAATTGCACAACCTAATGTAGATTTTTCTTGTCACTTGTTTTTTTTTGTCCTCAGTATGGTCGGACAGAAATGATCCTGAACTGCCTGAATCCAAAGTTTTCTAAGAAGTTTGTCCTGGATTATTACTTTGAGATGGTGCAGAGGCTGAAGTTCTGCGTGTACGATATCGACAATGACACCTACGACCTCGGTGACGATGATTTCCTGGGTGAACTGGAGCTCACTCTGGGTCAGGTAATGTCTCAAAAATCTGTTTTTTTCAGCGATTTAAATGAAGTTGGTCCCTTCATTTTCTCAGAGCAGTTAAGGATGTGTTTAGTTGTTGTCTGCTCCACTGTGAGAGGGAAGAATAGACAGAGGTCAAATATACATCAGTGTGTCCTGTATTGTCTTACTTTGTGATAAATAGAGCCCAATCAATCAAGCCCAATTTAGGTGTACTTATGTAAGAAATATTCAGGTCCATAATAAAAACACAATGTACTAACTTTTTGTCTGTGTACTTTTGCTGGTTCTCTGTGTTCAGATAGTTTCCAGTAAACAGATAACCAGACCTTTGTTACTACAAGATCGGAGGCCAGCGGGTCACGGCACCATCACAGTAAGTTTTACATTTGAACCGTGACAGAATCTCAAAATAAAACTTCTCATTTTAGATAAATAATTCTCCTTCCTGTGTGTTTGTCCCATAGATTTGTGCGGAGGAGATCACCGACACAAGAATCGCAAACTTCGAAGTGTCTGCACGAAGTTTGGACAAAAAAGTAAATTATTTCAATTACCATATTTTCCACACTATTGGACGCACTCAAAAACCTCCAACCCCATCAAAAAATGACTGCGCGCCCCACAATCCAGAGCGCTCTATACACAAATCCACTCGGGTGTCCCAGCACGACTTCAGTAAACTACAAAGCCGCACCACCCGCAGAAACACGCAAACATGCACTGAGCAGACAGTGACCGCACAGTGAAAAACACCCGCAGCCACACTCATCACTCCGCGCGGATGAGGAACTGAACGGAGGAACGAACCGAAAAAGCGAGTGCAATGTGCCACTTCTAGACACAACTGAACAACTGAGTCACTGCGAACACGCCGACAATCCAGCGGTCCCAGACAGCACCCTCCCTACACGCCACAACTGAACAAAGCCCAGAGTCACCGTGAACGCACCAAACAAAGTCCCACTGACCCATCCAACTGTTGTGTTTCGTTTAAAGTCCGGTGCAGTTTATTTGTGGAAAAAGTTCAAAAATAGACAATGACAGTGTGTCTTATAATCCAGAGCACCCTATAGTGTGGAAAATACGGTATTACTAAAGTTGCATGATGTAATTTTTCTAGTTGAGTGCACACTACTTGCTTGTCTCTACGGAAATGTTACTGCTGTACCTAGAATGTTCAACAGTATGGCATTGAACTTATCTGTCTACAAGGAGAGAAGCAGATAGTGCCACTAGGGCTGTCGGGGTAACCTCAGTATTTCAATATGGCATTTTAAAGGGACAGTTCAGAATTTTGGCCACAGGGTCTCATTTTCTAGTGGGCTAGAGTGTTGGAGACGTGTGGAGACACTTTTTTAAATATTCCATCCAGTCCTTGTATTTGCAGAGGTCGCTGGTGCTAGGCTAGTGCATGTCAATGGTCATAGTTATCCTGCCACTAAAAACAGTCTTACCCACTCCACAAAACACCCGAAGCAAAACTATTATAACACCAGACTGTCGATGTAAATGTCTGTGCTGATTGAATAATGTCTGAAATAAAAATAACCTTGAATTGCATGAATCGTTGCATGTTGAGGGACTATTTTCTCATATATCAATCCGCCACTGCCGAGCTTTCTATCAGGAAGTACAACTCACTGTTGCTGCTCAGACATAAATTCTTCAAATGCAAGGTTGGTTTTGCTTCTCAAATTATTCTATCAACACAGAGATCCACATCGACAGTCTAGCGTAATAATAAATTTACTTCAGGTGTTTTGTGGAATGGGTAAGACTGTTTTTAGTGGCAGGATAACTCTGGCCATTGACATGCACTAGCCTAGCACCAGTGACCTCTGCAAATACAAGGACTGGATGGAATATTTTAAAAAGTGTCTCCAACACTCTGGCTCACTAGGAAATGAGGCCCTAAGTCCAAAATTGCGAACTGTCCCTTTAATGTCCCTTTAATTTTACTCTTCTACTATGAACCAATTCATATTTACGTGGCTCTGAGCAAATGGGTTCAAATACTGGGACCCGACCCGAACCTGCGCACATTAAAATTTATTTGTGGTGCCCCTGCAGCTGGACGTATACATCTGCAGAGGCGTGCGTTGCGAACACACGGTTTTGTTTGCGTAATGTGTTAAAAAAGTCACCTTTTGTTTTGCTATTTACCCTAAAGTGCACTGTTCAGGACCTGTTTGAATTGACCTACACACTTATAGGATAAACCGCACATAGAAGCTTTTAGTTGAGTTCATGACTAAAGCACCTGGGTCATGGAGCGAGGAGCACCTGACGCAGCATGTACGTGCTCTGAATGTCTGTAGCATCATTTGTGTCGGTTCAGTGAGTAGCTATAAAACTATTCATAACGTGTCCTTTTCTCCTTTTTCTCGCGTAATTAATAATAATAATTACATAAGGACTAAAGTTGTTTTCTTTGTGCAGGTGAAACCTTCTAAATACAAGTTAAAGGGTGAACAATTAGGTCAATAATCACTGTGGCACTCCTTCATGACTTCAAACTTGGGACATTTATTTAAATTTAATGGGGCATTCAAGGTATTCAGAGTGCATACAGGCGCCCCCTGCAGGTGTCACTGTGGGATTTACTGTAGGTGTACGGGCTTTACGTGTTACTCATTGAAGAATTATAATAAGAAATCCTCGTAACTCATCTGTAAAACTACGTTAAACTACACATGTCTGTCGCTTAGGCCTGGCTGTGGTTTCATATCCTCCTGAGACCCAGCCCATCCATTTGTGTCCTTTATAGTGGACATTTAGTTAACCAGTCGATTTTTTTCAATGTTTTGTGACAAACTCTTAATGGGGGGACTCGGTTCATCTGCCTAAATAGGGCCGGGGGATTATAGGGTACTATCATGTCTATCAGGATAAAAACCAAAAACTTAATAGGAGTTAGTTTGTGGCTGCACTATGATAAAAAAAAATAATAAAAAATTTAAAGTGAGTCTGAGGCAACTGCATAGAAGCTTGTTAGAGATGTTGGTGTTTTTGTTAGATTGTTAACTTCACATGGATTTAACACCAAAACGTCCATTACAGAGGACATGTTACAACTTATAAATAAAATGAACAAAATCTAAACGATAAGGTGTTAATTTACCTCCAAATAGATCACAAAAAATATATATTGCAATACACGTTTTTTCTTTTTAGTGTTTAAACTACCCAAAATACACACAGATTTTGTTATTGTTTTATGACCATGCAGGTTTAACTGTTGTTTAAGTAAAAGATAGGTTTATTACAAATTATTTCAAGATTTAGCGAAGAAATGTAAGAAAATAATGCGTGTCCTTTAAAATATGCAGGAGGCGTTCCACGAGGATATAGATATTTTTCAAAAACATCCCCAAAGTAAATGTATTATTATGGGCCTCTGTGCTGTACCACACACACGTACATTTACCACAAGGGAAATTTTCTTAAGCCGCGACAGCCCTCGGTGCCTCTAGACGAAGTTACTGGTCAGATCTGTGCAGAGATGAGCCCAATTACTGTAAAAATCCAAGTTTTTCAAGGTATTTTTGAGCAGTAAAACCATCTGTAACTTCTAAAATACAAGATGGACAAGTTTCAATGCCATACTGTGGAACATTCTAGGCAAAGCAACTATATCTCTATGGAGACAAGCCGGAAAAGTTACGCAGTGCACCATTAATCAGTGTTTCGCTTTAATACAGGAGACTATGGTGGCCCCCTGTAGTCTAAAATTCTTCCTCAGTCTCAAGCCAACCTGGACTATATTGACATAACAAAATTAGACTTTGTTGTCTAGTTTTGTATCATAAACATTTAGAAGTAACTATATTGGTTAAAAAAAAGGGCTGCTATAAGTTTAAATGTTGGCAATAAACACCATTTATACTAACTCTTGCCAGAATCTAGGGGAAACACAACAGAAATTATTAATATATTCAAAGTCCATAAAACTGTGAGAGATTTGGTTTAGATTTGGATGTTGTTTCAGAAAGGTTTCAAAGTGTATCTTTAAATTAAAACGATTTGAACTCAACAGGTAATTCAGTTTTGTTTACATTAAAATTCTTCCGTTGTTCTTCTTTTTGCGTTTTCAGTATTTGTGGTGGTCGGATCCTTTTCTGGAGTTTTTCAAAGCGACAGAGCTGGGATGGCAGCTGGCTCACAGAACAGAGGTACAGCACTTCATCTTTGCATTTATAATCTTACATTTTTCCATTACAAGCTTGGGTAACACATAATAACACTATAACTACACTTAAATCAGCCTTAATTAAGCATGAAGAATCTGGAAGTTGTTGTTAGCAGTACTGTGACTCTGCTCTGAAGCTCTTATAAACTCATCTTGGTGAATAATTAGAACGCTCTGAATACATAAGGTAAGTGATAAATAACTTTAGACCACTGCAATCTGTTTAAAATCAACTAGTTCTGTTTTTCTCTTTTTTAAAACAGTAAAAAATCAAGTGTAGTACCTTTAATTTATACCCTAACCCGTTAATTAAAGGTCCTAAATTACACAAAATTGACTCTTGTGAGCTTTAAGCCATGTTAAAATGTTTTTACCTCCTTAAAAATACAACTCCAGGTATGTTTATGATGAGAAAAAAGCATCATAACCTCAGAAAGTAGCATAATATGGGTTTTTTAAATAGTTACTAAGCCCGAATCATTCTTAAAAAACTATTTGTTCATCATGATTTAAGTCTTTCCTCTTGCTTCATTGATTCTTTTAATAATGTAGTTGTTATAAAGTGTTACCCAAGCTTGATTTAAACCTGTTTTTCTTATTTACAGGTGGTAAAAAACAATCTGAATCCAATATGGCGGCCGTTCCGGGTCTCGTTGCGAGCGCTGTGTGGAGGAGACGTGGAGAAGACCATCAAGGTACAAGATTAAATAGAATCTGTTTCAATTTAATGGATGCATAATTTTTATCCAGTGTAGACTGTAAAAATATAGTTAAAATGTTTGAGAATCTTTACAGTAAATACTATGACAATAATATCTGGTGAGTCTGTGTATCATTCGTTGATTCGTTTTTCAAAATAAAACCAAAAATAAGAAAATGAAAAAACAACTATTTTCTTCATTATTTGTTTCCAAAACCAAAATGACAAAACTGTTAAGGATTTGTTTGTTTTTTTCAGTTTTCGATTTTGTGTTTAAATGAAGAATGGAAAAAACAGCAGCCGTTTCCCGTTTCCGTGGGTCAGACCGGGACTAAGACCGGGACCAGACCGGGACCGAGACCGGGTTCATTTCTGGTTTAGTCCTGGTTTAGTCCTGGTTTAGTCCTGGTTTAGTCCTGGTTCAGTCCTGGTTCAGTCCATATGTGGCTCAAAAGTCCGCCATCGCAGTTTTTTCTTATTTTTGGTTTTATTTTGAAAAATGAATGAACAAATGATACACAGATTCTGGTGCCAAGTATATTTTCATTAATTATTTATTGTTTATTAATGAATATGTGAAATACTTTTAACAGTCTAACTCGGAGCGTGCATTACCATGACTCTGGCTTTACGATACTTATCATGACACGCCTGTGACAATGAAATATATCCCGATGCTAAAACAGAGTTCGATATATTGTGATTTATCAATAATTACGAATATTATTATAGTTGAGGACACTTTTATGAGAACAAAATTGGATCAAATACAATTTATTTAATTTTTAACTCATGAGAATTGTAAATTGAAAACATTAAAAAATCGATTTAGACGCATTTTGAATCAATACGAGAATCGCACACTGAAGTACTGCGATATATCACTTAATCACATCTAACAGTGCTTTGAGTTGAATTAAAGTTTTACTCTTCCCACTGTGAATGTGTTTCTGTTTCTTGCATTGCGCTTTTTTCACATTTTTGTCGTCCAATCTTTGAAAACACAAGATTTCATAGAATATTTATTGTTTTGTCCTTTAATTTGCCTTAACTTCAAATTCTAAATCAGATGTTACGTCCAGACTTTTCAAATTACTATTAGTGTAAGTATCCCCAATTATTTTCTCCAGTCAAGAGTGTTTTCAGTTTGAGAGAAGAACTAAACCTAAATATTTTTGCGTGGGGTTTGTGTGACTGAAACAAAACAGAACTCTGGGTATGTTTTTGATGAGTAAACATTATAAAACAGATCATAAAATAGTGTAATACGGCTCCACTGTGACATTATTGACCTGACGCTTGGTTGAACATCTCTAACCTACTAACCTACTGTTTTCATTTTGTCATTTTTATTTTTGTTTGGTTTGCGTCACATTAAACGCAGCTGCTTGTGTGAACCGGCGTCTCATGGCTGCATTGCACTAAGGTGTGAGATTTTGATTTTTTTTTGTGTTATATTAACCACGAATGCAAGTTTTAAACATACTTGGTTGATCAGTAGGGCTGCACAATACTGGAGAACATGTGATATAACTATTAAAGACTCTGTACTTGATCTTTATTGTCTTAAAAACATGAAAAACAAAACTAATTTCATTTTAAACGGTTTGCAGTGGTCAAAAATTATTCCTTACTTACCTTATGTATTCTGAGCATCCACAATTAGTTTATAAGTGCTTGCCACAACTTTCAGAGCAAACAACAACTAGCAAGCCAACAGCGCACTTCCTGATTCCTGGACCTTAAAAAAATCTATCTGTACTGGAGCTACCAAGACAAATTTGCTCAAATATCTGCAAAAACTCAAGTACAGTGCCTTTAAGTACTACAAAAACAGTATTATTTCATTGTTTTAATATACACTGTTTTGACACAGTAATTTCATTTTTTATTTAAGTGCATGCCTTATTTTATTTTATTTATTTATTTTATTATTTTACAAGTCACTTTCTGCCAAAAATGTCATTAACACAGACAAAACAAAGATTAAATCAAGGTTAAAACAGTAATGTTGTGGCAGTATTGATTATTACATACAGTATATTGTGCAGCCCTAGTTGCCAGTAGAGGGCGCCAGGTGCAGTAGTTATGAACTTTTCCATTATTTCTCAGGTGGATTGTTACGACCATCACATCAGCGGCTCTCATTCTCTCATCGGGAGCTTTAAAACCACACTGGCTGAACTGCAAGTCGCCACACACACTTCACCTGTAAGAGATGTGTTTATGTTTCTAAATATTAATATCTAAACTTCATATAATGATAATATGACAGTTGTTTTATTTTTACGTCTGCAGGTTGAATTTGAATGTGTCAACCCCAAAAAACAGAGGAAGAAAGACTATAAAAACTCTGGAGTTATCTGTGTGAGACGCTGCCAGGTAAACATGACAATAAAAAATACAGATAGATAAAATGTTTTTATGGATTAGATCAATGGTTCCCAAAGTCGAGTTGTGAGGCACTAAACTGGGGGTGGCGATGTCTTTAAGTCTTGAAGTCTTGAAGTCTTGAAATCTTGAAGTCTTGAAGTAAGTAAGTCTTTGTTTATATAGCGCTTTTCACAGACATTTTTTGTCACAAAGACGCTTTACAGAGCATTATATTCAGCATTATTCATTCACTCTATACCTGGTGATGGTAAGCTACTGTTGTGGCCACAGCTGCCCTCGGGCAGACTGATAGAAGCGCGGCTGCCGTGCCAATCGGCGCCAACGGTCCCTCCGACCACCACCATCACTCACACACACACCACTTTCATACTAGACAATGAGGGTGAAGTGTCTAGCCACTAACACCAGTGCTAATTTATTTCAAGATAAAATTTTGAAATCATGATACTGAAACCTGATTCAACACGTTTTGACACATTAATTTATTACTGCGTTTAATTTAAGTCTTATATTATATAGATGTTAATAAGTCTTTTGCCTGGTTATTTTGGTGGTCTAAAAAGGTTGAGGCCACTGGAGTAGATATGGAGATATGGTAGAGCATTCGCCCACTGATCTAAAGGTTGGCGGTTCGAATCCAGCTCTCAACATAAATATCACAGGTTGAGCAGTCAGATCCACTGACCCACAGGTTGGCTGGTGTGATTCCAGCTCCCACAGATGAATGCTGTTGTTGTGTCCTTGGGCAAGACACTTAACCCACCTTGCCCACAGTGTCTGTGTACACTGGTGTGTGAACGTGTGTGTGTGAATGGGTGAGTGGTTCCTTGTTGTAAAGCGCTTTGAGTGCCTTGAAGGTGGAAAAGTGCAATAGAAAAATGTGACCATTTACCATTTAGTGTAGTAGTAGAATTAACTGCACTATCACTGATATCACAGACAGACAGATAGATGGATAGACAGACAGATGGATAGATAGACAGATAGACAGATGGATAGATGGACAGATGGATTGATAGATAGATAGATGGACAGATAGACAGATAGATGGACAGATAGATGGATAGATGGACAGATGGATTGAAAGATAGATAGATGGATTGATAGATAGATAGGTAGATAGATAGATGGACAGATAGATAGATGGACAGATAGATGGATAGACGGATAGATAGACACACAGATGGATAGATGAATAGATAGATAGATAGACAGGTAAACAGACATATACAGACAGATAGTTAGATAGATAATTGGATATGGTCTGTAATGCAATGAGATAAAATTAGTTTTGTCATTTAGGTGGAGCGAGAGTTCACGTTTCTGGATTTCATCATGGGCGGATGTCAGTTTAACTTCACTGTACGTATATGTACACAGTAGTACACACTCATGTGCTTTCAAATACAACAGTTACTCTAAACATCTATTGATTAACTTATACATGTCACCAGCCGTCTTTGATGCTCAGATTTCCTTTGTGCGCCAAAAAATCAGCGTTAAAAATGCTTTATCGTTATCTAGATATTTCTTTTTGCTTGAAATCTTCCACAGTATGGCATAACATATCTGTCTTCCATTTGTTTAATGACAGGTGTTTTATAGCTCAAAAATAACTTAAAAAATTTTGTTCTTACCATGTGCAGGCTTGCGTCTCCATAGATCTGACCATTAACCTGTCTCTATTGTGATTACCAAGTTTATTTTCATTGTATTGATGGAAAAAAGGCAAAAAAAAATTATATCTTCATGGACACAAGTAGGCCCATCAGAAAAGTTACACATTGTACCTTGAGGTTATCAGATTATTAGTGGCTTTGAAAATGTACCCAAAAGTTTGACACAGATAATACTTATCTATTTTTCACACATGTTTCACAGATCGCCATAGACTTCACAGGGTCCAATGGAGACCCCAGAACGCCCCAGTCTCTGCACTACATAAACCCAGAAGGCTACAACGAATACCTGGCTGCGATTTGGGCCGTGGGCACCGTGATCCAGGACTATGACAGGTAAATACATGCACTATTACATACTATACTATGTAACTTTTCTGGTGGAGGGTCCGTCACCTGCTTGTTTCCATTGTGGTGTCATTGTGTTGCCTGGAATCTTCCACAGTCTTGTATTTTTCAGTTACAGCGTGTATAGCAAAGAAAATGAAAAAATACACCTGTAACTTGGCTTGGTGGTGCCTGAAGTTGCATAGCGGACCTGTAGTTTGACCTGAAACTATCTATGGTCTTGTTTCTTATAGTACCAAGATGTTTCCTGTGTTTGGATTTGGAGCTCAGGTGCCTCCATCTTGGCAGGTAAAACACACACACAGCCTATGAGTGAATACACAGATTAAAGAAGTTGTTTATACCCTCTTACTGGTTTAAAAAAGGATCTTAACCTGCAGATAGAGGTAGAGTGACCAGACTTCCCTATTTACCAGGGACAGTCCCAGTTTTGAGCTCTGTGTCCCCTGTCCCAGCAGATTTATACAAAACCAGTGATTTGTCCCAGTTTTACACAAGAAATGTCCTAGTTGTCTAGCCAGGCTGGCATCACCTAGTGCCTTCGCTCAAATTAATTTCTCTCCAGCGACTAGGTCAGGAATCAGAATACACTAGACAGTTTGCAAGAATCCCGGAAGTTGTAGAACGTGAACCAGCCAATCAGCGAAGAGCTGTGAAGCCATGACGTCAAACTGAAGCGTCTGTCTGTGTCCCTTTTGTGGTACAGCACAACAGTAAACAAAGCGGTCGAGATGGATGTAGATGAAGACAGACATTCTGTGTTGGCAACGATTCCCGAGATTGAGGATTTAAAGCTGGAACAAAGAGAATGTTTGGTGAATTCTATCAAGGGGAAAGACTTTATTGCCCTTCTTCCTACAGGATTTGGCACATTATATACGTCACGACCAAATAGCAGAGATTGGTTAAATAAAAAAAGTACCCGCCTACCGTCGCGCGAACGAATTCTAATGCTGCGAAGTCAGACGATTTCCACAAAGTGAAACCGTCTGATGAATCGGGCTACCAGTTGTCCCCATTTCTGACCAATCTGATCCCCACCAGCAGTAAAGAGAGGAATATATTGTCATTTGTTTAGCTAAAATATAGAAACCATGCTTGAAAATTACACAAAACAAGACAAGACCAAAAAAAAACCAAAACGCAACCACAGACCTTCAGATTATGACTGACCCCTGACCAGCAAGTGAGTCGAGAACGGACAATGTTACACTTTCTTTTCACAATTTTATTTATACCAACCATCCCAACCCAGGTGTGTCCCTGTTTTTAATTCTGAAAATCTGGTCACCCTAAATAGAGGACACATACGTTTTTGTCATTCTCAATATATTGATAGGCCTTATGTGAACCTCCAGAATTCACTCCCTGAGCTGTAGAAGCTGCACGAGCTCTGATTTATGACTGACTGCAGGAGCTGGGGTTTAGATAGAGACCGTTCAGATCAGAGAGAGGCATTTTAGATTTAAACCAACTGGATTTCACCCAACACCAAATTATAACAAACAGTTTGCCCATCGTGTCCAGTGTTTTGTAATTAAGAATAAATCAGTATTAGAATCACTACTACTACTTCATCTGTAAATGTTTCTTCAGGTTTCTCACGAGTTTCCAATAAATTTTGATGCTTCAAATCCCTTCTGTGCAGGTACGTAGCTAAAGACAGAGTGTAGTTTTAATACTTTTGATAGTATAAGTTGTTATTGTATATTTCAGGCATTGAGGGCGTGGTGACGGCCTATCAGCAGTGTCTCCCTCAGATCAAACTCTGGGGTCCCACAAACTTCTCTCCGATCATAAACCACGTGTCCTGCTTCGCCCGACAGGCTCTGACACAGAACATGGCGTCAGTGAGTACAGTTATCACATTGGCTTCAGAGTCCAGGACTGTAATCCACCAGTGAATCATTAGTAGCCGTATCAGAGGCCTTTCCACTCTATACCTGTATGTTTTCCTCCCCGTCTCTTTCACAGCAATACTTCGTTCTCCTGATCATCACTGACGGCGTGATCACAGACATGGACCAGACGCGCACCGCCATCGTGAACGCCTCTCATCTGCCCATGTCCATCATCATCGTGGGCGTGGGCGGAGCCGACTTCAGCGCCATGGAGTTCCTCGACAGCGACGACCGACTGCTGCGAGCTCCCAACCACGAGGTCGCCGCCAGAGACATCGTTCAGTTTGTGCCATTCAGACAGTTTCAGGTAATTACTTGGACGTAACTGGACATGATACACAATACCACAATACGAAGAGCTGTGTTCAAGAAATAAGGTCCAGGAATCTAGGTTTTTGAATAATCACAGTCGGTTCCAGTATCTTTTTCCAACAACTTTATATTTTAGAGCTGCTCCATTTTCTGTGGGCTCTTTTTGAATAGACTGACTGGAAATAGAAGAGCATTATCTGGCAGTATGTGACACAAACATGTGAAATTTTGTATTCCTGACAAATACATTTTATAATTTTACAAAAGAGACAAGTTAAATTGTGATCTTCTGTTCAACTTAAAACTTGTGAGCCTTAACCTTGGATTTCAAAAGATAAATAGCTGTCTTTTAAAGGTTTCACCAGCACGTGTCCCCACAAACGAGTCCAAAATATTGAGTTTAAGCGTCTTTATTTGACGTGTTGGGGAGTAATGGATTACATGTACCGGAGTTACGTAATCAGAGTACAAATTATGAGTAACTGTATTCAGTTACAGTTACTGTTTCAGTGAGTGGTAATTACAGTTTTTACAGATTACAGTTACTTTGTTGAATTAAATGGATTACATGGCGGTATTTTCCTGTTTTCACATTTTGGGCTAAACAAGGTCTAAACCAGGACTAAACCAGGACTAAACTAAACCAGGCCTTAAACCAGGTCTAAACTAAATCTAAAACATGTTTAAACCAGGTCTAAAACCAGGTCTAAAACCAGGACTAAAACAGGACAAAAACAGGACTAAAACAGGACTAAAACAGGATTTAACAGGACTAAACCATGCTGCATGGATGTGTCTCCTCCTCCTCTATCAATAATATTTTTAATACGGTTAAGTAAAGACTTTTTATTGTCTTTTATCAGACAAAGCATCTTATGTGACGATATCCTAGTCACCAAATCAAGTAATCCAAAGTATTCAGATTACATTACTCATTTTAAATAATTTAATGGATTACATTACAAACTACATTTTGAGGTGTGTAATCTGTAATCTGTAGGGAGAATACATTTTAAAAGTCACCTTCCAAACACTGGCTCCTATAGCTGTAATCCACATTTAATCAACATAAACACAATTCCTTTTGACACGGGAAGAAACGGTGTACCTCTTGACCTAGCAGCACCTGGGTCACATTTTTACATAGCGACACCTTATTTTGGCTCCTACAATAGAGGTACAACTCCTGGTATGTTTGTGATGCGGAAACAACATTATAATATAAAACAACGTTATATAGGCCCTTTAACTGACGTCTGAGCTGATCTTGCCGTAATTAGTGGTCGTCGGAGAATGTCTTCCACGTTCCAATTGATTGAATCGTGACTGTGCATCTGAAAAGTCGTCCTTCACAATTAGAAATGACAATAACTAATAATTCTTCTTATTTTTGTGTATTTCTTTCAGGGAAACAGCGTGGCGTTGGCTCAGAGCGTCTTGGCTGAGCTTCCAGATCAAGTGACGTCTTTTTTCAACTCGTACAAACTCAAACCTCCAAACACCTACAACCAGCCCGAGCCTTTATAAACTGACTTTTACTGTTTAACTGTTAAATACCCTACCTCATTCACTTGCTGTTTAACACACTACACACTGCTTCTACTGTGAAAGATCAGTCTGTCTAAGCCTTAAAGCGTTTGGTAGAGGCTCCGTCAAATGCTTTTCTTCGTGGAGATGTTATTGCTTTGTCTGGAATGTTTCACAGTGTGGCATTAAACCTTTCAATCGTCATGGAAACCTGTGGAGAGGCAACACCGTCTGTTTTTCGATGGTATTTTTGAGCTAAAATAATCACCTGTAATTGAATAAATGTAATGTAGAGCTGTTTAATGCCATACTGTGGGACATTCCAGGCAGAGCAGTAACATACGGTATCCATAGAAACAAGCAGGTGACGGATCCCGAACCAGAAAGTTACACAGTGCACGTTTAACTGTGTCTAAATATAACATGTGCTAAGCTTTCTTAAAAGGTACACTCTGTAACTTTTCTGGTGGAGGGTCCAGTACCTGCCTGTTTCCATGGGGATGTTGATCAGAATCTTCCACACTACGGCATTAAACTTGCCTATCTTGCATTTATTGTTGTTAGTAGCTTTAAAAACATGCATTCGTACTGAGAGCGGTGTCACCTCTCCACAGTTCTGACCTGTAACTCGGCCTTGGTGGCGTTACCTGCTCGTTTCCATGGAGATATAGATGGAAATGTATGTCGTATTAAAGGGACATTATGTAATTTTTCTGATAGAGAGTCTACCAGCCGAGTGTATCCATGGATATAGAGAGATTTAATGCTCTAGTGTGGAGTATTCACGGCAAAGCAATGACATTTCTATAAGGCCAAGCAGATGATGGACCGACCAGCTGAAAAGTTACATAATGCACCTTTAATTTGATACACATTTTCACCTCAAATAAACGTACAGATATACTAATAGCTGTACTTCTACTTTTGCCATTTTAGTGTATTAGTCATAATCTTATAACATGTGTAATGTTATTAAATGTGTATTGCTGTATTTAGTTACTATAAATTCTCATTAACGGAACGGTTTTGTTTTTGTGGTTTTTACTTCCACTTCCACGAAAAGAATAGAGAAGTACTGCAAAAATGATGTCTTTAATTTGAGATGAGATGAGAGGGCAGAGAGGGGTATATATAATGGAAAATCTATATGTTGAACCTTATCATTATTTGTTAGGCTTTAGATCCACAATCACGTCTTTGGGGTTGAATAATGGCACCACTTTCTGAAGCTACTATGAAAAAAAATTATTTCACTTTTGTTTATTTATCCTGACAGATTAGGCGTTGAACTTTGTGCCATCAGGTGAACCCAGCCTGTTCTGTTGTATGTTTGCAGCAGTTTTGTACATTTTACAGCATGGCAACCAGATTTCACATGACTCTGAAAGTCACATTTTACATTAATCCTCCTTAAACCCTCCCAAATCCAAAGCACTGAATATGTGTTATAATACCAACTCTTGCTTTAAAGCAAGGGTGATCAAACTAAGGCCTGCGGGCTGACTCTGGCCCTCCAAGCCCCTTGGACCGGCCCCCCAGCCCCTCTGCACCCCACCACCTGAACTGGCCCTATGAGACAATCCTCAAAAGTTGTCATGGCCTATTTTTTTTTATTACTTTTTGGGAAATAATAACATGTATGCATCTTGTGTTTTGATGATTTTTTTCAAAAAAATAAATAAAAAAAATTATATGAAGTATTTATATTTAAATAATTATATGGCATATTTACACTTGTAGCTGAATTTTCATCACCTAACAAACTTGAGATCAAACTGTGACAGTAAACACACGCACAGAAATCTGTAATGCAGTTAAGGACAGCAAAACGGCGAGTGTTAAAGTACAAAAAGTTGACAGTGTGCAGAGTTTTCAGTACAGTGAACGACCGAGAACAGTGGACGACCGATTATTTTTTTTGTTCAGTGTGAGGACCATGCAGTTTGTCTGATATGTAAAGAAAGTGTGGTGGTTTTCCAAGAATATAATCTGTGTCGTCACTATGAAACCCGTGACAAAGAGTATATGCTAGTTTGTGAGGGCAAACGAGAGAAGACAGGATTCGGCGAATGAAAGAGCATCTGTTCCTTAATCAGCCGACCCGACCCCGGCCCCCCATCACAGTCAGGAACGATAATGTGGCCCTCAGAGAAAAAAGTTTGGTAACACCTGATTTAACAATATATTGCACTATTTTATAAAAAAAAATTTAAGCAACAGAGATGGCCAGCACTTGTCATTAGAAAAATCCTTAAAATCCTGAACTGTGTGGACTGTGTTTGTAGTTTTTTCTGTGTCTGATTAAGTTTCTATGTCTCTTTATGTAAATCGATGTCCCATAAAAGTAAAGTCCACGTAAACACAGTTCTGTTCAGGGGTTTTATCTGTTAAATGCAATATTCTGAGAACCTTTCCCATTTATAATAACAATCCCAAGATATAATAATTAGGTTTAAAATGTTAATCTTCACAGCAAATGCTCCTAATGTTTCATCATTCTGAAACCCATGCCTGGAAAAATAAAAAATAAAAAAATTATATAAATATAATACAATTAATATATAGGCTTCCCTTACTACTCCTAATAGATTTACTTTTTGTTTGTTTGTTTGTTTAATTTTAGTTTTTAAGTTTTGCCGCAATAGCAGATACTTTTTTTTTTATTGCAGATTTTCAGATACAAACAAAAATGGTGCCTTATAAAAGTATACAGTTCACATGAAAATAAAATAAATGGTGCAAAGCAATGAATTTTCAAAGCTCTAATTTAAAGGAATAAACCAAAATAATTCAAAAAGGACATGAGAAAACCAGCCTCTTTTCTCTCGGTTTGGCCCAATGAGTTTGCAAAAAATTTCAGGCCATTCTTCAAGTTATGTTTGGTTTAATCTAAAAAACTAAAAAAAAAAAACAACAACATTTGTGACTAAAATGTTTACCTAAAATCAATCAATTGTTCATACCAAATTCCATTCTTTAATAATCTATTAATACACCAATTTTCTATTTTTAGTTTATGTACTTATAACTGAATTCCCCTGGACTGAAGCCAAGAGTAGGGTGACAAGAATTTCTAAATAAAATCTGGGCCATGCCCCGTTTTTTTAGTGGTTGGTAATGACAAAATTGTGAAACAAGTGTGTAATGAAGGAAAATTGTAATGCAGAGACCATTTATGACATGTGAGCCAGTATAGCTGCATTTTGTTTGTGTTTTGGTCATTTTTAAGCAGATTTTTTGGTTTTTTACGTAAACAAATGACTTTTCTGCTTCTCTTTACTGTTGGCAGGTGTCAGATTGGTCAAAAATAGGGACTTTTTTTGTGTAAAACTGGAACAAATTAATGGTTTTTGATAAGTCTGATGGGACAGGGGACACAGCGCTCAAAACTTGGACTGATCTGGGCAGCCAAAACTGAAAGTCCAACCAAAATTGTCACACAAAATCACCTAAAAAGAAAAAAATGTTCCAAATCTTAATCCCCTGTGTCACAAAAACAGATACTACATATTTAGTACTTTCACTATTCTCCTTTTTCACCAGCAGGGGCGGGACCTTTCGCGCGGAGCTGTCTCTTTAAAGCGGGCTGTCCCTGTGATCCAATCGAGCGCTCTGGCACCGCCCTCCTCTGCGCTCACTGTGCCAACGGGACATTACTATTACGCACGCTTATCTGACAGATCCACCGCTGTTTCACGGTAAGAAACCACTAATAACGACATTTATAAACACCTTTTAACTGTTTATTCCTGTTTCTAACGCGGGTAATTCTGTTTATTACGAGTTAATAACAAGTTACGGTAATACAGCTGTGGTCGAGTGGTCATAACATAAGCGCGAGCGAAAATACGGCCTTAAAAGCTTTGGCGATAGAAATTTTTAGCTTTACTGCACATTTTTACGATCTTCTAACACTTCCAAAGGAGTTTTATGTTTTGGTAAATTGTAAAAGTGATTGAAAACGACTTAATTTGCGCGCTGCACCAAATCTTCTGCGGTAAACCCTCCCCCCTTCCGTTAGATGTGGGAATACGCCTTTTTTCATGGTTTATTTTTTTATTTTTAAGCGTTTTACTTTAAAGCTGAGCTGTGTAACTTTTCTTTTGGGGTTCTGTCACCTTCTTGTTTCTATGGACATGTCAGTGCTATGCTTAAAATGTTCCATAATATGACTTTAAACAGCTCTACGTTAGATTTAGTCCATTCAGTCGTGGTTTTATGGCTCAAAAATACCTAGAAAAACAGGTATTCTGACTGTGAGCGGGTTCGCCTCTCCACAGATCTGACCTGTAACTTGCTCTGGTTTGGTCTCCATGAATGAAGATAGAAAGGTTTAATGCCATACTGTGAAACATTCCGGACAAAGCAAGAACATCTCCATGAAGAAAAGCATTTGAAGGATTCTCCACCAGAAAAGTTACGCAATGCATCTTTAAGGGATACGAAATGCAATAGCTAACTTCTTCTTCTCTGGTTTTGAGTCCTTTTCCATGAGCTAAGAAGCGCGTGGGTGTGTCTGACTGGCCAAAAGGTCTTTTTCTGCTCATACTAAACCAGAGCCAAGAAGAATGGCCAGGCATTTTCCATTTCTTTTGGTTGTTTTTTGAGAGTGCCTTAAAATTGTGACTAATATTTATAATTAGAAGTGTTTTTGTGAATGTGAAGTCATCGGGTGTTGTAATTTTAAGACATTTTTAGAATAATAAGAAGTAATAGAAATTAGACTGGTTTGAATTACACCACAGAGACGAATTATTCATGGATGTAACTGTGATCAAAATGAAAACATACACTGCCGGTCAAAACACCCACATTTTTTCCAGTTATTTATTGCATTTCAAGTCGTTGTGCAAGTCCATTGAAGAGCTTGAAATGGTACAAAAGTAAATTCTGAACAGCCACAGGTAAAAAAAAAAAAAAAGATAAAACATAACAAAACACAAGTCCAAGCTCTGCCAAAACTACTATAATGAATAAGGATGTAATTAAAATTAATAACTGAAATTAGGGTTCCCCATGGTCATAGAAATCCTGGAAAAGTCATGGATAGTGAAAATGTCATTTTCCAGGCCTGGAAAAGTCATGGAATTTTGTAAATTCAATGAAAGTTTTGGAAAACTCATGGAATTTTAGTATCTCTTTCACTCAACTACAGCGTTCTGTTAAGTTATCATTAGGCTTTTATGATTATTTCTGAACATATGCGCCTTTGGTTTAAAAGAGACGACAATAAATGCACTGACAGGATTTTGAATAAAAAAAAAACTATAATAACAAACCATAAGGTGAGTGGAAAGGGTTAATGTATTTTCATTCATATTTAGCTCTAAAAATATGATCAATTCTACAAATGTAGGTGCCGTAAAGTCATGGAAAATTCACTTTAGGTCATGAAAAAGTCATGGAAAAGTTTAAAAATTTTGTCAATGAAAAACCTGGGAACTCAACTGTGAGTTGAATTAACAAATAAAGTATATTTAATTTAACAATGTGTTATGTGATAATTTAAGAAAAGATCCCAGAATTATATGTGACTGTTGAATTTTATATGGAGATGAACAAATGAACAAGTGTGTGAAATTAAACTGATGCTTGTTTCGTGTGTCACAGGGAGCGATGGCTGCGGTGGGACAGGGCCCTGCGGCGGCTCCGTGCGTCACTAAAGTGTCTCTGAGCGTCTCGTGTGAAAACCTGATGGACATGGACGCCTTCTCCAAGTCTGACCCGCTGTGTGTGCTCTACGTCAGCACGTCGGGCGCTCAGTGGTGCGAGGTGAGGAAATCTGTCAATATATTTCTATTTCTGATACTTATTTACCATTTATCTTTTGTTGTTATTATTACTGTGATGTGTGAGCTACTGTGTCCAAGTAATTTCCCTTGTGGTTCAATATAGTTTGTCTAAATCTAAGTCTATAGATACACTGCAGGGGGGTTCTGCCTGTATGTCTATGGTGGAAGCAGTTCAGCAGTTACCATGGTGAAACAATACACACATTAGCAAAAAATGCCGAGAGTGGAGTGTCCGACACCTGCTTGTCTCCATGGAAATTTTACTGCTTTGCCTGGAATGTTCCATGGTGTGACATTAAACACGTTTATCCAGCTGTTCTGTTCATTACGGGTGTTTCTATTTCTCAAAAATACAATAATTCTCAGTGTGAATATGGACGAATTTCCACAGAGGTGACCTGTAATGTAGCCTATAGTTGCCTCTCTTGAGATAGACTGAGGCAGATTTAATCTCTACTGTGGAACATTCTAGAGAAAACAATAACATCTCCACAGACACGGCACCTTATGAGAAATTAATAGTTCCAGCTAAGTTCTTTAGTTCTTAAGGGTCAGATTGTGCTAAACAAAGCTTCGATTAAAGTCAAAGTTGAGAAACAGACCTTCAGACAGAGCAGTGCCTCCAGTTAGGATCAGCGGCAAAGTACTAGGTCACCAGTACTTTTATTGGCATGTTCGCCATTTATGACATCGACCTGTCCAGGGACTGAAGTTGGAAATGAGCACTTTTGATATAACCTCACTGTTTTTATATGCATTGTCCCTGATAAATAAAGAAACGGACTAAACCAGATTGTTCAATGAATTCTGAACTGTTTTGGCAACTGGACACAGAAAGAAGCATGTTTTTGATGATCACCTGACATAAGATCATAACACTAATTGTTTATTTTTCAATATAAAGATTTAAAACCCAGATATTAAATTTCCAAATGTCTGTTACTTTGCTTTTCCATTAATAATTATGGAAAAATTACTATCTTCACTTTACATTACTTTATTATTACTACTCAAAATTACAAATAAAATAAAATACCTTACAGCCCTCTACAAACAAGTTCTGAAATACATGATATTCTTTTACTAGTTTTGTTCAGTTTAATGTTTATTCAAATGTGAATGCTCCTTGATTTGTTTAAAATGAACACTGTGTGTGAACTGAATTTCTGATTTGAAAAAAAATCAATACAACTGAAACAGAAGATATTGTTTGGACTAAATAAAAAAAAATCAATACTCTCCAGGCACAGTGCATTGTTATAGTCTCTGTCATGATTTGGTGTGAATGTTTGTTTGGTTTAAAGCTGAGATCAGGTGTAGATGAGTCACTTTTCCTCTGATGTGGAAATCCCTTTGGTGATTCATTGTGTTTGTTGTAATAATTTGACCATCAGATATTTATAGGTGCTTATGTAAAGGCGTTTTATTGATTATTGCTGAACATGTATTTATCTTTATTCCATTACCGCATTTGATTTGTCATTGTAGGGACAAAAATAATCAGCATCTTAATCATGAATTAAACATCCTAATTATACAGTGTAATTTTTTTATACATTCTTGTCTGTGGTTCTGAAGTTCTTACAGAATTATATAAGAGCTTAAATCCCTATTGTGTAAATTTTAGCCAAAACGCAGACTAAATTGAAAGCACGTGTTCTTATTCTGAGCGGGCTTCTATCTCCACAAACCTGACTTGACCACTTTCTGCTTGTCTCTGTGGAAATGTTGTTCCTTTGGCTGTGATATCTGTAAAGGGGCGAGGTCTTTCACCAACTCTTCTACTATGCATTTTTCATTAAACAGGTCCACAGTTTGACCCAGAGTTTATGTTACACTAGGGTGATTGACAAAATAATGTTTTTTTAAAAAGTTTCTTACATCCCAATGTTTTATTTGAGTCTAATCCATGAAAAAATATTCCATGTGAAATATCAGCCTGAGTGGTTAATTTTTAGAGGCGACTCATGCTCACTACAGTTTTTCTTTGGAGTCACCATTTGATGTTCATAGTTTTAGCCGTACAGTATTAAATGATGACAAATTCTTATAAAAGGTAATTACAGTGTATTTAAATGAAAATTTGAATAATACAAAATAAGCTTTGATTTGTATAATTGCTTTATGCTTTTATTGCCGTTTTTCTTCAGTGACTTCCACTCGGAGAACAATGAAAGAATCTTTTCAGTCCCATGATCCTTTCTGATTGTTGGGATTCTGCCTTTCTGCTGGAAGTTTATGACTTCTTCCCAAATGATTCCGGCGCTTGTCTCAGTCTCTTAGCGACAGTAGCTCAGTTTTTAGAGTGTTTGTCCATTGATCCAAAGGTTGGTGGTTTGAATCTCGCTTGACATAAACATCATTGGTTGAGTGGTCAGATCCACTGACCCATATTCCAGCTCCCACAGATGAATACTGTCATTGTATCCTTGGGCAAGACATTTAAGTGTCTGCGTACACTGGTGTATGTGTGTGAATGAGTGAGTGGTTCCTTGTTGTAAAACCTTTGAGCCTTGAAGGTGGAAAAGTGCTGTATAAAAATATGACCATAAACCATAAATATGACAATGGAAAACACACGGAGCACCTGACCACGTGAGGACAATTTGCTTCGAAGTATCTGCTCCTCTGACTTTGACATCAAATAGAGGCACCTTGCTGACATCTTAAGAATGACTGTGACTCTTTGTAAACGTAACTTAGAAGAGTTTCAGATTAAAAAGTTCTCTCCGAAATAAAAACAATCACATAAAATCTTGTATAACCAGTAGCCAAAGTAAGGTCGCCAAAATACCAAGCTTGACCTACCCCGAAACATTTATAAATTAAATTTGCACCAGTTTTTTTTTCCATATGTAGACTTGATAAGACCTTGGGAGGTAAACTATCTAGAACCTGTTCCACAGTATATCATAAAATGTATTTATCTCCATGGAGGTTGGTATGGTTTTAACTTTGTTTCCAAGGAATCATGCAAGTGCCACCTTCAGAAAGTTACAGTCAATTATCATTTATCTTTTGTATTGTATTGTATGTGTTGTATTCTAAAAGAAAACTACATTATGTATTTGTTTTTGTGTGTTTCAGATCGGCCGAACAGAGAAAATCATGAACTGTCTGAACCCGAAGTTCTCCAGAAGCTTCATGGTGGATTATTACTTTGAGATGGTGCAGAAGCTGAAGTTTGAGGTTTACGATATCGACAGTGAAAACTCCAGTCTGGTGGACGCAGACTACCTGGGGCAGCTGGAGTGCACACTGGGGCAGGTACATGAGCAAAATACTTTCAAGAGGGGCCATTATGCAAACTCAAACCCTCCTTATGTTTAGCTGTAAGATTCTGTCCAGTGCTCAGCCCACAAACCCACGTCACCCAAACTCAGTGGTGGAAAAAATACTCAGCTGTGTTCCCAAGTAAAAATGCAGATACTGGAGCAAAAGAGTCACATGAAAAATCTACTTAAGTAAAAGTATTAAAGTACCTGTTTAAAAATGCACTAAAAGAATAAAAAGTAAAAGTATTTTGAGCAGATTTTGAGACCTAATAAAGCTTCCAATATACTGATTTGTGCTGAATTTTGATAAACAGAAAAGGTTGAATCTGTGTGTTTTCTAGCTGTTTTTATTTTTATATTTTTATTTGCTCAAACTACTAGGAACATGTTACAAATACACCCTCAGTCTTTTCAGCAGGTCTTAGACAACAATAAAAAATACTTTTACTTTTAGCGTTTAATATTATTTGTCTGTTCTTTGCATTTTGGTTGTTTCAGTTCAAGTGTATTTTATATTTCATTTCCTATTTTTATCTTTGTGTTTTATATCCAGATCGTATCCTCCAGAAAATTCACAAAACCGTTGTTGCTAAGAGACAAGAGGCCTGCAGGAAGAGGGACCATCACAGTGAGTTTAAATGGAGTTAATTAATGGAGTTAATTAACATCTTCATGAAATAACGTATGAATTATTTACTTATTAATTCAGATCTGTGCGGAGGAAAGAACAGACAACCGCGTGGTAGACTTTGAGATATCAGCAAGAAATCTGGATAAAAAGGTTTGGGATTTTATTATTTATTTGTTTATTTTTTGTGAATTAACTAGGTCTTATATTACACAAAATTGACTCTTGTGAGCTTTAAGTCATGTTATAATGTTGTTACCTCCTCAAAAACAGACCTGGAGTTGTTTTATTTCATTCACAGCTCAAAATGCTCTGTTCCACCTTGTGATGTCGCGTAGTTGTAGTTTTCAAGTTTACAGCTCCTTTTAAAACTTTTAGTTCAGTAGAGATTGGCAATTCCAGGTCTGAAATCACCCACATGATTCAAGTGAAGTATGGAGTTTAAAAACACAGTGGAGTACTTCCTGTATCACCACATGACATCACAAGGTGGAGTGTTTGATGAGGAAATAACATTATAATATAAATTTTTTGTTATTGACCATCAAGACCTGGACAAATCGCAAATACAGAGAGAGATATCCTTCTGGATTTCCAGGCAATCAAGACCTATTACGCTTTAATTACAGTGTAGGGGTTTATTTACCTTTAAGACAATATTTTATTGTTTTTTATTTGATTAAAGATTCTGTACCAGATTTTTATTGTCTAAAAAAACATGAAAAACAGAACCAGTTCATTTTAAACAGTTTTGTAGTGGTCCAAACTAGAGGTGGAACCAAGTCGTTGTTTTGCAAGTCTCAAGTAAGTCTCAAGTCTTTGACCTCAAGTCCGAGTCAAGCCCCAGGTCAAATACAGGCAAGTCCAAGTCGAGTCTCGAGTCACTGGCCCATAAGTCCAAATCAAGTCCAAGTCGTCTGCTTTGAGCTTCAAGTCATTTAAAGTCTTTAAACTAAAGTACCAAATATAGCTTAGATTTTTGCAATTTATATTAATTTTAAGCTAAATTGTACTTATAAAGTCATAGTATATTTGTATATGAGTATTTATAGAGTATATAAGAGTTGTAGAATTTAATTTAGTAAAGTTTTCCTTTTTAAATGTCTTGACAAGATCTTAGTGTGAATCATTATGATCAGAATAAAAAGAATCCAGATTTAAAAGTGCTTCTCAAGTCACTGACATTCAAGTCCAAGTCGAGTCCCGAGCCTTAGTCCATTTTGTCAAGTCTCAAATCCTAAGAAATAGTGACTCAAGTCTGACTCGAGTCCAAGCCACGACTTGCAAGTCCCCACCTCTGGTCCAGAGTTATTCTTCTCTTACCTTACGCATTCAGAGCGTCCTAATTATTCACTGTGATGAGTTTATAAACAATTTTCACAACTTTCAGACTCATCAGAGCAGAGTTTTGCTCCTAATAATGGTGATACTAACAACAACTAGCATGCTGACCACACTATTCCTGATTTTTGGAACAATAAAACACTTCATAATTATATATATACTAGAAAAAAAATCAGGTACAGCACATTTAATCAAGCTATTTATTACCAATTACTTAATCTATTATACATTTAATATACAGGTTTATGTATTTTTAAAGGCTGTTCTGTATTTGTTCTATTTTTATTTGATTGCGTGTGTGGTTGAGTTTAATGTTTTTTTTCTTTTTCACAGGATTTCTTTGGTAAATCAGACCCTTTCCTGGAGTTTTACAGAGAGACTGAAACCGGGTGGCAGCTGTGTCACAGGACAGAGGTGAATGAACTTTGTATTTTATTATGACATACAAACAATGTGTAATTTTTCTTTCAGTTTTAAGTATTTATTTTAAGGATCGAAAATATGTTATTAATAATAGATTCTTGTTTCATAATGGTGGATAGAAGTAGTAGAAGTAGTGTACCAGTGTTTATTTTTTGCCTTATAAATAGTGCGTATGTTTTACTTTCAGTTTTGAGTTTTTATTTTAAGCATCCTTGTTTGTTTTATTTTTATTTAGTAATTCATCTCATGATAAGAACTGCATTTTTTCTGTCTTGCTTTCACTTTGATTAATGCAACGGAAATCACAAGCCACAATGTTTATAAATGTTTGGATGCCGGTTTTGCTGTGTTGCTATGTTCACACGAGTCCTGATTTGGTTCTGGTTTGGTCCTGGTTTGAACCCAGTTAAACTCTGAGGTAGATCTGGTTTGGACCTTTAACTTCTTGGGTTTTTTTAAAGACAATGCAGTAAAGTGTATTTACCTTGTAAATCCCACAACAACAAAAATGCAATGCCATATACGAAATCCAATGCAAATCATGCAATAAATCATACATAGGGGAAACGGGCCGGGCATTTCACATCCGAAATCATCAGGGAGACTCACCAGAACACAAAAAGACAAAGCAGAACAGGAAAACCTCAAATCCGCCATATCAGAGCACTGTAAAAGAAACAACCACATTATGGATTGGGACGGGGCTCGGATCATTGGATCGGAAAACAACAAGTTCAAACGCTGGATCAAGGAGGCCATTGAAATCAGGAAACAAGGCACGGACAGCATTAACCATGATGACGGCGCATTCCTCCTTTCACACACCTGGGACACCCTCCTCCAGAGACACCGGGCGACGGGAGGCGTGGTCAGTCTGAGCGACCTGCAGGTCCATCAGGCCTGACCACGCCTACAGGAAGTAACAACAACTGATATACAACACGTCACCACCAACACCGGGGACAGTTCTGAAGATGACTCGCAGCAGCAGCCGAAACATGTCAACAAGATAAATACACTTTACTGAATTGTCCTTAAAAAGAACCCAAGAAGTTAAAGTATATAAGAAGACAAAATGAACATCATTGGCTTGGTTTGGACCTGTTCTAATCCAGGATTAGTCCAGGTTTAGTTCTGGGTTTATTCCTAGTTAAGTGTGAAGACAGCGTTTACAGTCCAGCACCAGCAGTTTAATAATGACGTCTGAAATGAATGAATTTGTGTTTTAAATAATGTAATAAATATGTTTTTTGTATATTAGATTTATATTACATTAATAGTCCTTGCAAGATGTTTTCACGATCTTGACACTTTAGCATTTTTTTTCATTTGTTTATGTTTGATCAATTCCCTTAACTATCTCAGAAACTTTCTACATCAAATTTTCTTTACTCATCTTATGGTGTAAATAATGAAAATAAAAATTTTAATGTTTTTTGTTGTTGTTTTGTAGGTGATCAAATGCAACCTTAATCCAGTGTGGAGGCCTTTCAGAGTTTCACTACAATCACTATGTAACTGTGATGTGGAAAAATCTATCAAGGTAAGTTACTTTTTGTTTTATTTTAAATGCTTATTACTATATTTTACCATTACTTTATGTTATGTCTGTTTCCATTGATGCTCACTTATCAGTTGGAGGTTGCTTCTTGAACAGCGTAAGTCTCTGGTCTGAGATGCAGTCTGTTATAAGTCTGTTTTAATTCACATTTAAATAGGTATAAATGTGTTTATACCTATTTGTAAACTGTATCTTTCACCCATAGACTGTATAAAAAAAAGTGGACTAAGCGAGTATGACGTCACCCACAGTGTTCAGGGCCACTCACATGAAGCTCACGATGCTCACGGTTACAGGAGTGAGTCTGGAGCCAGGCTCTGTATTATGAATAGGATTTTTTTTACGGACAAAATAGCGAGAAAAACAAAACAAAACAGGATCATGTCTAGTGGGTTAATATGATCATTTTAAGACCAAAATAATGAGGCATCAGCAGTTCCAGAGAGAGGGACGACAATATTCCAATATAAGTCAATGAGAGCCAATGAGGGACAGAAGAAGCCAGAAGAACTCACATCTGAACTTTTTCCTTTTTGGAACACATCGGCAAGCACGTTAGCTCTGTCCATTTATGTATACAGTTTCACCATCATCAGAGGCCCATTTCCCCAATTTAAAACCCATTATTGACCATACTGGCTTGTTGAAACCTGATCCCATCAGATCTCAGAAGCTCAGCAGGGCCGGGCCTGGTTAGTACTTGGATGGGAGACACTGGGAAAATCAGGTGCCACAGTTGTGCGCCAGTTGCAAAAAACTGTAGATGTGTCCTTAGGCAAGACATTTCACCCACATTGCCTAGTATGAAAGTGGTGTGTGCCTGAGTGATGGTGGTATAGAGTGAATGAAATAATGCTCTGTAAAGCGTCTTTGAGACAAATGTCTGTGAAAAGCGCTATATAAATAAAAAAAAACTTACTTACTTATTATCAGTGTTGGGAAGGTTACTTTTAAAATGTATTCCCCTACAGATTACATACCCCAAAATGTAGTTTGTAACTTAATCCATTAAATTACTTAAAGTGAGTAATGTAATCTGAATACTTTGAATTACTTGATTTTCGGTAGAGTAGCAAAGACACGGATATCTTCACATAAGATATTTTGTCTGCTAAAAGAAAATAAAAAGCCCAGACTTTCCTTAACCGTATTAAAAATATTATTGATAGACGAGGAGGAGACACGGTCCATTCAGCATGGTTAAATCCTGTTAAATCCTGTTTTAGCCCTGGTTTAGACCTGGTTTAGACCTGGTTTTAGACCTGGTTTTAGTCTGGGTTTAGTCTTGGTTTAGTCCTGGTTTAGATCTAGTTTAGACCTGCTTTAGATCTAGTTTAGACCTGGTTTAGATCTAGTTTAGACCTGGCTTTAGTCCTGGTTTAGATCTAGTTTAGACCTGCTTTAGATCTTGTTTAGACCTGGTTTTAGTCCTGGTTTAGTCCTGGTTTAGACCTGGTTTAGTCCTGGTTTAGACCTGGTTTAGATCTAGTTTAGACCTGGTTTAGTCCTGGTTTAGTCCTGGTTTAGTCCTGGTTTAGTCCTGGTTTAGTCCTGGTTTAGATCTAGTTTAGACCTGGTTTTAGTCCTGGTTTAGACCTGGTTTAGTCCTGGTTTAGACCTGGTTTAGATCTAGTTTAGACCTGGTTTAGACCTGGTTTTAGTCCTGGTTTAGTGTCCGACAATGAGTGGAATTACCAAATAAATAGATAAATAAATAAACAAATAAGGGATATAGACCAAAATGTGAAAACAGGAAAATACCACCATGTAATCCATATATTTCAACAAAGTAACGGTAATCCAATTACCACTCACTGAAACAGTAACTGTAACTGAATACAGTTACTCATAATTTGTACTCTGATTACGTAACTCTGGTACATGTAATTAGTTACTCCCCAACACTTCTTATTATTAGTGAGAGCTTTCCACATAAACTTTAGATTCCATTTCTTGTTTTTAATGTTTTGGTCTTTGGTGTCACGTATACACAGGGCAGTAGACAGACAAAAGGGTCTGTTGTCCTGAGCCCAGAATTGGACCCTCTTCCAATTAATTATTATTAAAGGGGGGCCCATGCGAGACTTCTTGCCCCAGGCCCCCAAATTTCTGTCGACTGTCCTGCGTATATGAACAATTTGCACAAAAGATCTATGTGCAAATTTCACTCTCCTCCGCTTACACATATTGTCAGTCTGGGTGCGGTCACATGTCAGAGAAAAGGGTCATTCATACAGGTCAAACTTTATGAACTGTATTTATTTGTGAATTGAAAATTTTAGTTTAAAGGTGCTATATTTCACAAAATTGACTCTTGTGAGCTTTAAGACAAGTTATAATACTATCAACTCCTAAAAAACATACATGAAGTTGTGTTTTGTTTCATTAACACACTTGCGTAAACCTTTATTATTAGTCTGTCTACATCTCCAAAGCTCAAAATGCTCTGTTCCGCCTTGTGATGTCATGAAACGGGAGTTTTTAACAGCTCCTTGTAACATTTAGTTCAGTAGAAATTGGTGATTCCAGAGCTGAAATGATCCAAATGATTCTAGTGAGCTGATACGTGTGAATGAAACAAAAACCATGTGTATTGCTTGAAATTGTCACTTTTCTTTCTCTGTCAGTTGTAGTAATAGTACTGATGGTAGTTCTACATTTCAGTATTTCCTTTTTGCTGTGGTCTGATGTGCCTTTGTGTCATTCACTTTTATCATTTAGGCGTTTTACTGGTCGCACGTAAATGTCCATTCACGCTTTTGTTCCTTCTTTTTCAGATCGATTGTTACGACTACAATAACAGCGGGTCACATGACTTTATAGGGTCATTGCAAGCCTCTGTCAGCCAAATACAGCAGGCTTCACAAACATATGCGGTAAGTTTTATTAAAAAAAAAAAAAAAAAAAGGTGGCTATTTTTATGTTTTATTTTAAATGCCCCATATTACGCCGTTTTCTGATCTATGTTATAATGTTGTTTGCTCGTCAGAAACAGACCTGGAGTTGTGTTTTGTTTCATTCACACATGTTTAACACACAAATCCTGCATATTTAGGTTCTTCTCTCAAATAGAAAACACTCTTTTCCACCTTGTGATGTCATGTGGTAATACAAAAAGGGTTCCCTTGTGTTTTAAACTCCATACACCTTCATTTGGATGAATTCAGACCTGGAATTTCCAATCTCTTCTAAACAAAACACATGTGAATGAAACAAAAACACAACTCCAGATTTATTTATGAGGAGGTAACAACATTCTAACATGACTTCAAGTTCACAAGAGTCACTTCTGTGTCATATAGGACCTTTAAAATCTTATCATTATTTGATTTCTGGAGTTATCAGATTACTGAAATGCCATGTAAACAGTTGCTGTGATTACATGCACATTCAAATTCAAATTTGTGTTGTCGCACTATTAAAATGACATTAAAACAGCAAAATCATCTAATTTCTTCCTGATAATGGTCCCTCTGATTACCCATATCAAATTTTATGGTTTGTATGCCCTGAAATCAGATTATAATTAGATTTCTGGACTGCCTGTGAGCCACTTACATCTGGTGTAAGTAAAAGTAATCTGATTTCTTTCTGATTGCTTGCACCTGTGCAGGTTTTGACAAGGAAAATTATGAAAAAAACCTACAATTTAAAAACTACAATTATGCAAACTACTCTGACAAAGACAAAAAGACCAGTCCTACAGGGTTAAAGATTTGTCGTCTTGGTTAAAGTTGCACGATGTAACTTTCTGTTGGAGGGTCCACCACCTGCTTAAATTCATGGAGATTATTATTATTATGCCTGGAATGTCCCAGGGTTTGGCATTGAGTTTATTTTTCTCCACGGAGACAAACATGTGATACCTTCAGGTCAAGTTACAGGTCAGATCTGTGGAAAGAGGTGACCTGGCTCACAGCAAGAATGGATTTTTTAAATTCTTTTCCCTTTTGCAGTAAAAACACCCATTTGAATACATGTAAAGTAAATTATTTTAATGCCATACTGTGGTAGCCAGGCTGGCGCCACCTAGTGCCTCCGATCAATTTCATTTCTCTCCAGCGACTGGGTCAGGAATCAGAATACACTAGATGGTTTGGAAGAACCCCGGAAGTGCGAGTCCAAGCAGGAAGAGCCATATATTCTGTGTTGGCAATGATTCCCGAGATCGAGGATTTAAAGCCGGAACAAAGAGAATGTTTGGTGAATTTTATCAAGGGGAAATATGTTATTGTCCTTCTTCCTACGGGATTTGGTGCATTACATACGTCACGACCAAAAAGCAGCGATTGGTTAAGTAAAAAAAGTTGAGCGAACAAATTCTAATGCTGCGAGGTCAAACGGTTTCCATGAAGTGAAACCGGCTGATGAATCAGGCTAATACTGTGGGACATTCCAGCAGAAATATCTCTATTGTGACAAACAAGTGACGCATCTTTCAAGTGAAAAGTTACACAATGCATCTTTAAGTTAATAACTGATTAAGAGAGCCCATACCTTTAGCAGCTTTCTCTCCAGCTGTATATTTCAGTGCCAGTGTAAGTCTTTTAGTTTAGTCTTAGTAAATTGTATACCTATTTATCTTTCCAGGCTGAGTTTGAATGCATCAACAGTAAGAAGAAACAAAAGAAGAAAGGATACAAAAACTCTGGTGTCATCGTTATTAAAAAATGCAAGGTACGACTTTTCTTTTCTCTGTAATTTTGCAGTTTGGGACCAGTATTGTAATAATATGTGTGATTTTATTCAGTCTACTGGTTTCAAAGTATGTAATTAGGACTAGTAATAATTTACAATACAATAAAGAAATTAAGTAAAAGTACAAAATGTGCTATTTCCTCTTTTATGCTCTACTTCTCTATACTATAATGTCTTCACTGCTGTATTCATTAACCAGCACTGCTCTCTGTTCCTTTTTCCCAGATTATAAAAGAGTACACATTCTTGGATTACATAATGGGCGGCTGTCAACTCAACTTCACTGTAAGTAATGAGCTAAATTAGTGCTTTTGTGCAATCGCTACAAACCAGACAGGAGGGTGAGGCCTCTGCTTAAACAGCCCACATTGCACTATTATCAGATCTATTTTATAATGTGTCCTCATCACACAGAGGCCTGGAGTTGTGTTTTGTGTTTCATTCACACATGTTTAATACACAAACCCTGCAGATTTAGGCTGAGTTCTTCTCACAAACTCAACAAACAAGTGCCCCACTGTGTTTTTAAACTCACTAGAATCATTTGGATGATTTCAGACCTGGAATTGCCAACCTCTATTGAACTAAAGGTTAAAAGGTAACAGTTAACTTGAAAACTACCACTTCGTGACATCGCAAAGTGGAGCAGAGCATTTTGAGCTTTGGAGATGTAGACAGACTAATAATAAAGGATTAATCAAGCATGTGTGAATGAAACAAAACACAACTCCAGGTCTGTTTTTGAGGAGATAACAACTTTATAACATGGCTTAAAGCTCACAAGAGTCAATTTTGTGTAATATAGGACCTTTAATGAAAACTTCAAGCCTCTTAATTAGTTACAAAGCCTGAAACATTTGTTCGTCACGTGTCTTTGTTCATGCTTTTTTTAAAAACTGATTAAAGTGTAGTTATTAAGGATGGGACGAGACACAATTTTCACAAGACAAGACTTGAGATTGGGTCCACAAGAATGAGACAAAATGAGATTTTCTAACATAATTTCTTTTTTTTAAAACTTATTTTTATTGAATAATTTTGGTGCAAGCCACATAATTATGAGACAGCAGTAAAGATGCAATACAAGTAAAATGACAATAAAGTTACAGTATAGATACAGTCATACACATTTTCTCCTCATTTATCATTCATAATATACACTACACACACACTACAACATAACAGAAAAAATCCTACAAAAGATAGTCATCCTTTTGAAATATAGGCCTGAATTGAAGACCATTTGTCCATGAATAAATCTGTCTTCATTTGTAACCTTGCAGTTATTTGCTCCATAAGATATACATCCTTTATTTTATTTTTCCCCTGGGTAATTGTGGGAAGGCAGCGGCCTGAGCCAGGAGACTGTTATCATTTTTTTGGCAATTAAAAGTAAAATTTTCAGCAAATGAAAATGGGTATTTGTTCTTAAGTCATTTGGAAAAATTCCCAACAGCACAATACGTGGCTCTGATATAATTTTGATCCCCAAACAGTTTTCAATTTCACATTGCACGTCCCTCCTAAATGTTCAACATAATTTCTAACACATAAATAATTTTAGTGTAGTTCCCAAAGTTGGTTTCAGAATTTGTATTTACTTCATTGAATATTTTTGTTGTCCTTTTAGCAGTGCTTTTTGGATATACGACTTCTCAAAGATGCAGCTCACCAACACTTAACCCTTTTTTAGCCCATCCAAATGGGAAATGAAATCTCATGAGATTATTTTTCTCATGTGTGTACAATTTTGTGCCAGTTTTGTCTAGGAAGATCTTGTGACACGAGATCTTTTCCCATCCCTAATAGATATTATAGTATGTAGTGTATTATAATTTAGTTTGTATTATGTGACTGTCTGAACTTTATGGTTGTATTTATTTCTCTTTAGATCGCCATAGACTTCACAGGCTCCAATGGAGACCCCAGGACGCCCCAGTCTCTGCACTACATAAACCCCCAGGGCTATAACGAGTATCTGGCAGCGATTTGGGCCGTGGGCAACGTCATCCAGGACTACGACAGGTCAGTTCTCTATGTTTGTTGAGCTATATTTGTGTTGTATGTGTGAATATTTGTGTAATTGTTATTAAAAAATACAAAGCACGTCCCTTTCAAACATAATTCTTTTGTCATTTTGCATGTGTAGTGTATTACCTTGTATATAAACCTCTGTGTATATAATCAGTACTGAATACCTCTTCTGTTTTTTATGTCTGGCACTAGTACTTACATAATTACTTCTTTCTTTTATACTATGTTGTAAATATCCCACATACATGTCTGCACTGAAGAGTGAGTTGCTTTCAGTCTCATTGTATTGCATGTGTATAGTGTAAATTGTACATGTGTATAGTGACAATAAAAGGCTTTCTATCTTATATTCTGTACAATTTGTGACTAATAATAGAATAATGTGAGATATGGTTCAGTCTATTGATTTAAAATTGTGTTAAATTAGGATTACAGGAATTATGTGTATTGAATTATATTTGTGTTTAATTTCTGTGTAAATTATTTTCTTCTTTTAGTGACAAGATGTTCCCTGCTTTTGGTTTTGGAGCCATGATCCCTCCAACGTGGCAGGTTAGAGTTTGTGTATAGATAAATTGTAATGTTTTTACACACACACTCATCTAATAATAACAACAAACTGGTTTAAATAGCACTTTTCACTGTAACTCAAAAACACTTTACATGATTACAAGAGTTGTACAGAGTAAATGAATGAATTACTGGATTAATGTAGAAAACAGGACAAACAAAAATAAATAATCTACATAGAAATGTTATCAGTTCCCACAAACACATCTTAATTTTAATTCCACTCATGAAAGTTATAAGTAACAATTTTTTAACCTGATTTCTTTCCTATTTGCAGGTCTCTCATGAGTTTCCCATCAACTTTAACCCCTCAAACCCATTTTGTGCAGGTTTGTCAACTAACAGTAAGATCTTCTCTGCATCCCTTTTATTAATTATTAAATCATGACATTACAGCAGAAAAGGCTATATTCTCACAATTTTACACTACTTGCCATAAAGCAGATTAATGTAACTTGGAAGAAAGTTCAACAATTAATAAAAAAGTCTCTTCATATATATAAAGTTGCTCTATCCTGCTTAAATTATATGTAAACAGGTCTTCATAAACTCGTTCATGTGCATTACAGGTGTGGAGGGAGTGGTCCAGGCGTATCAGCAGTGCCTCCCTCAGGTCAAACTTTACGGACCCACAAACTTCTCTCCGATCATCAACCACGTCGCTCAGTTTGGACGACAGGCCATGCAGCAGCAGACAGCATTGGTATGATTTTGTCAAAGGTCCTATCTTTAGTAAAATTGACTCTTGTGAGCTTTAAACCCTGTTATAATGTTGTTACTTGGCCATAGTTATCCTGCCACTAAAAACAGTCTTACTCACTCCATAAAGCACCCGAAGCAAATCTATTGTAACGCCAGACTGTTGATGTGAATGTCTGCGTCAGTAGAATAATTTTAGAAGTGAAACCAACCTTGCATTTGAAGGATTTATGTCTGAAAATTCTGTTGCTGCTGAGAAAATAGTCCCTCAACATGCGACGATTCATGCGATGCAAGGATAGTTTTATTTCTAACATTATTCTATCAGCACAGACATTTACATTGACAGTCTGGTGTAATAATAGATTTGCTTCGGGTGTTTTGTGGAGTGGGTTAAGACTGTTTTTAGTGGCAGGATAATGCAATCTGCAAATACAAGGCCTGGATGGAATATTTAAAAAAGTATCTCCACATATCTCCAACACTCTGGCTCACTAGGAAATGAGGCCCTATGTACAAAATTTTGGACTGACCTTTTAAACAAGTCCTTCTCAAATGACATTACAATCACGAGCTACCTAACATTAGCCAAATTTTCAATTAGTCACTCACCTTTTTTTTGAAAATCACCTAAACAGGACCATGAACGCTCGTATTGATCACAGGATCCCGAAAATGCGCTGTTTAAATCCATTTTGTATTTCTCTAGAGTTTTCAGACTTTTTTGGCAGTGTGTGCTAATGTGTGCCTTGCGTCACCATGGTAACTGATGAATATTCCATCACAGAGATACATGTAAAACACCCCAAGCGCGATGTCACTGCAACATATCAATTATCACAATATTTTTTATTAATTTCATGGCTTATTCCACTATTGAGGTGCTTCAACTAATCGGATTCAATTATTAGTATGGGCAGGACTGTCACAATAACAAATGCTGAATCATGAATCGATACTTAAAATCTCCTAGAAGAAAATGTACACACAATAAGTACTCCAAAAATGTATTGTTCCAGTTTTCATGTATTGAATGAGAAGTCGATATAGTAATTATCATAACAGTCCTAAGTATGGGTCCAGAATATCGGGAGCCTTGATAGGGAAAATGCTGTAACTTTTCTATCAGTTTTGTAATATTTTTTTACACTGTTCTTTAACCTTTCACAGCAATACTTTGTTCTCCTCATCATCACTGATGGGGTGATCACGGACATGGACCAGACACGCACCGCCATCGTGAACGCCTCTCGTCTGCCCATGTCCATCATCATCGTGGGAGTGGGCGGAGCCGACTTCAGCGCCATGGAGTTCCTCGACGGAGACGACGGGATTTTACGCTCCGCATCGGGAGAACCGGCCATGAGGGACATCGTGCAGTTTGTGCCCTTCAGACAGTTTCAGAATGTAAGATTTATTTATAATTTTGATTGTATATTCAGGTGATGCTTGGGATTTTGGTGTAATTTTTCAAATTTTGGGCTGTATACATTCACTGATACACAACTGCTGTGGTTTCAGATGACGTAACATTACATAGGCCAATAATATTTAATACAGATGGGGGCAGCTAAATGCTTGTTTTTCAAATTAGAGATGCACCGTTTCAATACTTGTATCAGATATTGGCACCAATACTATAAAATTTTTGGTTACTTGAAGTTACTTGAAGCTACAGTATCGAAATCAGTATCTGAACTGAAAAAGCTGGATCAGTGCATCTCTAGTTCAAATGCAGGTTTTTGTTGTCAAACTGCAAATTTGCAAATTTCCCTTTTGATTATATCATGTCAAAGTACAATGTTATCATTAGGCAAAACTGACCCTTGACCCCTAGCTGGAGTATACCGTATTTTCGGACTGTAAGTCGCTCCAGAGTATAAGTCGTACCAGCCAGAACAATTGTATAATGAAGAAGAAAAAAAACATATATAAGTCGCACTTTTTTGGGGAAAATTGTTGTATAAAATCAGAGACCAGGAACTGACTTTTCACCTGGGAAGACAAGTTATAGTAATAACAATAGAACAGAGAACAACAGACTGTTAACGTCACATATGAACAGTTCTTCAGATAAATATAACATAAACAACAGAACAGAACAGAACAGAAAAGAAGTTTACCAAACTCTCCATCTCACTCCAAATCACTAAATCCTTTGAATTCTTCATCCTCGGTGTCACTTCTGAGCAACTCAGCGACCTCCGGAGGTAAACGGAGCGCCGCTTCCTCTTCTGTATCGCTGTTGTCAGATTCAGACAGCTCCAGAATTATTCCGGCCTTTCTGAATCCCGACAGGATGTTTTCAGTTTTCACTCCAGACTTTATCAATCCATCCAACAAGTTTCTCGCTCACTCCAAACTTTCTTTCTGCTGCACGATTACTGTTTTCGGCTGAATATTTTGCTACTTGCAGCTTGTAATCTGCTAAATATGATTTTCATTTTGGTGGCATTTGTGTTCAGTCTTCTCAGTTGTCTTAATAAATTTGTTTAAATTGGTACAAAAGTAATGGTGTGATCGATTGACATGATACAGACAGGACAGAGGCTCTTTCTGCAGGAGACATGTGCAGTAGAGTGAAGTGACAGTGGTACAAGAGTAATAGGAGCAGCAGATACTGACACACAAGTCTTGAGCCTCTCGTGGCTTCAGTGTGAAAATTTTAATATATAAGTCACCACCCAAACCATGAAAAAAGTGCGACTTATAGTCCAAAAAATACGATAACAACATCACATTGTACAATCTGAAATCATCAAAAGGGATGCAATAAGGTGTGGGGGTTCACTATGTAACTTTACTGGTGGTCTGCTAGTATTGCTAGTTCCTATTTGTCTCCATTTAGATATTTTTCCTTTGCCTGGAATGTTCCATAGTATGGAATACACTGGAAACATTAAATTTGGCCTTTGATTTGGCTTTAAATGTCAGATATAAAAAATCTGTTTGTGTTTAGGTGACTGAAAGCAATTATGAATTTTATATACAAAATAAATGAATTAAAATAAAAATTGTCATAGGTGGATATGAGGAAAAATCTCTCTATATATTTATTTGTTTATTTATTTGTTATATCAGGCAGCCCATAGCATTGACACCGTATGAAAGCTCCACAGAATCTCCTCTATGAACTTGTGCACTCATTGCAGGCAGGCACAGCAGCACTGGCCCAGAGTGTTCTGGCTGAGTTACCCGATCAAGTGGCCTCCTTCTTCAATTTGTTTGAGCTGAAGCCCCCCACCGAGCCCACCCCCCCATAGAAATGTAGGCTCTCCTCACAGCCCCGCCCGCCCCTGTCGCTTGGTGCATGAATCTAACCCTGCTTTCGCTAAGTGATTTTGTTTTGAAGTGATTTTAACATGTTTATCAGCTTGTGGTTGTTTGTGTGATTAATCTACTAAATGCAACATTGGAATAAAACCATAGACTGTATAAATAAATGGACAATGTTCCAAATAGGAAATAAGCGTGGGGGCACTTCCGGTTCCATCGACTCTGGCTCCAGTTAACTATATATTGAAAAATTGTTGCCTCTCTCTCTGTAATTGCTGCAGTGAGCCTCGTTATTTTGGTCTTAAAACGTTCGTATTAACCCACTCTGGTGATCCTGGTGTTTAAATTTCACTATTTTGTCCGTAATTCAATTCCTTTTCCTAATATGGAACTCGGGTCCAAATTCGCTCCTATAACAGCTGGATTAAAATAGGACAAGAACAGGAATAAACCAGGGCTGGACCAGGGCTGGACCAGGGCTGGACCAGGGCTGGACCAGGGCTGGACCAGGGCTGGACCAGGGCTGGACCAGGTTTTAACAGCCTTGTGAGCTTCATTTGGCTGCAGCAGAACTTCACATGCTCTTAGTCCACTTCTTTATACAGTCTATGAATAAAACAAATGGTGACGGGCAAATCCCCTTTTAATCTAGCATCTTTCAAATGTAATTTTTTTTTTACGGTCTTTCAATCTTTGTTTTGACTTCTAACTATCACAGTGGTTCTCCAACTTTTTACCAATAATGGAATCCGTACTTAAAGTGGGACTAAACAGCTAAACTCTGCCCACAGTCACATTTCAAACAGAGCTGACCCTGCGTTCGATTATCTTCCGACTTCCACTTGGACCTCAGATTTTGGCATCACGTCTGAGCTTGAAGCGTATTACAATGTTTCGCGTGTCGGACTCCGTAGATTATGATTATGACTATGCCCTCATTTTATGAAAACACTGCCACTTGAATTGATTTAATTTTTGAAATTTGCACTTCATTTTATGTTATGATTTCTCTTTCGTTACAAAATTAGGGACCTAAAAGCCTGTTAAATCAAGTATTTGTTCAATATTGACCTCACCACAAAAACCGACTACCAAACCCACAGGCAGTGATATGGACGCAGTAAGTTATTGCAGTGATATGAGTGACTGAATTTGTCATTTAAACCACCGAAGTCCAAACACAATGAAAACTCTTCATATTTACATGTCACAGTGGGCGCAGCCAGTTTGGCTTCTGACTCGGAATCCTTGCTCGGTCCATTTTTTCCGCCACCAAGGTCCAAGTCGTGCTGTCCCAGGAAAAGGCGCGTGTTACACATGTCGCTAGGCTACTTCCTTGGAAAACTGATTTGGAAGGATAATCAAACATAGGGTCAAATTGACCAGTACCTGGAGGGGTGGGGTCTGGGGGTGTAAGGAACACTGTGATTGGTCTCACAGGTATCCACACTTCAAACTCCATCCCCAGAACCAGGTGTTTGTGATCAGAAACACTGGGCTGTAATCAGGGAAGTCTTTTGTGATGTCACCAACTACTTGAAACTGCAGAGGAGTTTTTGACTAGAAAGCTGCAAATTCACCAAGTTTGCACTAAATTTGCCAAAATAAATGACAAGGGACAGTAAATAATGCTATTAAAACACCATATACACAATTAAGTAGTATAAAAACTCAGATTTAGTGTTTAGTTCCACTTTAATATTTTCATCATTCTTGGAGTGGGTGTTATTTTTTTGCGACAACCAACCATTGCAGAAGATTGGTTTCATCCAGCATGTCATTCCTGTGGTATAAACGAAAAAAATATTATTGTAGGAAACATTCCATCTATTCATAAAATGTACATGCTTAAGTTGTGTTGGAGTTTGAGTATACTTCCAAACGGATGGGAAATATGGACTAACCCAAAGTTTTAAATATCAAACAACAGTAAAACCCACAGGACAAAAGTTAAAGGGACAGTCCAGAATTTTGTACATACATCCAGTCCTTGTATTTGCAGAGGTCGCTGGTGCTAGACTAGTGCATGTCAATGGCCATAGTTTCCCCGCCACTAAAAACAGTCTTACCCACTCCACAAAACACCCGAAGAAAATCTGTTATTACGCCAGACTGTTGATGTGAACGTCTGTGTTGATAGAATCATTTTAGAAGTAAAATTAACCTTGAATCGCATGAATCGTTGCATGTTGAGGGACTATTTTCTCATATATCAGTTCGTCGCTGCCAAACTTTCTATCAGGAAGTACAACTCGCTGCTGTTGCTCAGACATAAATCCTTCAAATGCAAGGTTGGATTTACTTCTAAAATTATTCTATCAACACAGACATTTACATCGACAGTCTGATGTAATGATAGATTTGCTTCGGGTGTTTTGTGGAGTGGGTAAGACCGTTTTTAGTGGCAGGATAACTATGGCCATCGACATGTGGTAGCCTAGCACTAGCGACCTCTGCAAATACAAGGACTGGATGGAATATTTAAAAAGTGTCTCCACACGTCTCCAACACTCTGACTCACTAGGAAATGAGGCTCTATATCCAAAATTCCAGACTGTCCCTTTCATGATTTTATTCAGTCCAGGTCAGACGAAGAGACGATCTTGACCTAAACTTGAACTTTAAGTTTACCTTATCTACTGTGATCTTTTTAATGGTGCCTGCTCCTAGTACTCAGACCACAGTTTGAGAACCACTGGGTTGGTGGTTCAATACCCACTATCATCTACGCAAACCGCTGTTGTGTCTATGGGCAGTACACTTAACCCACCTTGGCTGCGTGTGAATGAAAATGATTTTAGATATAATGAAAAGTGCAATATACAGAGGTGGGTAGATTAGGCTAGAATTGTACTCAAGTAAAAGTAACTTTACTTAAAAAAAAAAAAGTTTAAAAAAAAGTAGTGGTCTAACAAATTACTAAAATAACAGTTTAAATGTATTTTTGGGAAAATACTCAAGTAACTACCTGAACATAACACCAGCTTTGTAATTTGAAGTTAATGAAATCATACGTATAAAACCTTAAATAATGCACAAAAATTGTTACTTCCAATGATAGACCACAAAAATGAGAAGAAGAATGTTTAAATCTTTTATATTGTTAACATAAAGTTGTAAATTATAGATATTATAGATGTACTCACAGTGGAAAGAGTAAACAAAACGTTAACTCAAGTGGAATTTCTGTAAAAAGTGACTAAATATAACTAAGTTCTACCCACCTCTGGCTCTGTACTGTGTATTTTTTATTTAATTTTTTTTTTCTAAACTTTTCTTTTTCTTTAGGGTCCTCCTGAAATGTTGGCTCAGAGCGTTTTGGCAGAAGTACCAGGACAAGTCACAAGTTTCTTCAGTGCGATGAGTCTGAGGCCCCCAAACAGCAGCGACGCACCAGCCGACCCTCTGACGGACCAGAGTCTGTCTGCTTAAACTAACATCCTACACAAAAGATCACACAATGGCTCTGGAATGTGGGAGATTAGGACTAGACTGGGACTGGAACAGGACTCGGACTAGACCACAGCAGGACTAGACCAGGGGTAGGCCAGGAGTAAAGCAAAACTAAATCAGAACTACACCAGGACTACACCAGGACCACATCATCACTACATCAGGACTACATCAGGATTACATCAGGACTATGTCAGGACTACACCAGGACTACACCAGGACTACATCAGGACTACGTCAGGACTACACCAGGACTACACCAGAACTATATCAGGACTACACCAGGACTACATCAGGACTACGTCAGGACTACACCAGGACTACACCAGAACTACACCAGGACTACACCAGGACTACACCAGAACTATATCAGGACTACACCAGGACTACACCAGGACTACACCAGGACTACACCAGGACCACATCAGGACTACATCAGGACTACACCAGGACCACATCAGGACTACACCAGGACCACACCAGGACTACATCAGGACTACATCAAGACCACACCAGGATTATATCAGGACTACAAAAGGACCACTCCAGGACCACTCTAGGACCACTCCAGGACTACATCAGGACTCTATCAGGACTCTGTCAGGTCTAAATCAGGACTAAATCGGGACTACACCAGGACTACACCAAGACTATATCAGAACTACACCAGGACTACACTGGAAATACACCGGGACTAGATCAGGACTACACCAGGACTACACCAAGACTATATCAGAACTACACCAGGACTACACCGGAAATACACCGGGACTAGATCAGGACTACACCAGGACTACATCAGGACTACCCCAGGACTGTATTAGGACTACACCAGGGCTAGATCAGGACTACACCAGAACTACACCAAGGCTACACTAGAACCACGCCAGGACCACACCAGGTCTATATCAGCATTACACCAGGACTATATTAGGACTGCATCAGGACTACACCAAGACTATATCAGAACTACACCGGAAATACACCGGGACTAGATCAAGACTACACCAAGACTATATTAGGACTACACCAGGACTACACCAGGACTATATGCATGGCCAGACCACGTCTAAATAAAGAGTAAACTGGAAGATAATCATGGCATTTGATAAAACATGAAAAAACAACACTACTCTCAAAACTAAACAAGTCCTTAGCCTGGAATAAACTAGAACTAGACTAAACTGGTCTAGACACAATATGGACTTTTCTAACTCGCTCTTAAAACAACACAAATACCTCCACAAGCAACGACAAATCTACAGTTAAAAAAAAAAGTTGGGACACTAGTTTGGCCTTTTGGAAATGATAAAATACCTTTCATTAAAGCAACACTGTGTAACTTTCTGGAGCTGCTTTCTCTTTTCCTTGCGAATAGAAAGTTAAAACCATACTTTATGTCATACTGTGGAATATTATAGCCAAAGGAACAACAATAGGACACATGTTTTTGGGGTTTTCCAGTGTACAAAAAAACTAAATCCTGCTTTTATTTTTGCCTATTTTTCGCTAAAAAGTTACACAGTGAGGCTTTAACATGAACAGCTTTATGGAAATACAGTGGAAATGTCCAAATGACTACTAAATAACTATCAGTAATGTGGCCTAACTTTTTAAAAACTTAAACTCTGCATGTTTACCTGAAGATTTTTTTGATAATACTTAAGTTTAGGGACCACATATTAATAGCTAACTAGGTGGGTTGATAATTAGCTGTTACTTAGCTATTACTTGGCATTAATTAAACACTTATTAATGCTTATTAAGATTCCAGTGTATGCGCAAACATCTATTGTAATTTCCACTACTTTAATGGGAAGAAAATAGTTATTAATGGATTAGTACTTGCAAAATACAGCCTTAAACAAAAATGCATGGAGGAAAGTACTTTATAAATACTAATAAAGATGTACCGTATTTTGCGCACTATAAGGCGCTCTGGATTATTGAATGAATGGTCTATTTTCAGACTTTTTTCACATATAAACCGCACCGGACTGTAAGGCGCATTAAACAAAACACAACGGTTAGATAAGTCAGTCAAACTTTATTTAACTCGTTCACAATAACTCTCAACTTTGTTCAATTGTAATGCGCAAAAAAAAATACTGTCTGAGACACTAAATTGTTAGTGTATTCACAGTAACTCATAATTGTTCAAACAGTTGGGTGATTATGGCGTTCAGCTCGCCCACATCCCTCTCGTCATTATCCAAGTCAGTGTGGTTAATGTTCCCTGGCAGTTCAGTGATGATTCTGGTCTTGGTGAAAGCTCGGACCACAGTTGATACTGATCCTTAGCCCAGGCGTCCACGATCCGTTGGCAGATCGTGGGGTAAGTCGCTCGGCGCTCTCTGTCTTGGTGAATGTGTGTTCTCCTTCTCTCATCCACTGCTCCCACGCAGCTCGCACTTTCACTTTATTTCAGTTTGAGTTGAGTTTAAAGTGGGCGCTGTAAGCGTCTCTTGACAGGTGCATTTTGATATTAAAAGGAATCACAGTATGTATTACTCCGCGATGCTCCTGACTATGGGAGCCGTAATGCTGCAAGTGCGGCTTTGTAGTTTACTAAAGTCGAACTAAGACACCCGAATAAATTCATATATAAGGCGCTCTTGGATTATAAGGCGCACAGTCATTTTTGGATGAAATTAAAGGCTTTTAAGTGCACCCTATAGTGCGGAAAATACGGTAATTAAGCACTTATTATGCATTTTACTATTAACTAGCTATTAATATGTTGTTCCTAAGCTAAAGCATTAACATTTTTTTGTTTTTACTCTACATTTTTATTTTATTTATTTACATTTTTAATACTTGTTGTTGGCAGTTTTTTTTTTTTTTTGCTGTCTTAACCAATCAAAATCTTAATAGCCCTAGAATTAAATGAAATATTAAAGAGTAATTTGTGGAAAATTACAAATAGATTATAAAAAGCTAATCCAAATATAGTAAAGTGCCAATTATTATACTAAAAGCCAAGTAACTTAAGTACATTTTTTATGTTGCACTTTTTAAATGTAAATGTTTATATGACCTTTTAAATGCTGCTTCAAAAAACAGCTTCAGTTTTTTATATTGTTCAGCACAATCAAAAGCCTTATTGATTCTCAACTGTTTTGAATACAATGCTTTTTCTGGTTATGGTGCTGGGATATTTCTTGTTTTTATTACTTCTTAACAATAATATTTGCTGTAATATTTGACCTTGTATCCTCTATGACTGATGACCAGCACTGTGGAGCTTAAACTCTCAAAATATGTGCTTGTTTACATTAGAAATAATAATATTGAATGAAAAACTCCACACCGTAAGTATTAACTTTTAAATGTTTTATAAAGGGCTCATATTCCGCTGTTTTCTGATTTGTTATAATGTTGTTTCCTTGTCAAAAACATACGTGAAGTTGTATTTGTTTTGTTTCTTTCACACGTGTTTAACTCACAAGTCCTGCATTTTTAGGTTGTGTTTATGTTTTCTCTCAAACAGAAATCACTCTGTTCCAACTTGTGATGCCATGAAGTGCTCCACTATCGATATATCGTATCGTTTAATTTGATGATACAGTATCGATATCGTGAGCTGCTGTATCGATATATCGCCAAGAGTAATTTTTGTTATATTTTACTAAATTATTTTGTGTAAAAGCTACAAAAGTGTTGACATTTACACTGTTTTGATAAGTAAAATTTGTGTTTTTCATATTAACTTCGCACAAACTTAGTGGACTTTCAGTATCACAGCCATGATCAAGCCTTTTTTTCACTGAACTGTGTCGAATCAGTGTGAAATATATCATATTGAATCAAAAGCTCATTGTATTGAGAAGTGTATCGTATGTATCGAAGTATGTATCGTATCGACAACTTCTTAATGATACCCAGCCCTAGTGTTTTTAAACATCACTACGATTTCCCAATCTTTACTCACCAAAAAATAAAAGGCAGCTTGTTGTCAAGAAACGGTAATTTTCAAGTTGTCACAAGTTAAAACAGCCCTTTGGAGATGACAGACTAATAAAAAACTTTTTAAAAAATGAAACGTGTGAATGAAAAAAGTATCTCCAGGTATGTTTCTGATGAGGTAACATTATTATAACATGACTTAAATCTCTCAAGTGTCCATTTCGCATAATATAAGACTTTTACATGTTTTTTGTCTGCACTGTTATTACTGTTATGGCATTGCATTGTCCTGTTTTACATAAGGCGTCTAAATGAGCTGTTATGTCGCCGATATACAATCTATTGTAAAGGCAAATTTAAAATGACTAGAATTTTGTAAAATACTGCTCTTAAAATGAAATGTGATTTTCAGAAATATTGTATGGCGTCAAATGTTTTATAAAGATAATAAATATTAACAGTACTTAAAGTATTTCTGTATTATTTGGGTTATGTGTTCCTCAGTTTTGTCTTTGTTATCATTTTATGTTAAATTGTTAAACTGTGAATGCGACTTCCAAGGTACCGGCGGAGGTTATTTGCCGCCATTGCTTCACCTGAAAATTTCTAGACAGTATGACATTAAATATGTATTGCCATGGAAACAAATTGGACTCTGCCAGAACAAGTTACAGGTAAGATCGGTGGAGAGATGATCCTGTTCAGAGTAAAAATCACATACATATGGTAAGAATAAATGTTTTCTAGGGTATTCTTTGATAAAAAACATTTAAAAAATACATAAATTTAATACTGTGAAACATTCCAATAAAGTTACAGCGTGCACCTTTAAATACTGTGAGACTAGTTTTAGTGCACTATATCTATACATTATAGTTAGAGTGATCAGACATCCCTGTTTACCAAGGACAGTCCCAGTTTTGAGTCCTGTGTCCTCTGTCCCAGCAGATTTATGCAAAACCAGTGATTTGTCTCAGTTTTATACAAGTAAATGTCCCAGTTGTCCCTATTTTTGACAAATCTGACACCTGCCAACATTAAAGAAAGGCATAAATTGTTGTTTAGGTAAAATACAGAAAAGCTGCTTAATGAATCACCAAAACACAAAGAAAATATGACCATACTGACTCACATGTTAGCCGTGAATAAACCATGAATGGGACGAGTACATAGCAATTTCCTTTAATTACGCACTTGTTTCACAATTTTATTATTGCCAACCGTTACAAACCGGGAGTGTCCCAGTTTTTGATTTTGAAATTCTAGTCACCCCAGTTATAGCATAAAACAGTGGAGCAGTTTAAAAAGAGACCCTGTAAAAACAGTGTTATCAATATAATAACATTTGAATTTTTTTATTTAATTTTTTTAATTTAATTTTGGTTCTTTTTTTTATGGAGTGTTTTTTTTTTCTTCAAAAATACAATGTAATACATAATGGTATAAACAATAACATTGCTAGAGGCTTAAGAATTCCTATTCACAGGGCTCAGCATGCACAATATCTGCATTATGCATTATACAAATGCAGAAAAATAATAAATACATTCACATTTTATTATTTCAAATTCCATCCGACTGCTTTTGTTTTCATGGCTTTGGGATTTGTGCAGTAATTTAGAGAATTTATATAAGAGGACAAGAGGGACTGAAATACAACAAATTTGGGTTTCTGACTAGAAAATTTACAGCAATGGATATGAAATTTTGATAAGATTAGGATTGAGTTCAACACATATTTTTTTTCAAGAATATCTTTCTCAAAGACACCAAAAATAACATGTTTTATATTAAATTGTACGTTTGTATTAAGCTTTCTATTCTAGATTTGAGTGTATGAGCATTCCCAAAACACATGGGTGACAGTTTATTCAACGCTGAGACAGAATGAGCCCAGACGATATGTGTTTAAGCGGAATTTCGGAAATGACAACTCACAAGTCTTATTAATTAAAAAATATTTCGTAAATGTATTGTTGTAACAAAAACAGAAGCTGGTTTTCTGATAGACTCTCTTGTGATCTTTATTTTATTTTATTTTTTTTTTGAGTGTGATCCGTACGCAGCGCGTCCCCTCTCTGACGTCACCGCGCACAGTCCTCGCCTCTTCTCGTGGGGTTGGATTTTCTGAAGCTCAAAACTCTCGCCCCATTACTAATCTTCCAATTATCTGGACTTCGACACACTTCGAACGGTATGCATACATTTTAATTCACGTTATATTCACGAATCGGCATGTTACTGTCATCCGATGTTACCCTTTTAGTTCCTGTTAGCCCGCTGTGTTGTGTAAAATTTGTTTTCTGTAGCTTTCACTCTTTCCACCCTCCTGCTACTTTCTTGTTCCTGTTGTCATATTTTCCACTACTAACACTGCAAACACTCACAGATTGGGCAAATATTTCCTCAAGCTGCGGCTAAAATGTAGTGATTTTGTCTTAAAATTTAACAGCAATCTTCGTAGTTTAGTTACAACATTTTGACAACTATTAGTTTACGCGCTATTACAGGGCGTGTGCTTTATTTACGTAATGTATGGAAGAAGTTGTGGAGTTATCTTAAGGTTTTTGATTAGCACATGTCACAAGAAATGGCCTCACAAAGCGTTTATGAAGATATTGTGAAGATACAGTTGTTTTGTTGTTGTAAATTTACTATTTGGAGGCCATTACTGCCATTTCGTTACGTATATTTTCACAATTCAGAGTCCAATAACTTGTCTTTTGTATTTGTAATCATATCTTAAGAGTTAACAAGGCTTTTTACGATATAAATACATACATTTCTAAACATTTGGTGGGAATTTGGTCGTTATATTATTTATTTTGTCTGTGCTGTCTGTCCAGAATTTACTGTCTGTCGCTTGCTTGTGTAACGGGTGCGCATCTGGTCATTAACAGTCTAATTGGTTCTAATTTTGGTGCACATCCGTTAACCCTTAATTATATCTGCGTTGTGTCCCTGTGTACTGCGCTGGTTGAAGGAAGGACCATGAGACACTGGTGACCAATGGATACTGGATACCACATTTACTGGTGTTACACTTGTTTCTATGGATACTGTATGACATTGCTTTGCCTGGAATGTTCCGCAGTATGGCATTAAATACCTCTACTTTACGTTTATCAAATTACAGATGGTTTTATAGCTCAAAAATGCATAGAAAAGCAGGCGTTCTGACTGTGAGCGGGGTTGCCTCTCCGCAGATCTGACCTGTATCTTGGTCTGGTTTGGTCTCCATGAAGATAGAAAGGTTTAATGCCATACTGTGAAACATTCCAGACAACAGAGAAAAGCTTTTGTTGGACCCTCCACCAGAAAAGTTACGTAATGCACCTTTAAGTCTATAATTTATCACACAGTTTAATTTTTGTTATCGTAAAAAATGTAATCTGTCCCGTTTATGGAGCAATAAAGATCACATTATTTAATTATTAGCCGACTTACTACAACCATTCTTGGATCACTTCCATGTATTTGCTCAAAAGGCAATGTTGTTTGTTTTTGCATTGTGAAATAAAAAAGAGCCAGTATTTATTTAGAGTTTATGGTGTTGTCACAAAAATAAAAAGCTCAATTGTTTAACTTGCATATTTTTTTTATAGTAACAACAAGCCTACCTGTCTTTTTTGGTTTATCCAACCACACCACAAAATTTGCTTTAGCTCAATAGTCATCGCTTTTTCTCTTATTTTCTCTCTGCAGCACAGTGAAGCTCCAGTAGTTGTAGTAATAGTAGTAGGACCAAAATGAAACTGACACTCCCCATTATCACCAATCAATCTCAAAGATGCAAAGTAAAACGGCGATAAAATGGTGCATTGTGTAACTTTTTAGGTAAAGGATTCGTCAAATTCTCCTCTACTTCGAATGTTATTGCTTTGTCTTGAATGTTTGTTCTTTTTATTTTCGTGGACACCAAACCAGATCAAGTTACGAGTCAGATCTGTGGACAGGTGACCTGGCTCACAGTCAGAATGCCTTTTTTTGTTGGTATTTTTGAGCTATAAAACCATCTGTAATTGAATAAATGTAAAATAGAGGTGTTTAATTAATTAAATACTGTGGAACATTCCAGGCAGAGCAATGACATATCCATGGAAAAAACAAGCAGGTGATGGACCCTCCACCAGAAAAGTTACACACTCTAGTGACCTGGTTTGTGACGTTATCTGAAAACAAGCGGGCTTATTCGTTCTCCTTTTGTGTGTTTTTGTCTTAAAGATGGCGACGCAGTGTGTGACGAAGGTGGAGCTGACGGTTTCCTGTGAGAATCTCCTGGACAAAGACATCGGCTCCAAGTCCGACCCTCTGTGTGTTCTGTTAATGAACAGCTCAGAGAATCGGTGGTACGAGGTCAGTGAAAATACCACACACTGAAAATACACTTACATCATGTCTACAACTTCCTACAGACTGCTGTGATGAGCAAAATTATAATTATAGATGCAAGTATCATAATTAGACTTTAAAACAAAAACCAATAAGATCAGTTAAAAGATACTTACGTTTAAAGTTGATCTATGTAACTTTTCTAGCTGCCTCGAAAGATTATTAAGACATATTACAATGTCTGTAGCTTAAAAACACCATACAAAACATGCATTCTTACTGTGAATGGGCTCGCCTCTCCAGAGATGTGACCTATATTAGTAGTAGTTTATTCGGTCATTTTCCGTCACTACAAAACAAAACAAAACATAGACTCCAACCCCATGGATCATGACCGAAAGGGATTAGGCTTAATTAAAAAGTAAAGCCAAACCCTATTAAACAACGACAGATTTCCAAGAAAGAAAAGCAGCGTATGAATGACAAGTTTGCATTTACAATTTCACTTATGATTTACTGTATATATAAGAGACCAAATATGAATTAAAACAAACCAAATTTAATGCATAATTCATTAATTCGGGAGCTCTATATCTTTCAAAACAACGCTTTATACTGACTCTCTACACCAGACATGTCAGACTCAGGCCCAGGGGACAAATTTGGCCCGCGATATAATTATATTTGGACCGCGAGATCCTATCAACAGTGTTGGGAAGGTTACTTTAAAAATGTATTCCCCTACAGATTACAGATTACATGCCCCAAAATGTAGTTTGTAACGTAAACCATTAAATTACTTAAGGTGAGTAATGTAATCTGAATACTTTGGATTACTTGATTTGCTGTTGAGAAGCAAAGACGAGGAAATCTTCACATAAGAAGTTTTGTCTGCTAAAAGACAATAAAAAGCCCAGATTTTGCTTAACCGTATTAAAGACAATGACATTACAAAACAACAAACCTTTATGTTTTTAAAAGACAACCATACCAGTGTCTCCACATATTGGATTGATTTCTTATTGCACTGAATCTCATATTTGTTAGTGACATTATTACTTCATTGTCTGATTGGTTCATTCTAAAACTGTATGTTAAAATTCTTAGTGGAGCTTGCAAAGTGTTCAGTCCTGCGGTAACAAACATCTCTGTTACACTCGTACTTGGTGGCCTCCTCAAGAGCAGCCGTGAACTGTCACTACTACTGTTAAAACCATGCATTTTAGCAAAGGAACTTGTGATTCGATATACTGTGACAGCCCTATTATTGTGAGACTTTTGACGATACGATATCACGATATTTCGGTTATTGTTTGAATTTGAATTTATTTGTTTGGAGGTTAAGCCCCTTGAGATGTATCACCATCTCGTTTTCAAGGGGGTCCTCATAAATACAACAATTGTTACATCTTTACATTCTAATCAATTGGTGTTTTCATATTTATCATAGCATTGAAACTGGATATTGTGAAATCCCGACCTATAATTTACACATGTCCAGGTAGAATCAGAGAAGCAAAGGAGCAGAATTCATTCATTAAGAGGAGAATTTTCATATTATTTTTTTTCCCCCCAGATTCTTTAGTTGAAGTCTTTGTTGTGAAGCAGAGTGCGGTTCACTGCAGTGCTCCTGCTCCTGTTCCTGCTGCAGTTTTAAATTGGCTCAGATTCAGAGGCTGATTCAGGTCTGAGTCCACACTGATACTGATACTGCAGTGTGCTGCATTTTACACCTGACACTTTGCAGCTGATGTCATCAACATTTTCTGGGATGTGATGCTAACTAGAGGCACTGTTCTGTCTGAAGCATTGTTACTCAAGTTAGACTTTAATCTGAGCTTTATTTTATCACAATCTGATCATAAAGGGCTGACTTAGTTTGAGCTAACAAGTTAAACAAGTTCCTCTCAAATAATTTTACAGTCACAAGCAGCTAGCGTTTCCCAGCAGTTTCTCATTTAGTCACTTTCACCTTTTTAGTTGAAAATCAAACTCCTAAATAAGACCATGAAAGCTATTGGATATTTGATATTTGGTAATGATCACAGGCTCATGGAAATGTGTTGTTTAGGTCAATTTTGTATTTTTTTCTTGAGATTTCAGACTATCTGCCCTCCAAACATCACAAAATTGTTTATAGACCATTACTAAACTTAATTTGTATACAACACCACTGGACACTGTGTAACTTTAAAATCCTCTGTTTTGCATTTATGCATTTCCAGATGCCTTTATTGAATCAAAAACATGTACTGGCCTGTAATAAGGCCTGGTCGAGTTGTCTATTTGTCTTTATGGAGATAGAGAAGTCATTCAAGGTAAAGCAATAAGTTCTCCACCAAGTATTGTTCTTTTTATACTTCAGTTTAAAGTTTTGGGTTTTTTTTGCTACTAATCTCAGAGTGTCATTTAAGAGAGACCAAAAAATAGTGAGAAAAGGTGAAATTAAAATGTAAAGTAAAGTTGTCAAAAGTACTGAAAATCAGATACTAATCGATCAATACTAAAACCAGTATCGAAACTCATTTGAGCAATACTGAAAAAAGTCCCATTCACAAGACAGAAATGAACTTTCCTGAATAGTTTTAGCGTGACCTTGAGCTGTATCAGAACAAGTATAAGACACAAGGGAATATAAAAGAAAGTACTCTGATAAAGAGTGTTTATTATTATCATTGTGGTATTGGAGTCAGTATTGAGTATCAAGTCTATTCCGTAGTATCGAAATCGACTTTGAAATTTTAGTATTGGGACACTTCTGTTGTAAAGTAGTAGTATGTTTTCATCTACATCCTAAACGAGTAATAAAGATAAAAGATAACACTGATGAAGGCGTGGCAGGCAATGACCCGTATAATACAAGTCATATGGAAAATCCTTCCTTTAAAATACCATAAACTATAATGTAATAAGTCTTATTACTGTGATGGAAATTTATATTGTGGAAAGATTTCAGTCTGTCTTTGTGTAAATGAATGTGATTTCTACCTTAGACCAGATCAGTCATTAACATGTGAAAAGGCTCAGCAGACACAACAAATCTCCACCCTCACAGGTTTACCACAGTCATGGAAATTGAATGTCATTTTCCAGGCCTGGAAAGTCATGTAATTTTGTATCTGTTTCACATAACTACAGCGTTCTGTTAAGTTCTCATTAGGCTATTGTGATTATTTCTGAACGTATGCACCTTTTGTTTAAAAGAGACGACAATAAATGCACTGACAATATTTTGAAAGTTAAAAAACTATAAAACCAAACCATAAGGTGAGTGGAAAGTGTTAACATTTCATATTTAGACCTCTAAAAGTATGATCAATTCTACACATGTAGGTGCTGTAAAATCATGGAAAATTGACTTTAGGTCATGAAAGTCTTGAAATTAAAACTTTTGTCAGTGAAAAAGAGTGGGAACCCTGCCTTCAGGAAGCTCCGCTGATTAGCTGATTAGCACAAGTTTGTGAAATAAAAGTCACTCTGCTTTATTATGTGTGTAACTTGTATTTCTGTATAAATACTCTAAGCTCAGATGCTCTGGAGGGGAGATGCTCTGGAGGGGAGATGCTCTGGAGGGGAGATGCTCTGGAGGGGAGATGCTCTGGAGGGGAGATGCTCTGGAGGGGAGATGCTCAGGGGGAGATGGAGAGAAGGGGTGACTGGAGAGGGGAGACTCAGGAGATGCTGTTGTTCTCTGACCAGGGCAGGCCTAGGTCCTGTCCATATCTGCTCTAACAAGAATAAACCTTTGCCTGTATTCTAAAAACTCATCAGGCGTCACAAATGGATTTATTGATTTGTCATCAAGAGTTGCATCATTTTTTCCACAACATTACACTGAGTTTATGTCAGTTTTCACCTGTGTGAGTGTGGACAGTGTTAATGTTTACCTCAGTGGAAACTTGAGAGTTAATCAGGTTCAGGATGTGATGAGATCATGACTGAATCAACAGGCTCACGTGACGTCACAGCATTTCCAAAGGCCCATAGTGTATTTGAAAGGCGGAGTATTTAAGTGAGTATTTAGGTCAATGAATGAATGAATGAATGAACAACAGTTATACCATACATTTGTACGAAACAAGCTGATGATCAACCCTCCACCTGAAAAGTCACACAGTGGG